AGTGGAAATACAATGGATTGTCTCCATCAGCGTGTCTCTTGATGACTGGTGACAGTAGTTATGAGATTGGGTGATACTGTGGGTTTGTGGTTGCCTCCTGAATGTGGGAGTGAAAGACGGAGTCGGGTAAACTCGATCGAGAAAGATGTCTGTCTTTTCTGAACAAAGAGAAACAATACATATGAATAGATGTGCCGAGACCCATGAGAAAGTCTTGGGTCTTTGAATTGCGGGCTTCAAAACATGATGGAAATGGTTCTTGGACTCTGTGTGTTTGTGTCTCATTTCCATTAGAATGACCTCATAACTTCACCATTCTGAGACATGATCTGAAAAATGGGCTTAAGACCTGTGTTTTTTGATCTGGGTTAAAATGCTGTGTTAACCCAGGACAACAGTGAGAAACGGTGGTGAGTTGTTTAAACCCATGTCAACCTGGGCGAAGACAGGGATATGTCACAATAAAAAGGAATCCTCCAAGATTGCATGAAAATATACTACAGCAAGGTCATCATTCACACAGAGAGATATTATCATATTTTTCACAAGGACAACTTTGTAAAGAAAAAAAGCAGCGAGAGCAAAAGTCCAATTTCTCTCTCAATTTGTCCTCCCCAAAGTTTCTTACTTTTTTCCCCAATTGTTTTTTTTCAGACACTGGTCATCCTGCCCCGTGTGTTCAAACTGTTCTCTGATACTTTGTTAAGTCTTCCGAGACGACTGCTGTTGTGATTCTGGGCTACACAAAAATAAACTGAATTGCAACTTTGGTGGTGAGAGCGTCGCTGTTGTTATACGGCTTGTTTTGCTAATTGTCCCTAATGTGACGTGTCTAGTTTTTGAACTTATACACCTGACCCACGTGTTTTTTGCTGTCTAAATGTTCTATATTTGGGTGTAGTGTTCTCACTTACCACGCCTTGGCAAAAGGACAAGGTCAAAAGGCGGGTTAAATGCCAGGTTGTTTCAACCCATCAGCCTACATAGCTCAGTGTGTATGGAAAATGCGACTGAGGGTTTTGGTCAAAAAAACTGTTTTGGCTCAAGATGAATGAGTTTGCAGTCGTTATAATCACAGACAATGAACCTTTAGTGATGGCTTTAGTAATAATTGTCTATGACTATTATTTACATCTTACTTTTTGAAGTTGCTGAGTCCTAGGTATAGAAGTATTTGTCTTTCTCTATTAAGGGATGTAATCGCTAACTTCAGTCTTGCTTATGAGAGCAGAGTAGGTGGAGTGGGTGTTGGGATGGGGCATGTGGGGGGTGCATATTCAGAACAGCTGAAGAAAGGCGCTGGATGGGGGAGGAGGAGGCGGAAGGGAGGCGGGGGTGGTCCCAAACATGACATGTGTGTCAGTCTGTTGAAATCAGTGTGGAGCACTCTTTTCCTCACATACAGAGCGGGACGCAGCAACTGGAGACACAGCTTAGCCCTCTGCAGAGTGAACAAGTGAAGCGAGACAAGTTAGAACCGAGAGACTAAAACTGCCTCTTTTTGTCTCCACAAATACTTTTTTTATATTTTAAAATTGTTCATAGATATTTTTTCAAGAAAGACATTTTTTGGACTTTTACAAATGCTTGGGACAATAACTTTAACAGGTAAGCCAATTTGATTCAGCATGGACTACAATGTGTTTTGTTCAGTTTAAGTTGTTAATTTTGGTAATTGAATATGAGGAGAAAGCCCATACAGAAGTTCCTTATTACTGGAGAGTTTTGTAGCCAATTTCACTGTTGTCCTGAGGGTGTGGCTATACAGCACTGTCCCAGCATGGATTAGTAAATTCAGCTGTCCCATTTTTTATTTTTATTTTAACTAGAAAAATCGTTGTTACTAAATCTTATATCTTGGGTTACATTTACCCTTTTAGCCTCACACTTGAATATGCCTACTGTACTATACAAGTGATGATTATTGTTGGCATTAATCCACCACACAACATTCACTCTCCTCCTAATGTCAATGGAGCCTATTCTTTTATTGTTCCATATACAATCACTGAATCCTTATATTCTTCTATTCAACTGACTGCTCCAGACATTTAACAACAGTAGCTTTTTGGTGGGAGAAACTTCTGACAAAGCAACAGCTGCACATGTGGTACAAACACATCCACTGTACAGCACCAGCATTTGACAGACCTTTTCAAAGACCTCTTTTAGTTTAGGCCAGTTTGAGTCAGCTCTCCCATGTGTCTTGTCATGTGAAGTTTTCATTAGATTAGACTTGCATCTTAATTCCCAGTGGGTTATTCACTTAAGATGACTGTATTAGGGAGTGCTGAGGGAATATGGAATTAATTACTTTTCAAGGCTTTATACATTTGGGATTACTAATGGTTTGGAGATGAAGTTTGCCAAAGTTGGAATCTCTTTTGTGATGTAGTGCAAAGTCATAATGTGGAAAGAATGATGCAATTGTTAATGGACTTTGGGTGCGACTGATGCCCGGATCCCCTATGGAGATAGGGGAGTGCTCTTTCCAACCACGCCTTGTATCACAGAGCTATTGAGATACTTGAATACCATCATTCTCTTCTTGTTTGTAACTACTTTAATTCGTTTTAGCAGTTAATCTGATTGGATTTTGAGAGCACAGACATTACCAAGTACTGTATGTGTTTGTCTCTTGGCTCAGAGCATCTAGACAAAGCTTGACTCCACTACTACGCCCTTATTTAAAGTGTATGCTTCTGTATGTTTGATATGTAACACTCTCTAAAGTGATTTTGGCTCCAGCCTCGGGACATAGCCCCCCAACCATCCCATCGTCATCTCTCGTCATTACCCCCCACTGTCTCAAACCAAACCACATTCTTGTTATTTAAACACCCGCCCTCCTCTTCTCCGTTTTATTTTGCATTTCTATGCATTTAAACCACTCCACCCATCCCCTTTCCCTTGTGTGTGCCTGTAAAAAAAGAATTCAGTCTGAAAAACAAAGATCAAAAAGAGTAGAAATTCCAGTAGTCTGTTAAATCAACACAGCTCCTGTTTTACTATTCATGTAGATACACACAGACCCCTCCCTCGCACATGTGCCACATCAAGTCTGTAAACGGCTCAAGTTCACACAATTGTATCCGTGTTGTTTATGCTCGACTAGTGCCACCTATGTGACTCAGCCACACTATTGTAAGAGACTGTTTTTTGATTGGTCAGTCCCAATTCATGTTTACATAGGATCCGTTCAGTGCACAAGCTCAAAATGACAAACTTCCTCTGGCCTGTATGGTTTCTTTAAAAAAAAGAAACGTTCACCACCCCCTGTCTTTTATTTTGGGAGGCCAAAGAGGGTAAAAGGCTATTGTGTTTGTATGAGTGAGTGCTTTGGAAAGGGGGGTGGTCCCCATCCATCCTGCTGTGGTGGAATTTGGGTCAAGGGGATTGAGACTTTTTAGAGTCTTTTTAGAATATCTTAAAAGTAGAACAATTTGTGGTTAAGATACACACATTCTGAATGTCCCACTGTTGTTTACAACTAAATACTAGTTTCTTTTAAATAAAAATGTAACAACAAAGTTTTGCTTATTCTAATGATGGGCGTGACCCTGGCTTTATGTCTGGTATGTCATCGAGAATAGTTGATATAATGTGTGTACAATCAATTCAGGTGGTCTGAGTTTATAATATTCTTACTTTTTGGATCTGTGTAAATGTTGGATTGTGGTTCTTTTATGTGAAGCTTTGAGTCTGTAATTAAATAGAAGTATGGGACAGACATCTTAATGTTATTGTTGGTGTTGAACAAAGATAGAAATTGTTTTGATTATCAACATTCTTACATAAGCTATGTATCATTACACTTAACAAACACACTTAGTTTTTCTTTTGTGATAAGTTGAAGGCTTTAACTCCCTGCGTAATATGCTCTCAGTGTTTTAGTGGCTGTAATCAAGTAAGCTGATAGCTGGGCATTAAGTGCTGGCAGTCCCTATTGAAAGTGCAGGGGTATCAGATGTGAGGGTTTCCAGACTGCAGTGAGATGTGAGAAGAGAAAAAAGAAAAGAAAAAAACCTTTCAGACACAGGTCATCCCAAGTGCTGCCCCCTATCAAAACAGAGATAGGATGTCTGCGTGCCATGTCTATCTGTCTCATGATGATTTACAAGTTTATTTGATAGGAATTACAAGGCTATTAATATGTTCTGTTTTCTTTTTTGTTCACTTTTTTAGTAATTTCACAACAGATTAACAAAACACAAACACACACACAGGTCCATGAGAGATTAATACAAACTTTTTTAGCTATTAACATTTTGTTTTGAGCTTATTAGCTATGGATCCTGTGCCTGCTTATGAGTCCTTAAAACAATGTAAAAAAAGAAATAATGTTTTTCTATAATACTATAAGGAAACCGAATCGGCAAAGTAATCTTTTTTTGTTTTGATAGTAATTGTATAATAAAATCACAAAAAGAAAACACACATACACTAAACGGATCATATGATAATAGAGAAAAGAATACAGAAGATAAGACAGTTCATGTTTTGGACTAGCACCAGAACTTCTCTTTTACATTTGTGTAATAAAAGCTTAAAAGGGTGTTATTTTTATGTTATGTATTTTAACAGTATGCTATTTTTGATGCATTTTTACTTGGTCTGTACCATTGACTGCATATAGGTGAACAATGCGGACCCTGAACTCCCAAAAGTTTTGTTCCAACTCACTCTGGCTTCTATTGAAAAGTAAACTCCTCCAGCTCAGTACTCGTTTGTGGAACACTCACCATTTTGGGCTTAAAGAAACATGGTTTAGCATTCTCTATGATCATCTGCCCCTGTTACAACGCTAACGCAGTAGGAACTATTGCCCATATAAGGAAATTGGTTCAAGCTAGCTTATGTTCAAGGAAGTAATGTGTGACGTCAGTACTCGGTCAGTCCACTCCTAATATATGGTCTATGGTCTAACTGGCTTGTATTGGATTTAGTTTTGAATGAATGAATGATAAACTAATCAAATGTTTTTATCTCTTTCATTGTAGTGGGCCAGCCGGATGGTGTCTCCGTGGCTCAGAAGGAGGAGGCCCCTGAGACGATGGACGCAATTCAGGATGAAGACGCTCCTCAAGTAAACGGGGAGAAAGTTGAGAAGGAATCAGCTGATGCCAATGACATCTCAGTTGTTGAAGAAAAAGCTGCCGAGGAGAAAAGTGGCGACGCAAACGAGGTGGGATTCAAGAAGATTTTCCGTTTTGTTGGTTTCAAGTTCACACTGAAGAAAGACAAGAGCGAAGAGAAGGACCCGGTTAAACTACTCACCATCAAAGATAAAGAAGAGGAGACAGTTGTGGACGAAGCCGTTAATGAGGAAGATCCAACAGTTGAGGAGAAAAGTACAGTCAATGAAGAGAAGGCTGAAACTGAGTCTCCTGAGGTTGAGATCAGTGAAGACAAGGCGGAGAACACTGAGGCAGAAACTGGACCTGAGGAAGGAGAGGCAACAGAAGGATCTTCCAAGGAGGAGAAAGCTGACAAAGAGGAAGAGACAGCTCCAACCCAAGAAGTTATCTCACCTTTTAGAAAAATCAGTGGTCTCTTTTCTAATCTGAGAAAGAAAGCTAGCATCAAGAAGACAAAGGATGAGGAAGAGGTGAAAGAGGAGGTAGCAAATGAAGAAGAAACAGCGGCTGCTACTCAAGAGGTAAAAGCTGAAGCAAAGGAAGATGCGGAAGAAGAGAGTAAATCAGAGATAAAAGACGACGCAGCAGCAACATCTGAGGAGGATGGGAAAAAGGATGAGACTGTCACAGAGGAGGTGAAAGAACCGGCTGCAGAAAAGCTCAAACCAGAAGCAGCTCCAGAAGGGGGGGCCACTGCTGAGGTTCCTCCAGATACTGAAACTACTGACGAGGCCAAACAGGATGAAGAGAAAGCCCCGCTGGAAGTGTCCACAGAAGCTGAACTGCTGTCTTCCCAGGAAAAAGCAAAACCTCATGGAAGCCCTCTTAAAAAGCTGTTTACTGGAGCAGGCATCAAAAAGCTGTCAACTAAAAAACAAAAGACAAAGAAAGAAGCTGAAACAAAACATACTGAGTCCGGAGAGCAGGCTGAACAACTGCAGTCGTCCACAGAATCAGCAGAGGCCCTTAAAGCCGAAAGCGGCCCCTCCTCTCCAGAAGAGTCAGGAGAACATGTGGTTGCAGCAGAGGGGACGGACAAAGAGTCCAGCCAAGAAACTGATGGTGAAGTCACTTCTGATGGGGAGAAGAAAAAGGAGGGAATCATTGCGTGGTCTTCCTTCAAAAAACTTGTTACACCCAAAAGACGTGTGAAGAGACCTTCTGAGAGTGATGATGAGGCTACTGCTGAAAAACCAGCCAAGTCTGCAACACTATCCTCTACTGAGAGTGCTACCCTGGCAGATAAAAGTAGTGAAGAGGAGACAAAAGAAGAAAAAAACAGTGAGGAAGAGCTGAAGACTGAGACCACAGAGAAACTCACCACCAGCACTGAAGAGAAAAAGAAAATGGACACCTCAGTCTCCTGGGAGGCTCTGATGTGCATGGGTGGTCCAAAGAAGAGAACACGCAAAACCTCAGACTCTGATGATGATGATGAGACTAAAGTTGAGGAGGAACCAGCAGCGGTGACAGAGGCAAAAGAGGAATCCAACGTTGAAGCTACTGTTGAAACTCCACAAACCAGTGAGAATGAGCTTGAAGTTGTCGCCTCTCCTGAACCGGTGAGCCCACCTGTCACTGCCTGGGAAACACTCAAACGCATGGTGACGTTGAAGAGGACAAAAAGTGAGGAAAAGCCAGAGGAGGGAGCAGAACAAGTGTTATCTGACAGTGAGGCCCCAAAAGAGGAGTCATCCTTCTTCCTTAAGAAATTCTTCCCAGGTCGAAGAAAGAAGAAGTCAGAAAAGCAACCCTCAGCTGACCATGGATCTGGTGAAGAGGACTCTGACACTCCTGCAGTGGTCCCTCTTTCTGAATATGATGAACCAGCTGAAACTGAGAAAGAAGAAGATGCAGAAGCTGCGCAGACAAACGTTAAAGGTGAAGAGAGGACACCATCTTGGATCTCAGCAGCAGTTGAGGATGACAAACAAGACCAGCTTAGTGACATCCCAGAGGAAGCTGAGAGTGCTGCCACTCCTAAATCAGTGGACACTGACATTACAGAAGATGAGGAACATGGCCCTGTATCTCCAAAACGATTCAACACTGGTCGCAGACTATCCACTGCTGAAGTCAAGCCTGTTGCTCCAGCTCCATCCTCAGAAACCGCTTCTGTTCCCAAAGAACCAGAAACTGAAAATGCTCAGGAAGTTTTCCAAGCTATTGAGGCCCAGAATGCTGAAATTCCAGCAGAGACCTCTGTTGCTGTTGAAGATGTCCCGTTGGAAACTGCTGTTGAAACAAATGAGTATGAGCCAGAAAGTGACACTGCTGATGTCAAGACCAAGGTCATCCTGGAAGTGCATGCCTGTGATGAGGCTATGCGAATCTGCACTGGTCTGGGAACCAAGGAGATTGCAAAAGTCACTCTTGAGAAACCTGTGTCCCCAATTACAGAGTGTATGGCTGTTGTCCGTGATTCTTGTGCTACTGAGGTGTCATTTGAGGAGAAACGAGCCAAAACAGAGCAAACCACTGTTTCTGAATATCCTATCCTACAAGCGCAAATCCAGCAAGTCGATACCACTGAACTCGAAGCCATGGTAGAAAAAACAGCAAATAGCATTGCTGACTTGCAAGTTGCCACTGAAAGTCTCGAGCCACAGATTCAGAAAGTCAGTATCATCGGCACTGAACTGGAAGCGTCTGAAGTTATCCAGCCACCGACGGTTGATGAGAATTCACCTAAAGCTGTGGTTAGTGATCCAATTACTGCAACTTCCGAAGCAGCTCTGTGTAGCCAAAGTGTTCAGGTTACTGAGCCAACCCTAGAGACCAAGGAAGTCCAAATGAACATGGAGCAGCAAGTTGCTACTGAAGAAAACACTCCACTTGAAGAGGTAGTCCAAGCAGTGACCAAAGAAATATCCTCCACCATATGTGAAAGTACAATGACAACCACAAAGGAAACTGAGCCAGAGATCCCAGTGATACTGCCCAGTGAAATTGTCCCAGTAATTACCGAAACAGCAGTCCTTGTTGCCCCAGTCAACCTGTCCCAAGACATTTCCACTTCTGAAGCTGTAGTTGAAAATGTGTCCATCTCGGAAGTTGTTGCAGATGAAGTTGTTGAATCAGAGGCTGTTCCAATGGAGCAGGCCATTGAAGAAGAAACAATTGAGTCACAGACCATGGTATTTGCTAAGAATGTCATCCAAGAGGCTGTGGACAAAGTTTCAGAAGATGCTCCTCAATCTAAAAATGACAACACTTCTATTGTCCCAACCCCTGACCAAGCAGTTGCAACGCTTGAAAAAGATGTTGAGATTGAATCAGAGATGCCAATAGTCACTGACACCCCAGTTGCAATGATCTGTGAGAAATCCTCACCAAAAATTCTACATGTTGCGATGGAGGTTATAGACACAATTCCCATTGAAGTTACAGGGAGCATTGTTTCAACGGACAAAGAGACAGCCCCAGAAGATGAGTTGAAACAAGAGGAAGAGGGAAAAGTAAGTGAAGAGAAAGCTGTAGAAGAGGATAAACAAGTGGTCAAGGATGAAACAGAAAATATTGTATCAGAAGAGAACGTAAATACCACAGAAATCCCTGAAGAACAGACACAATCCAAGCATAAAGCGGTCCACTTACCAGTCCAAGTGGTCCTCCAGACAGCACAAGTCCATGAAGAACCAACAGTTGAAGAAGAAGCTGCTGTTGAGTTTGACGCCAATGGTCCAGTAGACATCCCAATTCAAGACGAGATCAAGACAAATGGTGAAACTTCTGAGCGAGTCTCTGAACGCCTGTCCACTGTGTCGGAGGAAGGCCAAGAAGCAGAGGAATCAGCAGATAACCAATCAGATGCAGAGAAGCCATCGGGAAAATGCGCTGAGGTCATGGCCCAGGTGATGGAGGTGATCGAAGAGGCCGTAAAAGAAATTGAACCAGTCTCCACAGAGATCACAGCAGCATCGTGAGCAGGTGAGGATGCAGCCTCTTTTATTAATTGTACATGTGTTTTAATGTGAGCACAAAGGTGGTTGTTTTGTAAAATTCCTTTGGTGGCCTATCAAGCAATCTTCTCATAGTAGCTTTTTTGAAACATCAATAGATCCTGGTTTTATTAGAGAAGTAGGGGAGGGGGTTTACCCACCGACCAGATGAAAAAGCTTTTGTTCAGACTGTGAGTAACTAGGGGACCTTTGATATCAAAGCAGGAATGCCGCCATTGACCCCTTCTTTGTAGGCCGTGGGTTTTAAAGGGAAACGGTGTGTGTGAGGGGCAGATGAACTAGTGCTGAAAGACTGATTATGATTCCTCTCTGCCTCCTCTCGTTTTCTTACTCAGCACGGAGTCAAGAAACCATGTCGGTCTACACATTTGTTAGATTAAATTACAGCGCCTCAAAGAACTCAAACTGGGACATTTTCAGTTTTTATACCCTCAATGTAGACAGCAACTTGATTTAAAGGGACACCTCAATGTGTTTAGTGTCCCATGGGAGGCAGAGTTGAATAGAATCCAGAAAAAAAGGTTTTGCTATGTGCACCCACAATAACAAAAATAATCATGAAAAAATATATATATAACAGAAATCAATATTATAATGATTAATTCATATTTATTATAATTACTATTATTATGAATTAGTTTTTCTAAAGTCTTTGTCGAAACATACGTGTGTGAGAACAAACACACACACACACACACACACACACACACACATTGTTTGCAGTTCAATAATTCATTTACGGCTTTTTGGCTGATCCTCATATAGAACTACTGTAGAATGGCATAGGCCTTTTTTAAGACTCAGAAACCAGATAATGTCATTTTTAAACCTGTTTGTAAGTGGTGTTGTTTAGAACACAGTACTTCATGTTTTAAAACTTCTGCTTTAATTTAATGCTTAACTAGTTTCTTTATTTCTCTGTTGCAGCTAAAGATGCAAGCCGTGCCTGGGTGACGTGCAGTTAAGACCAGGAATACGCATCGGATAAGAGACAGTGTGAAAGGCTGCACCTCTGGCAGTCCTGTAGCAGAGTCAAAGACACTGATTCTGACCCTGTCCTGGCCACCATCTTCCTGCAACCCCCCACCCCCACTGAACCTCACACTCATGCATGTCCTGTACCATCTCATCTGGCTGAACAATGAGTGTGGCGTCATGTCCAGTGGCCCTTTTGCTGAATCGGGAGAAACCTTGTCGAGTGTGTATTTTGTGCATACTGTGTGTGTGAGGTTATACTGTATGTATAGATGTGAGTGTGAGATTATTGACCAATGGCGAAGAGAGGACAGAGGATTATTATCTTGTATATTGTATTTATATTGATTAATCTTCATTCAACTTTAATTTTTTAATTTTTGCCCTATTTTGTTGTATGGACCTCGACTTGTTTTACCTGTGACCCATTTGATATCCCTATGGCAGTTGAAAATTTGATTTCAGATACCAGAGACATCATCACACATTTTATTGTCACATTCAGCTATTGTTAGTAGCAATTTTAAGTGAACCACGGTACATGTGTCAGTAGGCAATAGCACTGTAGAAATCTCAATAAGCAGTGTTTTTAATTGGTATTTAATGAACCTGTCTGCACACTGTTCACTATGTGCTGTGTCCCACCAAAAATACTGTATCATAAGCTTCTGTAGATATGACAAACGATCACTGCCTGATTTACTGTGAAAAATACATTGTTACACATTGCATAATATTGTAAAAATACAATAAAGTAATATGATAATTACTTTGGTCATAGCAATTTGATAAGTATTGCTTTTACACCAGGTATATTTGTTGCATTTGTCTTGACAGTATAAGATGCAGTACTTGACTCCGCCTGTTGGTCAAGGTTGGTAAAGTACAAAACATTGCATTCCAAATACAATGCAAACAAATTATAAATATTAAAGTGTGGATAAGAGTGGTCAAAATATTTTACCCATTAAATAATTATTAATTTTATTGAGGAATCAAAACATTGACTCCATTGAAAGTCATGTTAGATATTATTATAGTTTTGTCATAAACTATTCTGACAAATATGAATACAATTTTATACCCGTCCTCAGTATCACAATTGTCGGGAGAGGTCTCATTTTTATCACAAATTTACAACAGGAAACAGTAAGTTAATACTGTAAATTACAATAATAATAAATATTAGAAAAATAAAATGTTATTTTACCTCAGTAGCATATCTATCTAAGGTAGCATTCTCAAGAGGTGTGCCTGTGCCTCATTACTCAAAAACATAACATGTTTAGGATTTATTTATTTTATTAACAATAGTAAAAACATATAGCTTTTTCCTGAGATACTTTGATGGTTAAATTCACAAATATACAACCAATGTAACCAGACTTATCAACATTACAAAGTAAAGACAAACTGAACTGCTTATCAGTAGTACATAATTAAATGAATACTTCTACACAAGAAGAGTACAGGTGAAAGTCATGCTGGAGGAGAGTGAGCTCTGCTGCTTCTGCCCCCAGTCTACAAGACCTCCTACAGAATAAAGCCCCATCCACTTCAATACAACTCAACTGTGTTTGTGAAGCCAATTATAAGATCAAATTAGCTCTAATGTAAATACATAACGTTGCAAGTAAGGTACTATCATAATAGAAAGGCAATTCATAGCTTTGGTTTAAAATTAACTACTATAAAGTAGGCTACATATATAAATAAAAACTTACTTACTTACTTACTTACTCAAATGTTAGTATGTCTACACAACTAGACAGATTAGCCCCAAATTAAAAAAACATGATAGAGGGAATGCTCAATGCTAGTTATTTGCCAAATATTTAGGTCAACCCTAACCAGATATAGACTATATTAAAGCTATCACACCCTTTCAAGTGTTCAAAAGTATTTCCTGTTGACAGCTTATTAAAAAAATTGAAATACAAAAATTAGATGAGGGCAATAATTATATTTGTAAAAAAAAAAATTGTCTACAAAGGGCAGGTATGTTTGTTGCAAATCTGTCTCCACAATTCAAGTCAAAGCTATTTTTTTTAAAAACCTACGTTGGTTTAAAAAAAAAAAAAATCATTGTCATGTATTTTTCCAAAAAACGGAATGGCCTGGGTGAGATCGAATGCAATGACAACATTATTTCAGCAGGATTTACATCATACTTCAAACTCAAACGATGAATAAAATGGAAGACAACTTAGATTATGTACACAGTAAGAAGACACAGATTGTTTCAAGTTTGCATACGCTGTTTTTGTTTGATAGAATCCAAAAAGTAACTTGACTATTGTGAAATGAATCTGTTTCCCTGAAGCCGAACGTGTCTGTTTCTCCTTCTCAGCTCTAATTCTCACTTCAAACAGTTGACCTAAGTGTAAAAAGGACAAATGAAAGAAATGCATAATTGAGCAATAGCTTCGATGACACAGTTGGGGTGGTGGTTCATACCCTGTCAGCCAGTGAACATCATAAGAAAAAAATAAACAGCACTACTCCAAGAGGATGTCCTCAGTCTTTATGGCTTCTAGAGTGCCAGAGTTGGACAAGTCAGAGCCTTCATCTTTGGAGACCTCGTCGTGTTGCAGGTCAGCTCCCCTCTCATCGTGCTCCTGCAGCCCCTCTAGCCCTCCTTGAGCAAAGCACAGGTGTTTGACAACCTCAGTGGGATTGGAGAAGGTGGTTGCACAAATATTACATTTGTAGGGCTTTGATGATGCTAGAAACATAACTTCCATTTGGCTTGGGTCATCACCTCCACACAGTTCCATACTTTGGCGGTCCACTATAGTGTAGCTATCTGCGCCTTGATTCAAGCACACATGGCGTGCTGCCTGATTAGCACGACAGAAGCTCTTTCCACAAGCGCTGCATTTGAAGGGTTTTCCTGTGTGGATGTACATGTGCTCACGCCAGTGGCTCTTCTGAATGAACTTGCGTCCACATGTGGAGCACTCGTATTTCCTTCGTTTCACTTCTCGGTCAATGTCCACACTCTCCAGGTTGTCAATATCTGCAATGTCCGATGGAGGTGGGGTGTCTGCCTGAGAAGTCATCCCTCCCAGTCCCCAGCTGGATGTGGAGACTTCAGCCCGTGGAGAGTCTGAGTTAGTACCTGAAACAGGTGTTTGTTCACTGTCACTGATGACCTCCACTGCTGCAGGAGCGGCAGTCGCTTTAGCCCCCTCAGTCTCCATGGCGCAGTCCTGCGTTGTGTTTGGAGACTGAGCAGAACACACTTCAGAGCTGGGCTGGTGGAGAGTCTGGGTGTGCTGCAGCAGGTGCTCCCTCAGCAGACTCCTCTGATTGAATCGACTTCTGCATAAATGACACGAGTAATGCTTCCTAAATGAGGCATTTCTCTTCATAATACTAGGCTTTACATGGAGGATAGTAGAGGAAGCCTCTGAATTAATAAAGTCATGTCTTCCCTCCTCCGATGCCACACCTGGTTTGTTGACAGAGGCCTCTGCCTCTGCAGGAGACAAAACAAACTTAGAAGGAAACGAGCTCGGGAATGCAGCAGATGCCCCTTGTGTGGACTTCCCTTCAGTGTTGGGCTGCTCTATTTCAAAAGATGGGGAGCCTTGTTGTTGAGATGACAGCACTCCCTGCTGGTCAGAGATCTGAATGCCATAAAGGGAGGTGGAGAGGTTGACACTCTGGTCTGAATACATCTGGCTTGCCTCTTGTAGGAGTGGATAGGCATGCAGGAATCTGACCCCCTGCTCCAGCCGCGAGGGGTCGATCAGCTGCGGCGCCAGTTTGCCCGTGTACATCAGGTTCAGGAGGTAGCTGAATATGTCCGGCTGGATATCGGCAGCTTTTAGACGCACACAGTCACTAAACATAAAAACAAACATATTTTGTACTTGCTCTTATCAACTACCTAGCTAAAAAGGGATGCACATGAAGAATTACAATATTGGTTTAGTTATTTACTACATAATGATGTTTTTATATATATTTATTAGTGGGGCAAAAAAGTATTTAGTCAGCCACCAATTGCGCAAGTTCTCCCACTTAAAATAATGACAAAGGTCTGTAATTTTCATTTTCATTTCATTTATTTGTAAATTATGGTGGAAAATAAGTATTTGGTCTATAACAAAAATTCAACTCAATATTTTGTAACAACCTTTGTTGGCAATAAAAGAGGTTAAACGATTACTATAGGTCTTTACCAGGTTTGCACACACAGTAGCTGGTATTTTGGCCCATTCCTCCATGCAGATCTTCTCGAGAGCAGTGATGTTTTGGGGCTGTCGCCGAGCAACACGGACTTTCAACTCCCTCCACAGATTTTCAATGGGGTTGAGGTCTGGAGACTGGCTAGGCTACTCCAGGACTTTCAAATGCTTCTTACGAAGCCACTCCTTCGTTGCCCGGGCGGTGTGTTTGGGATCGTTGCCATGCTGGAAGACCCAGCCAAGTTTCATCTTCAAAGCTCTCACTGATGGAAGGAGGTTTTGGCTCAAAATCTCATGATACATGGCCCTATTCATTCTTTCCTTAACACGAATCAGTCGTCCTGTCCCCTTAGCAGAAAAACAGCCCCAAAGCATGACGTTTCCACCCCCATGCTTCACAGTAGGGATGGTGTTCTTGGGATGCAACTCAGTATCCAAACACGACGAGTTGAGTTTATACCAAACAGTTATACTTTGGTTTCATCTGACCACATGACATTCTCCCAATCCTCTGCTGTATCATCCATGTAGAGTTTCGTTCGGGCCTGAAAAATGAAGCCCGACCCGGCCCGCTAATGTTAAGCCCGAGCCCGTATAAGCCCGACCAATGAACGCTGTATAATAGGCCCGAGCCCGACAGAACCCGACACATCTGATTTCCTTGTTGTACGCACTTACCTTCCAATTGCAAGTTTAGTCTCCACTTTTGAATTTGTTTTGTCTCCACTTGATCCATTTCTACTATTGTTCCTGTTCGTTGTTGACCACAGCATGCAGCAGGAGACACGGGGACGATTAGTTCACGGCTCGCTGCTGTTGTAGGACACGCTGGTTACGGCGCCATTAATATATTAACTTTTTTTAATAACTTGTTGTAAATCAACGGACATTGTTATTAATATATATATATGCATATCATTATGTATAAAAATCATTTAAAAATAATTATAATAATAATAATAAAAAAGAAACATTTTAAAAAAAGAAGCCCGAGCCCGGCACGAACCCGACAGCTGAGCGCCAAAGCGAGGCCCAAAAAGCGAAACTCTACATCCATGTGCTCTCTGGCAAACTTCATACGGGCCTGGACATGCACTGGCTTTAGCAGGGGGACTGCTAATTTACACATCACGCGTTACAGCACGTACGCGTTATACGCGCAGCAGACGCGCGTAACTTTTTTCCATGTTAACCTATGATGATATTTACACTTCTAGCGTTATACGCGCGTATGACGGACATGTGACGCGAAGCTGCGCTCTAATTTAGGATGGATTTCTAATTTTGTGCGCGCACCAACGCGTCTCCCATTGAAATCTCATGTAAAACTTTATTTTTCTAGCGGTCCTTGGCTTTAGATCACATCTGCACGCACACTGCACTTGTGTCTAAACATCAGCAGGAGGAGCAGCAGGTTTTACAGTAATTCTGGACATCGTTTTTTTTCTTTCATAAAGTCTCGCGTGTGGCGAAACCAGCGCACAGAGACCATGAAGACAAACACATGCATGTGATTTGTGTTGCTCTACATCAGTCCTCTGGCCCGTACTGTCCTCTACACTGCTCCATAGACTACACAAGGAGAGCATCAGAAGCCGCGGACCTGCGCGCACGGTCAGTGTAGATACTCCAAAAAAATTTTACGCGCAGAGAGCGCGCAGTAAACGCGTACGCGCTGTTTACGCCTACGGTGTAAATTCCCCGGGACACGTCTGGCACTGCAGGATTTGATTTCCTGTCGTCGTGGTGTGTTTCTGATCGTAACCTTTGTTACTTTGGTCCCAGCTCTCTGCAGGTCATTCACCAGGTCCCCCCCGAGTGGTTATAGGAGTTTTGATCACCGTTCTCATGATCATTTTGACCCCACAGGATGAGATCTTGCGTGAAGCCCCAGATCGAGGTAGATAATCAGTGGTCTTGTACGTCTTCCTTTTTCTGATTATTGCTCCCACAGTTGATTTCTTCAGACCAAACTGCTTGCCTATTGTAGATTCACTCTTCCCAGTCTGGTGCAGGTCTACAATTCTTTTCCTGGTGTCCTTTGACAGCTCTTTGGTCTTGGCCATAGTGGAGTTTGGAGTCTGACTGTTTGAGGTGTCAGGTGTCTTTTATACCGATAACGAGTTCAAACATGTGGAGGACAGAAGAGCTTCTTAAAGAAGAAGTTGCAGGTCTGTGAGAGCCAGAGATCTTCCTTGCTTGAAGTGACCTAATACTTATTTTCCACCATGATTTACAAATAAATTCTTTAAAAATCCTACAATGTGAAATCCTGGATTTTTTTTTCACATTCTGTCTCTCACAGTTGAAGTGTACCCATGATGAAAATTACAGACCGCTGTCATTATTTTAAGTGGGAGAACATGCACAATCGGTGGCTGACTAAATACTTTTTTGCCCCACTGTAATATATATATATATACACCAGCTGATATGACTTAATACCTGTCCTGGTGAATGAAGAGCATCCTGAAGTAGTTAGAGAAAGCAGCCAGCACTGCCTTGTGGGCTTTGAAAAACACATCTCCTATGGCCACAGTGCAGTCACACAGGAAGCCAAACTCCCTCTGTGCGTTGAGCTGCTGCAGCAGGATAAGACCATGGTTGGCCAACTCCATTTTCGACCTGTACAAATGAAAAGCACAATCATCACTAATTATCACTAATTGAATATAAGAGTTAGGGACTTATTACCCATACATTTTAATATACTCTTTGTAATATGATAAACTGTAAGCGTTTGAATTACATAATTATAGCCTATTACAGACATTTTTTTTCAACCTGACTGTAACAGACTAATTATTACTGCTCAACTGTAATTGTGTTATTATTCTGTTATTATTATTCACATCATATTGTGGTACCTCATATATAACACAGGTGGACTGAGTACTAACCTGACAATAACCAACCATTAAAACAAAAGGAACACTTATAGAATTGAAATACTGTAGTTCCATATTTTAGATCGTGTGCACTGTGATGGGTGCTGCTGATGACCCTAAAGTTCAACCAAGGCCTCAGGCCATCACATGATCACTGGGTGTCGACTCGACACACATTCCTAGGCAGAAGTCTACCCCCATCATGCAAGAGCAGTGGCTCTCACATACTTATCAATGCAGGCACCAATCCGACTTTACATAACCCCAGCTGGAAATAAACGCATCACAAAAACTGCGAAAAGTGAGGAGTGCGGAAGCTCACAATCATCAGTCAGATCATCTCGTTTTGAGTGCAGCAGTCAAAATAGCGCCAAACAGCGTGTAATGCTGTGGCCAACCCCTAAATCGTCTTCAAAACCTCGTTGTCCTGGAGGAGGGACTTAAGAAGTGACCCCAGAAATTACAGCTTTAAGTTTAATGTCACAAATTTAGTATTATCTATATTATCGTTACGTATGGCCATCACTATTACAGAACACCTAGGAAATGAACACAGAACAAATATAATGTCGGTTAAATGGTTGAGAAAGCACCGCCCACGGGAAATACACGTGGATCAGCCACTTCCGTAGCAGTCCGGATTTCACAGATCGGAGTGTGTTTCTGGAAATGCAGTGAATAACAATAACAAGGATATGAACCGAAAACAAGTCCGTGAACTACGCCGTGTCCAGGGCGTCGGTGTCTCAGGCCCGGGACCCCAGTCTGTGGTCTACAGTGTGTAATGTACGCTGCTGAGTGAGGCAGTGGAGCAGAAGCGGATATGGCGCGCACGCGCACACGCACCCGCGCTCTGAAGCGCGAGCCTGGCAGGGGGATGGGTTCTGGTCACGAACGCGTTTCTTTAACTTCTATGTGACGAACGCGAGTTACTACAGGACACTATAAAGGACGCCGCAAAGTAAACACGCGACATGGCTCTTCACCACCGCAGCCGTACCTTGTTCTCTTCGGGAACCGTGGAGTTTTTGTCCGCGTCGGTGTTGTTTGTTACCGGGAGAGCGGGCTCCGTGCTCCGCGGCTGCTGCTCGTTAGTGGCGGCGGAGCGGAGAGGGTCTGTCGGTGTTTTCCGGTTGGGGGTTTTACGTTACAATCACATGACTCTGACCGTTGTAGAAATCCGTTGAGCAAAGCAGGGGAGTGCGGGGTCCACGTGAACATCCTGCTCTGTCTCCGCCGCGAGAAAAACACATTTATAAAGTCTGCTTTTGACAGCGCGCTGTTTCTGCACCGTGACTAAAGCCGCACGGAGCTACAGTTGTGTTAAAGACTTATTTTGAAGTCTTTCCTCTGCGTTATCCACTTGTTATCAAAGAACAACTACGTAACTTTAACGGGGGAAAAATAAGCACTACAAAAGTATTTTTTTTTTTTCCCCCTCTTCACTTTGTGTCTATGGCACTGAAGCACGTGTATAACATATGTCCAGAATGTGGGATTGATGCTAATGTTGTGCAGCACCTACAATTTTACAATGTGGCAGAAAACACGAACTAAGTAATGTGGAATGTATTTCATTTTATTTTAAAAAACCCACTGATTACAATTTCACCGCCTTTTTTTTTTAAACCAACGTAGGTTTTAAAAAATTAGCTTTGACTTGAATTGTGGAGACAGATTAGCATTTTTTTTGGATTAAAAAATGATTATAAAAAACTAAGTGCACGACAATTGTTTCATTTGAGGGATTTTTTTCATTGAGCTGATTCTAAAGGAACATGTGAAGAAATTCCTTATTTTTAAGGATACTATACTTAAGACTAACATTTTCAATATACTAGGAGTTTAAACAGTTGACTTGAATGAAGTTGGTAATGAACAGATTATCCTACTATATGCAATAGAATAGCTGTTGATCTAATATTAATGAAATAGGATACAATCTAGCGCAGTGTCTCCCAAAGTGGGGTCCGCGGCCCCCTGGTGGGCCGCGAGGGTACTGCAGGGGGGCCGCGGGAGGTCATAAAAAATTTAAAAAAATAATATAATTATTTAATGTTAAATTTATAATGTTTTGTTTGTAATATTAAAATATTTGTGTTCATTATTTGACTTGAATAATCCACTGTAATCATTTTTGTATTACAATGTTTGTAGCAGAGGCTATTTCCCCAAAATAAAATAACCAGAAGAGCCTATTCTTAATGTTGTCTTCTTGGTTATTATTTTGGGGGGCCACGCAGACCCGTCAGATTTTTAAGGGGGCCTCGGTGTTACCGAGTTTGGGAATGGCTGATCTAGCGCAATTCATTTAAGAACACCTATTTTACCCTCCTCTGACATGCAGCACTGCAGTCATTGAGCTGTAGCAGGTTTATTCAAATACTTGAAAACAATAATTGTTACAGTGGTTGCAAAAAGTAGGCTCACATCCTGCCTAGATAAGAGCTGCTTTAGCTTCCTGTATAAATGATCAATCAAAATATATTAGAAGTTGTAATGTCTATGTATATAATTATTTTAAGTGTATCATGATAATAACTGAAACATTTTGATAAAAATAAACCAATCACTCAATCAGAACCCTTGTTCCAATGGAATACACCCATTTCCTCTGGTTCTAAGAGTAATGTCCTCATTAATTTTCCCATTTATAAGTTTTGAAAATGGAGGAAAGACGAAGGATAACCAGAATGTTTCCATCCAAAAACACAAACTTTTGCACATTTCAGTTCTCTAGGAACTCTCTTGCTGTTTTTTTTATTTCTGAAACACACACAAACCATGTTTTGTTTGTTTTGTGTCTTTCTGTTCAGGAACATTTGAAATAATGTTTGCACATTATTGTCCTGGTCATGTTATGACCATGTACAAACAAAGTAACACACGCCTGTGAAGTGAAAGACAAAAATAATGCATGCTTTTGTTTAGGAGAATTTTTTTTGTATGTATTAATGTTGTTTTCATATGTATTAGATTGCCTTCGATAATGTCCTAATGATTGCTGAATGCTCAAATGAACCACACACAATTACAGCTTTTCCGTTGTGGCCTCATATATACTGTATATGTTTAGGGTGTAAACAGCATCATGAATTTCAAAGAACAAACCCTAAACAAAGAGAATACCTTAAATAAAGCCAGACATACAATGGAATGGTTTAAAAATTAAATAATAAGACAAATTCATTTTTTTGCCCAGTTAAAGTCTTGACCTAAATCCAATTGTAATTCTGTTCATATTGACAGAGCTAGAACTGCTAAACTGTTTAAAGTTGTTTCTCAATGAGAGTCTGAAAAACTATCTTTAACGCTTAATTACTGGCCCCTGGGCTTCAGGATAAGGTCCTGAAAGTAGCCTTTTGCATGTAACAGAAAGCTGGAATTGCTGCGCCCCCTAGCTGCAGACCTTCCAATAGGAAAACAGCAAGGGTCCTCCCAAGATTAAAGTGTCGGCACATCCCCCTGGCCTACATTCTGCACTAATCCGGCCAAAAAACCCAGTGTTTCAGACCACACCTGTTCAAACAGGCCTTGCACGTTGCCTTCCCCCACGGGTTGTTTTGAAACCGGAGTGGTGAGTCAGTGCTGGGTCGGGAGAAAAACTGTCGCTGTGGGAGCGGGAGGACGAGGACGCCGGAGAGTGAAGATCCTCCATCCTGAACAGTACAAAGTGCAGCAGTCAAGTAACAGTGCAGTATGTCCATTATAATAGATCCATGAGTATGTCCAACGGAAAGACTCAAAACAGCCATGATATCTCATTAGAGCGTTTGAGAAATGAATGACCCTTATCTATTTTGGAATTTTGGCTAATTATTGTCTTTATTACTCTAGATATTTGTTCTTAAATATAAATATAGTACAGTCATACAAACACTCTATAAACGTATGAGCTACAGCCCCAGAGTGCTGTATCTGCAGATTGATCCACGGCGGGGGCCCAGTTCATGCTGCGGCCCCAGCCCACTCAAGCGGCGATACCACCAATGAACCACCAGATGGCAGCACCGCTTTATATGAGTTATTAATCACAACTTCCCAAAACAAGTTGAACGTAAAAAAAGGCAGAATATATATATTAACATATGTATATAAATTAAATAGACCCATGCATTTAGCCACTTGTCTTGTCAATAGTGTGATAACATTCCATGTGCTACAAACATGTTAAAAAGATATTTCCAATAATCCCTGAGTAAAGATGGCGTCGGCTGCTTCTATTCACGGAGCCTCCCCGCTGTCTGCTAAAGTGGTCGGGTATGTTTTGAACCTGTGCATCAGCCTTTTATGTTTTCCATTTAATGCTTAGGCACAGGCTAATTTAAGTGATGTATCGAGGCGCTGTGGAACCAAAGGAGTTGTCCAATGACATCAACGTTAGCCTCATGCTAATACCTTTGAGTGAACTTTGAGCTAATATTGATCTGTAGGGCGAGAACAGCCAATTAACATTTACGCATCAACATAGACTGGTTAGACACCGACTTGTTTTCGTAGAATACACGTATACGACCTTTGACGGCATGCTTTTCATTCATTTAGTATGACTTGGACTGTTGTGTTCTCTGCACCTGCTGTTGTGTTGATACATTAATTCTGAGCGTAATACTAAAAACTATATATGTGTGTTGCAGGTCATTTGCTTATCTCACTGTTAAGGACAGAATGCCCATCATTCTCACTAAAGTCATAGACACGATTCACCGCAATAAAGACAAGTTTTTTGAAGAATACGGAGAGGTAAACTGTTTATTATGTAGTGACGCACAATGACAGCATTGCATCATTAGTGGTGAATGTGTTTCTTAATTACTTCCTTTGCAGGACGGCATAGAGGCTGAAAAAAGAGCAATATCATTCTTGTCGAAACTAAGGAATGAGGTACAAACAGACAAGCCGATAGCAGAGCTCACAGACGGCCTGAGAGATGTGGAAGCCTGGAATCAGCACCTCCAGAAACACCAGGCCGTACAAGGAGGGAAGGAGTCTGTGAGCTGGTTCAAATCTCCTTGGCTTTATGTGGAATGTTACATGTACCGAAGAATACAAGAGGCCATTTGGCTCAAGTAAGCAACCTTTATCCAAGTACTTGTCACCAATGTGTATCATACTTTATAACTTGTTCTGACTTTTCCTTACAGTCCTCCCATAAATGAGTTTGACTTTTTTAATGAAGCAAAAACTCAGAGCTTCTTTGAGTCTCAGAAAGCTACAATTGCTCTATGTACGTTTCTGGAAGCACTTAAAAAGGATAAAGATGGACTGTCTAAAAATCAATTATTAGATAATTTCATCAAGCTATTACAGGTTTGTAAATGTTGTTGTTGACATTTGTTTTTTCCCATTTCTACTTTGTAATACAATGTGATTTTAGGTGTCTCTCTGGGGGAACAAGTGCGACCTCTCCATCTCTGCAGGCCAGGAGAACTCTCAAAAAGACAGTCCTATTGAAGCTCTCCCCAACCTGAAACCATTCATCTTGGTGGATGATTCTGATATGGTATGGGCGACTCTAACCTCTTCCAAAAGCACTGACATTTCAAGAAAAAGAGTCGACATTGTTCTGGACAACGCTGGATTTGAATTAGTTTCTGACCTGGTGCTGGCTGATTTCCTGGTTTCATTTCATTTGGCTGATGAAATTCATTTCCATGGGAAGTTATTTCCATGGTTTGTTTCTGATGTCACTGCGAAAGACTTTGAGTGGACCATCAGACAGACGATGGCAGCCAATCACAAGTGGATGTCTAAAAGCGGCGTTCAGTGGAAGAAGTACCTCAAGGATGGAGTGTGGTCCTATCATGACCATGCGTTCTGGACTCAGCCTCATGAGTTTTGTGACATGGCAATAGAGGCTCCAGACTTGTATGGAAAACTTAGAGGAGCTGATCTGGTGTTGTTTAAAGGGGATTTAAACTACAGGAAGCTAACTGGGGACAGAGACTGGGACTTCACTGTCAACTTTGATACTGTTCTGCGAGGTTTTGAACCATCAGCCCTCTGCAGCCTGAGAACTCTAAAAGCTAATGTCCAGGTGGGTTTGCAGCCTGGACAAGGGGAGCAGCTCAGCTCCCAAGAACCAAACTGGATGACCAGTGGCAAGTATGGGGTCATTCAGTTCCATAAACCACATTTAGACCAGTAAGAGATTTGCGCATTTTGCGGATGAAAAATCTGTAAGGCATAAGACTTTGACATCTGCTAAAATCAAATATTGTTAAAGCAATTTGTTTACAATGTGTGCTTCATACTGGCAAGGGTTATGTTGGGCGTATGCAATAAATTGACAAAATATTTACTTAGACCTATTGTATTGTTAAAATGTTAAATCTGAGAGAAAGTTTTTTTTGTCTTACAGTGTTGTTCCTACTCCATGCCACAAAGCATGTTTTGAGTTTTATTGAAAACCAGACTGTTATGTCTTCGTAGATAAAGCTGATGTCTAACTGTCTTTTCTGTATATCATCGAAGTTCCCACATATCCATCAGAACCATGTCTAATATAATGCATTGGTCTGATCCAATAAATGACACAGCTACTCATTCTTTTGGTTTCTCTTGTTTTGCTTATTGAGTCTCACAAACACTATAGTCTGCTCTGCACCACTGCTTTGTTTGTGCCATGTACAGAAACAAATCCGCATAAACTCGGATAAGAAAAAAAAGATCTGTCCATGCTCTTTAAAGCCCTTGCATCTAATTCTCATATTGTTTCAAAGCTATAAATGTTCAAATTGTGAGACTACCTGTGATTTTTTTTTTTTGCTCCGTAAATGCAAAGGAAACAAAAATACATATCATCAGCCCTACTCGTTTTCCACTTGACCTGACATGCTCCGCAAAATGGGCTGTTTACTCAAGGAAGATGTAGCAAAGAGACGGGAAAATGAATATTTTGCCAAAAGTGAGCCGCGATGTGGGAAATTTGTGAAAATGTATTCTTCAAAATGGCCTTGTCTTTAGTATTGTTAGACTTTTGTTGTTGTTGCACTTGGTAAAAAACATAAGCTGGGGTAGCTAACTTTCCAACCACAAAAATTTTACAAATAACATCTTAATTCCTCATTCTCAAAACGGCTTGCTTCTATCACTGTTTTTTGTCCTTAGATCAGCTATTTCAGACAGAAAAGTGAGAAAGAGTGGACCACCCCCGTCAGCCAATCAGCTCCGAGTGAAAATTAGTGATAACAAATTTATCTTTTGCATATTTGGTTAGAGCCACACAGAGCTCTTACAAGTATGCCAAAGATAACATGTTTTCTGATGCGATGAAGATGGCATGTTGTGTTCTGATTTGTTTACCACATTTTACTTTTGCAAGACTTTTTTTCTGTTGGGTCAAACAATATGTCTCATTTCTGATACAAAAAGTTGGGTACCCCAGCGTTAAATGCCATTCAAATAAACATGCATTTCAGTTGAAGTCTGGTAATTAAATTTGTATTATTCAGTCCAAAAAGTTGATTTAATACAATATTTTATTATACCACAATTTCCATTCACATGCCTCTTCCATTGTGTTATGCAGAGATTTACAGTACTCTTCTAAATGCATTTTTGAACAAACCATCAAGATTAGGTGGGTTGTGTAATTACTGGATAGTGAATTTTGACCTGTTTTCCCGTTGTTTGCTGTGTTATGGTGACCTGGCACTCGCACACATCACACGTATTGATCCTTTGCAGTCTTTAATTTGTTTATCTTTATTTTCAACCTTGCTACTGCTGCCATTGTGATCACAGTGCACTGCGAGATGTCCACGAGGCGGTGAGATGAGAAACTCTAAAGCAGGAGGCAGACAACAGGGCTATTCCATGACAATTGATCTGCAACAGGTGAGTATATGTTCTGTTGTGTCCTTCCAACGTTGATTGTTTTTGTTGTTGTTTTCGTGAGGGTTTTCGGAGTCTCAGGTGTATCTCTAATGTGGCCACAAATAGACTAGTCACACGTCATGACTGTGTGCTCTGAAGCAGCTAAATGAATGCGCTGTAACAGGACCTGTCTTTGACTGGACAGCAGATGTAAGCAGAGGGAGTAGCGTTTAGAGCCGTTACTTCCTTGTCCGGTCTTATTTATTCTCTGCATGGGAAACGTATACACATATTTGGAAGAGGAGTGTTTTTTTAGGAAACGGGTGTAAGGGCTATTTTTAAGGAGGTCGAGGATTGAATCTGGACAAAAGTGCAAGGAAAGTGGACTATTTTGGTGAACTATTGCAGGGATTGGAGAAGGAGGGCTAAGGAGAGGCAGAGCATGACTCGCCTCCACTCCCCCTCCCCGAAAATGGGAGAGCCAGTCTAAATCATGTTGCTTATCAGTGGTGCTGCGCTGTGATGTTGCTCAGGCAGAGTGTTGAGGAGAGCAGGCAGCTTTGCAGAGCCAGGACCAGCCCCGAACTGGAGAGCCTATCTCCACCACGTGCCCCATCTCCACCCCCTCTCAGCGGCATGTACCCAGAAGAGAGCAGGGGGACTGGAGGGGTCGCCCCTGTGGACTTCCTGGATGAGACATACGACTACACCACATCCACCCTGTACCCCAGCACGGGCTATTTCCCAGCGCCTCTAGACGCCCCTGGACCACCCTCTGAGGGGAGCCTGCAGTCTCTGGGCAGTGGTCCTAACAGTCCTTTGATGTTCGTGCCCTCGAGCCCCCGCCTCAGTCCCTTCATGCATCCACCAAGCCACCCGTATCTGGACCCCAGCTCCACCTCCATCTACAGGTGAGTGCTTCTCCGTCATGTTCATCAGAAAGTTGAACAGTTTCAAAATGTCACAGACCACTTCATGTTAAGTTAGTACATGGAAATAATGGAAAATATGGATTTATGTTCATTATGTAAATAATTGACAAATGTCATCATGGCTGCTTTATCGGTCGATTATGTAAGAAAGAGACAGTGCGCAAACAAAATCCTCAGTTGTGTTTATTGTGTGCTTAGTTATATGTATTCTCTGTAATATTTTTAGTTTTTTCTTCAAAGTTCTTAGACAAAAGGTTAATCTTTAGGGTTGTATGTGTAATGCCATTATTTAACAATAATGTATTGAACTCATATTATGTCTTTATCTTTCAGTTTTTGGCATTGGAACAGTAGCACATCACAAACAGAACATAATTATATAACAGAATTGTTTTGCAGAGTTTATACAAAACATTAGTATTATCTCTATAGTAAGGATCAAGCTTCACCCTGGTTTCTAATTCCAGAGATTAAGGACTTTGTCCAGGACCTTGAAAAGGGAACAATACGTAAAGACAACAAGTGAACGTGCAGACTGTTTTTGAATTATGGGCTTATATGTCTCTTCCGAGTAGTATTAATTCTAGCTAAAGTGGTATTAGTAGTGTCTATTTGATCTTGGGATACTCTGATTTTTATTCCGCTTTGATTCTCAGTAAAAAATATAAAACTCAGTTTAATAATAAACCAGGACTAATGCTTAATTATACAATGAACTCGACGTCCTTGTTTTCTCCCCCAGGCCTGGAGTGATGTCATCTCAGCAGGCATCCAGAGAGGAGCACAGTGGGGCAGAGGAAGCCTTCAGAGTGGGTGAACCTGGACCAGGGAGCGCAGTCGGACCTAGAGTCGGTCCTGGAGGCTTCGAATTGGCTAAAGAGACACGCTTTTGTGCAGTGTGCAGTGACTACGCCTCCGGGTATCACTATGGGGTGTGGTCGTGTGAGGGCTGTAAGGCCTTCTTCAAGAGGAGCATCCAAGGTGAGGGCTCTTACTGCAGACAAATACACTTCACTGATTGTCCCGTTGGAACTAAATCACTCTACTTTATTTCACAGACTTTTTTTCTTCTTTATTCATACTGCATTGTGCATATTTATAGTATGATATAGTATAAAATGATATTCATGCTGGTACATCAAGTATTAGATGGTTTTGGAATTTAGACTCACAGAAATAATGACATCACCTTTTTCCAAGAACCGTTGGTCTTTGTTCGGTGGATAAATGCAGTGGCACCATTTTTAACACAATTATCAACTTTCAGCTTGTTGTGGGCAGCCTTTGCTAAATATTATTTAATAAAAGGATTACATTATAAACACAGAAAACCAAGCCTCAACTCAAAGAAATCCAGTAAACAAGGAACATTCAAATATTCTATATTCTGTATTTGAAAGACTGGCAGGATCAGATTGTTTGGGTGGACTGATGTGGCGTCTGGGCCTAAAGTTGAAATGGCCTGGTCTAGATTCTGGTGGTGGTGGAAGCTGAAGTGACATGGAGAGAATGTCCCACTTGAGGGGGTGGTGGGAGGAGGAGGGTTGCAGCACGAACTGAAAGCTTAGTGCTGTCATGTATCAATGTGAAGGGTGATTAGCAGAGGCACAGGTGTAAAGTAGAAATCGACATATTGAAAAATGGCTCTCACTTGTTTGCCATCCTTATCATCCACAAGTGTGTTCAACTCCACAGACTCTGATGTGAGGCTGAAGAGGAGGACACGTTCTTCCTCCATAACTCAGCATGTGTCTTTACTCTCTTCAGTTTGTCTATATACTGGGAAAAAAATATAAATACATCTAATTGCAAACCTTCCAGCCAAGTGCGAGGATTGGTAGATGAGATATTCTCTACACATTTGATTATTGTAAAAAAAATGTATATACATAACTGTATTTGTATTATTTATTCGTGCATTTATCTTCTATAGACAAGTGTCATTGGTTATTAGTCTATTACACTAAAGGCAGTGCATCCACTGTCACTGCTGTGTCCATATAGAAATAAAACATTTTAAAGAATAAAATAAGATTGTTACGTGCTCATACATGAAATGATTTGATTTAGTTGCATTGTTTGTTATAATATCTTGCATGCAGCTGCCACACAAAGACTGAACACAGCTGCTAAAGTTGGCTTAGTCATGTTTGTGTCAGGATATTTTACAACATACAATATCTAAAAATCCTCTTCATGAAAGAACGGTCAGAGAGAGACCAATAGTCTCCATGGCAATGATGATGCCAAGATGCCACTTTTTAATTTTCTCCATCTCAGATCCATTTAAAACCGGAATACAGTGTTCCTGACCACTAAATAACCTAAATCAAAACCGAACACAGGAATAGAAAAAGCCGTAAGGTAATAGACTTTCTTCCATTTTAGGTCACAATGACTATATGTGCCCAGCGACCAATCAGTGCACCATTGACAGGAACCGGAGGAAGAGCTGCCAGGCCTGCCGTCTCAGAAAGTGTTACGAAGTTGGAATGATGAAAGGAGGTGAGTTTCTCCATGAATCATTCAGAATATTTGTATTGTGTATGCTGCTTTCATTTCATTAAGGCTTAGTCGTGTCTTGGTCATTTTCTCTCTATTGTGGAGATTGGCCAAAATACATTTACAAACACATGCTTAGACTTGACCTTGAAGTGGTTTCCTCTTAAGGAGTACTGCTTCCCATAACCCCACACCCACATACAGACTTGTGTTCATGCCTCTTGAATTCCACAAGAAACTAGTTCTTCTTGAACCCATTAACCGTGCTTAAGGTGACGGCATGACGTGTTCAAAACAGGATCTATATCAAAAACAATTAATGAAATATTGCGTGATGTGTGTCCAAAGTGAGATTGTTCTTGCTAAAGTCGCAGGTTTTATACCTAATTCTTGCTTCTTTATAATGCTAAAGCCTTTTCGAACCAGTTACAACTTATTGATTTATGCAAAAATATGTATTGTGCAGGTTCAAAATAAATAATTAAATCTTGAACTTTTTTGAATTATTATTATTTGAGTATAAAGTTGTTGTTCTCTTCTTCTGCTGTGTGCTCCTCGTTCCTACTGTTCTGTAACTGGTGATGCAACACTGAAATTTCCCCGCTGTGGGACAAAGAAAGGATCTCTTCATCTTTTTATTATTCTGTATCATCTCTCCGATATGTTCACAGCATTCTTCACGGTTCCATTGTGTACGCAGGTATCCGCAAAGACCGAGGTCGAGTTGTGCGACGCGACAAGAGAAAGCCTGACAAAGATAAAAACGCAAAGGGCTCACATCCCAGAACAGCGCCTCTGCAGGACAAGAGGCAGTATGTCAGCAGTTCAGGAGGACAAGCCAAGTTGTCCATCACCGGGATGTCTCCTGACCAGGTACATGGCGCTTTAACACCACTCACTGTGAATAATAAAGGTGTCTTACTTACGGCACTTACAGCAACAGTGGGAAAAGGCTCCGGCACAATTTAAACAGTTTAATGGTTCAACAGATATGAACCATGTGTAAACTTCTGATGTGATGGTATGAATAAGAGCTTTGAGGACCACCTTAAAACAAGATAATTCATTGGTTTATCCTCCAAACATCAATACATTAAAAAACGTTATTTCATCCTAATATTTTGACATTTCACATTACGACTCTACTCCACCGAAAGATTTTCTTGGTTAAAAGTATTTTGGCTAAATTGTATGTGAACTATGACCTCCACTGTATGTATCTTGGCACCACTCACCAACCTCTGAAGCTAAGCAGGGCAGGGGCTGTTAGTACTGGGATGGGAGACTTCTGGGAACAGCAGGTGCCACAGTGGGGCGGCTGCGACTGTGAAGTGTCAAACTGTTGTTGTGTCCTGAGGCAAGACACTTCACCCACATTTCCCAGAATGAGTCTGTGGATGGTTGGTGGTGGTCGGCTGGGCCGATGGCACAGACTGGTGGCCTCGCTTCTGTCATTGTGCTCCAGGGCAGCTGTGGCTACAGTAGTAGTTAATCACCGCCGTATATGGAGTGACTGAATGATGAATAATGTGTCCAAAAAAGCGTTAAATGAAACCGATGTGATGCATTATTATGATTATTTGTGTATGTTTGGTTGCAGGTACTTCAGTTGTTGCAGGGAGCTGAGCCCCCGATCCTCTGCTCTCGTCAGAAGTTAAGTGGGCCGTACACAGAGATCACCATGATGACTCTGCTCACCAGCATGGCTGACAAAGAGCTGGTGCACATGATCGCCTGGGCCAAGAAACTACCAGGTTACTTTGCAACACAACTAAATATAATGTCAGAAAGTTTGGTATTTCGACTTAACTGGATTCAGCTGCTTTATGCCTTTATCTCATCCTATGTTATTATCACTTTAACCCAATTCCTTTTTTTTTCTAAGATGTAGGAGCACTAATAACACAATTCATTTGTTTTTTGTTTTTTCCCGAACCCTAGTTTTTTAGGCCAAATGGTTGAAATACAGCTTGATGGTAAAAGTGTCTCAAACCAAGTGATAGAGGGTTAGGGTTAGGGCAGATTTCAGTTCCAAGCTTCAAGTAGAAATAGTGACTCAAAAAGTGATCCCCCAAATGGTTGAGGAAACCATTAAAAGGTTAAAATATAATACACATGTTCCTCATCCCAGTATTGTAATCTCTGCATTAGTGAACAATAACATTGCTTTAACTTCATAGACATTATTATTAGAAGGTGTTAAAAAGAGCTCGGTCTGCTCTCAATGGAAAGCTTGTCAAAGCTTTCCATTGTTTCCTATTTGTGTCGTTAAGCAGCAGCAGAGCGATGTGACACAAATGCAGAGCCATTACGGTGATGTAATTACTGCCATCACCTTTGAGAGCATCAAAGAGCACCTTTGAGAGCATCGTTTGGCCAATCTGTGGCCCCCCACTAAGGCACACACTCTAACAGCACAACACAAACGCACACATACATAACCGTCAAAGTCTCAAATGAATGAAGCAGATCTCCAGACATTACAACCCTGTGCGTCACTAAAAGCCCAAAAGTACACGTTTTAATTGATGAGGTCCCAAGCAGAAACGCGGGACAATGAAAGAGAATTGCTTGTAATCACATATGAATTCGGGCTGAGTGCTGCTGATAAGCTGCTCTTATGGCCACAGATGTGTCTCCAGTTTGCAGCCAGGAACAGGGGCTGTTTCATTTGGGTGAGTGGGATGTCAGTGCAGCCACTGCATCAACAGACCACCTGCTCTAATTACCACATATTTATAGATGGATGCTGGGATATCAGGTGCTTATTGCTGCAGAGGAGATATAATTGCTGCAGTGATTCTAAACAAACACGTCCATAATATGAAACCCTTTTTCAAGACCACAGTTATTTGTGCAGAAAGAACATTTTATTTTTGAGTAAATGTTTTGGGAGCTGTAGTCATTAGATGTATAGATGCCTTTTACACAAGCTGTTTGATGAACATTGACAAACATGAAGAGTTTTCTGTTTGTTGTTGTGTTCAACGTAGGCGTTTCTTAAAGTAAGATGACTTCATATAAATCAGTCATCAGTTAATGACAATCATTATAAACATTATTTTGAAATAAAGAAACATTTGAAGACATTGGCTTTGGAAGAATCTTCAGCGACTACAAATTCTCAAATAAATATTTGAAGCCTGCACATATTTGAAAGAATTATTGTCATTTGAAGATTGTTACCAAAGTCTTTCATAGTAATGTCAAATTAACCATTCAAATCTGACAGAGTCGCACTCTTTTGAAGGTGTTTTTCTTGTTCAGGTTTTTTGCAGCTCTCGCTGCACGACCAGGTGCTGCTGCTGGAGAGCTCGTGGCTGGAGGTGCTGATGATCAGCCTGATCTGGAGGTCCATCCACTGTCCCGGAAAACTCATCTTTGCTCAGGACCTCATCCTGGACAGGTGCTTTTCTCCACACACACACCTCTCTGTGTCGCTGATGGTAAATCAGCATTGTAGATTTTCCATTTTACACCTCTGTCCCCATTGTGCCACCTCAACACGTCTGCCGCTCACTAAAAGACTAATTACATGTTCCCTGCCGCGAGGAGGCTCTCTACCCTGAAATATGTCCTCGCCATTACGCTGCTGAGCAGCAACTGGCACAGATTTAATCAAAGCCATGATCAAAAAATATGGGAAAAAGACGAGGTAGAAGATTTCACAATGAAGTGAAGGAAATAAAGATATATAATAAAGGGACAAATGTGGAGTCTGTTTTCCGGAGCAGGTACAGGCTGTTCTCTGAGGTCACATGGTCCACAGCCTCCACCTGCACCAGGGGCCGAGGGCCAGAAGCAGGCCACAGACAGAGCTCTTAGCCACTGATGCACCTGATGGACCATTTGATTTAGAAGTGTATTATAGAGTATTATCTGTAAAAAGCGGCTGCCATGAGTGTCCTCTGCAATTGGACATGATGACTTAAACACTGCGGGTCAGCACTGACAAATTCCTTTGGCTCCGAACTCTCGCACTGCACTCAGCTCTGAAGCCACTGCAGAGAGTCATCTTCACATCACTCTTACAGTCACTGACAGAGAGCGTCCTTACACTTACCGCTGTATGCTTCTGCTGCTGTTTCAAAGTCACACCATTAATGCTTCTCATTCTGCTCCTGTTGCACAGAAGTGAAGGTGACTGTGTGGAGGGCATGGCTGAGATCTTTGATATGTTGCTGGCCACAGCCTCTCGTTTCCGCATGCTCAAACTCCGACCAGAGGAGTTCATCTGCCTTAAAGCCATCATCCTGCTCAACTCTGGTGAGTAGAGAGCTGCTGCTGCTAAATACACCTTTGTTCTCATGTCCAAGTCAGTAAATAGTGTCATGTGAAGACTACACCCACAGAGGTGGAGCTCAGACGCATTCATTGAACACAATGTTCTGGAAAATCTCTGTCAACTGTTCCCATGACAACGTGAGCCCTTCTTGTTTGTCTCTGAGGGGATGTCAGGACCACACACCTCACTGGCACCACAGTCATCACCTGAAGGTCACAGGCCAATCTTTAACCTGCAGGGCAAAGATTACTTTTTGATTTTAAATGATACAGTGTCATTTAAAGCCATATTTGAATAAAGTATTTCACTGCAGTCTTTGAAGTTACATTTCCATCAGCGCCTATGGCTTCAGCTCTGAAGTGGACTTGTTCTACAGGTGCCTTCTCCTTCTGCACTGGAACAATGGAGCCGCTTCATGACGCTGCTGCTGTTCAGAGCATCCTGGACACCATCACCGACGCCCTCATCTACCACATCAGCCAATCAGGATACAGCGGGCAGCAGCAGGCCAGGAGACAGGCCCAACTGCTGCTGCTTCTGTCCCACATCCGCCACATGAGGTGAGGCCATCTGTCCCCTCTGTCTTTTTTGAATAAATGACTAATGGTTAATGCATCTGTCTTTATCTATATTATGAAAATACAATTCACTTGTTAGTTTAATTTAAGCCCACCTAGGAACTGCTGCAGAGAAGACAAATTAAAACAAGAAAACCAGCCTAATGACCAAACCAGAACCATTATTGCAGAATGAAACATTAAAGGAGACATATGATGCTAAATTGATCCCTCATCGAAACATTACTGGACTTGTTTTTAGATCCATCCAAGCTAACATCAGGAACTTTGCCACTAACGTAGCTCCGCCCCTTCTGTCTAAAAGTTTCTGTCTGAGTCCTGTAATAATACCATGCAACGCTCACACTCAGTCGTTTTCTGTCTTTTTAAACAAAACGATTCCCTTCAAATTCATTTTGGCAATCTCACAAGTGAAAAGATGTTTTTTTTTTACAAACACATGGTTGTGTTTGCAGCCAGTAATTTTCTAATTTGAAGAATAAGAAAAAAAAAAATAATACTCCCTGAACACCTCCCTCTGGTGGTTGTACTTTTTCTACGTTCTGTTTTCTACTTCACACTCTAAAACATGAACTAACAAAGTAAATAGTCTCAACCTTTTCAAGATCCAAAACAATGCGTAATATTATTTTTTTGGATTTGGGGTGTTTTGGATCGTTCCTTGCCGATGCACGATGGTTTAAGGATATTTATCAACATTAATAGACAGTGGTCCTCCCGTTCCCTATGGACCAACGGCTCCTATATGTTTGTTATCATTGCATTTCTGATCTGTTGTTGGAGAATTGACAACTTTGTAAAGAGACGGCTGCTGTTGTGATTTAGGACTACTGCAGGCGAAAATAAATTGTGTTGAATTGAGTAGATCTCACTGGTTTTTTCTTCTTCTCTGCAGCAACAAGGGGATGGAACACCTCTACAGCATGAAGTGCAAGAACGTAGTGCCTCTGTACGACCTTCTGCTGGAGATGCTGGACGCTCACCGCCTTCACCGCCCGGTCCGGACCCCCCAGGGCGGCTCCCTGGACGACGGCAGCCCCTCTTACGACATCGGCAGCGGCTCCAGCTCAGACCCCTGCCGTGCCCCGGAGGGAGGAATCAAAATGTCCTCTCCAAGTCCCATGCAGTTCGGGGGCTCCGTAGAAGATGACTGTACTCTCATTTCCTGAAGTGCGGCTTCAAAAGTTCAAGTCCAGTTGTCACTCGGCTCGGCTCAAACCCAGCCCATGTGTTCAAACCAAAACCCTAAAATTTACCAAAAGTCAAACTGTGATGGTTCTTTTTTTTTATGCATCTGTTCTCAATCCCACCTCTTCGTTATCGTCGTGAAGAATGAATTGTAAATGAAATTGGTGCCATCTTTTCTCTTTGGAAGGTTGGTGGTCATTATTCATACGTTTTAATCCATTTTGAAAGTGACTGTAAATGCTTATTTTGTAGTCGTCGATGCCTTTCCTCTTGCTACTGTGGATTCCTTGGGTTTTTACATTCCCTTGCCTTGAGCTTTTTGAATAATGCAGTGCAGCTTTCCCTACAGCAGGTATTATTGTTCTGGTCCATAAATGTGATCAGATATGGAAAAGAGCAGCTTATGTTTGTCTTTTTATTGCCTCAACCAAAGTGCACTTCTTATTGGGTTTTAAGGGTCTATAGGGCATTATTATTATGTTTTGTCTCTTTTAAAACAGATAATTGCACTTGAGCAAAAATGAATGTGACTTTTGCATTAATTGTTTGTGGCAACATTGAGCCTTGTGAAAATATAAAGGAAGTCTAACTTTTGTATTGGATAAGTGTCTGAGCACATCTCTTCATCGCCCAGTCGTTTGCTTGGCATGCTACTATTTTTGTATGTGCGAAATCTTAAAACTTAAAGCTGGAAATGGAAGTGTACTTTCAACCACAGCTGTTCATTTTTGAAACTAACTTCATGAAGCTTGATTGCATCTTATCGTATATATATTTTAAAAATGTCAAACAAAATTTCTTGAATAGGATCATCATCATTTGTCACTTGGCTTGTGAATGTAAATACAATCTGAAACTGACCAAAAACAATGTGTATTAAATAAAATGTTCTGTCCTAATGAGTTTTTGACCTTAAAAATTATTCTTTTAAAACAACGGTCAATATTTCAAGTTTAATTTTTTTGCAAATAAGTCAGCATTAGCAAACTGTACATACATAAATAACAATTCTCATATTATTTTTACAGATTCTGGTTCAACGACGCAATGATGTCATATCACAGCAAAATAATTATCATATATCAACACAAAGCACACAATGTCACAGCCGTCGACGATCAGTGATTGTTTGGTGTTCTCAAAAGCAAGGGACTTTCAAGTGCATGCTCAAACAGATAAAAAAATAACTGCCCAGGCTTTCCAAGCAAAGGCAACATTCATGGATAACTTTGTAACCAGAGACACATTTATGTGTTCGACATAAACGCCTCGAAAAGATAAAATACTGGAATAAAAAAATAACAGTAAAAATAAAAAAGAGCTTTTGGCTGGACGGCATCAGTGCAGTACCTTCAATAGTGCCCTCAGTGCGTTCTCTTCAAACTCACACTTGTTTTAGCACAGATTTGTGCAACAACACGCAGTACATGACTTATTATGTACAGTGTCTGTTTGAAACAGTGGTTCTTTAAATTTGTCAGTTAAAATATTAGCAGCTACTCCACTGGTAGCTCTACTCTACAATTTACACATTATTATGAAGTACTAATCTAACAAGTGATTGAACACTGTTATATAAATAGTAGCAGCACTGGGTAAAATGAACAATAGCACACGTGACTTTGGCTCCCGACATACAGTATATAAATAGTGCTTTGCTTGTCAATGATCTCGCAGGTTTTCCCAGAAACCTGAAAAATAATATTGACATTAGTCAGTGAAATAGCTGGACTGGGGATGGCCAGTCTCCACATAGGTCCATTTTCTCTGAAGGGTCTGTGGGCAACATCATGAGGACGCGTCTGATTCACTTCCTGGTGTAGTGCTTTCTCTTGGGACAGTTCGGCGTCAGAGCCCGGGGAGATGGAGACATTCACAGGAGTCTGGGGTCCTTGGCTAAAGCAGCAGCAGCAGCAGCAGGGGGTCAGATGGGCGGAGGTCCGTTGGTGTAGCGCAGCATGGGGTGGAAGGAGCGGGCAAAGTTGTTGGCGTGATGGCAGCTGTAGTCCTGCTCTGTCATGGGCACGAGGCAGGCCAGGCCGATGAGCAGCAGCAGGAGCAGCTGGACGGGGAGCGCCGCCCGTAGCACACGCAGCATGAACGACGGCCGGGAGGAGGAGGCGGAGTCTGGGAAGTCAGAACGGGAGGAAGCGCAGCCAGCGACGCCGCGTGATTTCCCCCGGCTGCAGGAGACACCACACACACACACACACACACACACACACACACACACACACACACACACACACACACACACACACACACACACACACACACACACACACACACACACACACACACACACACACACACACACACACACACACACACACACACACGTATGAACTTCTATTGTCGTCTTTGGCACATGGTTGTAGCTAGTGTCAGTTTAAAGAGAGAACAATTACAACACACACTTAAAATTGCGTTCATACTTCTGCCAATAACCACATTCCTCTGTATCTGTCTCCACTGCGGGAGAAATGATGTATGTGAAAGTTCAATGCCACAGATCATTCCAAACAGAAGCAGGAGAAAAGCCAAATGCCTTTCTGGAGACTTCTCCTCGAGGAAGGAACAGTGTGTTCCTCCCACTCCACCAGCACGGAGGAGGGTCCCGCATGCCGACCCCACTTCCTCAAACCAATAAGCAGTTGCACAATGTGCCACTTTTTAACTTTATAATGAGGAATTGCAAGAATTTAGAGCAAAATTATTACATTCTTTACCGTACTTTCTGTGCTATGAGGTGCACCTGGATAAGCGCTGCCTACGCAACCTTCTAAATGAAAAGAAAGTACATTTTGTTCACATGAAGGCCGCACTTGAATATAGGCCGCAGCGCAGGGTTTCATGTTGTAATGTAGCAGAAGGACGACAAACATGAGTTAATGACTAGGTGTGTAAAAGCTTAACCGTTAGCTTCCATCACTCTTTAGCTGCTAAAACTCAGAGTCTAAATAATGAAGTCCATAAACTATTTCTAACCACAGTAAAAATACACACATTAGCCGCATCACTATATAAGCCCCAGGGATCAAACAACAAAAAGGTAGCTGCTTATAGTCTGGAAATTAGGGTAAATGATGAGAGAAAGTGAAATCCATTATTGTCAAACCGTCATGATACAAATGTGTTCTAAAGATTTGATCAAAATGATTTCTCCTTTGCAACAAGGAGGAAAATAGATTCATGTTAGAAACAGAACATAGGAAGTTAATGAAAAGCTATTAATAGACAGAAAGAACGTGAGATAAGGGTTATTGGCATTAATATATCGCCCTCTACTGGGCAGTAAAACAACATGCAGGCAGACAAAGCATGAAGAGGTTAAACGAGAAGAGCTTGAAAGAAAAGAGGAACAAACGAAGAAACAGTTTAACAAAAGCCACGTTCACAGTAAACACAGAGCTCTAGATGAACGGAGATCATGGAACAATGAGCTGCACATCAGAAAGAACACAGTTAGTTTATAACGCTGATGGTTCGTTCTGTGAGACATCTGCTTGTTCCATCATCGTCCAGAGCGCTAGAGTCCAGGAGACAAGTACCTGTGGCGCGGTCTGCTCTCGGGGGGTCCCGGGTGGGTCTGACTACTTTTACCTCGCGGCTGTGCCAGGCAATGAACAGGGGGAGGGGGTAAAAGAAAGAAAAGAATGCTTCAGTCAGGGCAAAAAAAGACCAAGCCTCAGATGAGGAACATAAAGGAGCCATAACATTCTTCATTGAACAAAAGGGCAGCAGCATAATCAATGACATGATTGACTTTAAAACCAAGAAATCTGGCTTCTCAGAATTAACACTAAAAATCTGCATATTTCTATTCACTACACGTAGTAATACTAATAGTTTTTCAAGTTTATAACTGTAATATGAGGAGCCAGGTTTTCTTGTATAATTTCATTATTGATATGATGTTGGCAGCAAAAATTATTACAAAGGGGGCAACAATCTTGATCAACAATTTTAAGGCAGCATTTATAGGGTAAAGGGGACTTTTGTAAAGATAAATTATTACCGTTAGTGGTTTCTGATGGACGACTTCTGACACAGTCTCGGCTAAATGAATGGTCTCCACTTTGGCGACAGGCGACGGTACGACATCCTGAAAGAATGAGGACGGACAGTTGTAGAACAGTTAAGTCCAACTCACACCATTTTTACTGCCCCTGAAATGATTTACAATTATCAGTATTACAGTGACTTGCAACATTGATGGTAATGGGATTCTATGGCACGTATACTTCATTTTAAAGCATTTTACTTTCAGGAAAAAAACCATATTATTTAATTTTGTAAAAAAAATATATATTTGAAGTTAGGCCAAAGATATATTTTTTATATGTTAATTATCAGTCTTCAATTATTACAATTACTCTTCTTGATATTTGGCATAATTGTGGTTGAATCTAAACCTACCAGAAAATATTATCCAAACTCGTGTCAAACAGAATTAATATGTCAAAAAAATAAGTGATAATAAAAGAAAATAAATAAGAAAACTTTATTTATATAGCGCCTTTCACAGACCAGAGTCACAAAGCAGTTTACAATTATTGTGGGCTTTTTTCTCCACACAGAAGTGAGTTCGCCAAACAGGAGGCGTATTCCAGACCTATTGTGCATGTCTTTAGAGGTAGGGGAAACAGGACACAGGGAGAACATGCAAACTCCAAAGGCAAAGGCTCTGTTCAGACCAGGATTCGAACCCAGGACTAAACAGGGCACCGTTGTGCTGAGTGGAAAGCACAACGGTGGCTGTTGTTCTATCCACTCAGTCATTGTGCCGCCCACGTTTATACTTTCGGCCCCAAACAGCTCTTATGTTTTTAAATTTGGCACCGTCCAAAATGACGCCTTTGACACCCCTGTTGTAGAAGTTGGAACATAATTTGCAGTGTGAGTGTGCGTTGTCCCGTCTCTGACCTGTTGTGAGTGATCCGCCTCCAGTCTGGTCTCCAGCTCTTCCAGATCACAGCTCACCTCCCTCAGCAGCAGCTTCAGTCGGTTCCAGATCACGTGCACTTTCTCCTGCGCCTCCAGACACTCGCTGCCCTGAGCCTGCAGCTGCTCCATGTCCCGGGACAGAGACCCTACACCTGGGGGTCTGGTGTGGACCAAGAGCTGAGCGGACAGATCCTGCAGAGACCCCACCTTCTGCTGGGAGTCCAACAGCTCACCCTTTATTTGCTGAAAAATAAATGCATAAATTATTATATTTGAGAACTAAAGACTTTACAAGCAGATTACAAGCTCTGTCGACTCACGCTGAGGGTTTTGTGATGAGCTTGTAACGTTTCACTGTTTACTTTCGGAGGAATGGGCACGACCTCGTTTCTTCTGCGATCGATGTTCTCCAACCAGAGCAGCAGGCCGTGGCTCAGTTCATGAAACTCCTGAGATTCACAAATGGAGAAAATTATATTGCAGCTGTGTTTTTTTATTTGATTTATTTCAGTAGAGAAGCTATTTGAGAGGAGAGGAGAGAGCAGGGGAGAAGGGAGAGGGGGAGGAGAGAGGAGAGAGAGAGCTATAATATATTTACTGCATCATATTACAACATAAATAGGGAACATAAATATCCCTTGCTGTGTTGCTTCCAAGACCTTGCATTTTGCTGCTTTTAGACACTTTTAGACATCTGTGTGGGGTCAGATGATGGTGGGATTGGCTGTCCTACCTGGCATTGCAACAGCGCCCTCTGCAGTTCACTCCTCCAGTCCTCCAGAGACGTGCCGAGGTGGTCCCAGCGAGCGTTCATCTCTTTGAGGCCGTCGCGCAACTCCCAGGCCTCCTCTGAGTCCGGCTCCGACTGAAGGAAGTCCGCGCTGCTCAGGTTGATGGACAGCACCTCGGATTTGTGCACGTCCATTCCCTTCTGCAGATCCTGTCGAGAAACAGAGCGGCGGTCAGGGCGAAGCAACAGAGACGCAGCGTAAAGGCTAATTGGAAAAGGTGTGAGGAGGTGCTGGACTCTTGACTTTATCAGCTGTCCCTTCATATGCGAGTGCTCAAAGATTATGGCCTTTTTAAATCGAGGCTCAAAACCCATTTATTCAGACGGGCTTTTAACACTTTTAACACTCATTAACGCAGTGGCAATTTTGAAATTCTTTTAATATTTTATCTGTTTAATGAATTAATGTATGAATGTTTTAATAGACTTTAAGTGATTTTGTTGTAAAGCACGTTGGTCGCCTGAGTGTTGTAAAGGGCTCTATAAATAAAATTGTATTGATTGAATGATCAGTGGGGTCCAAACATTTTTGTTAGGGGCCACTGCTTGTCCAGGGCCCAACAACCTAGATTGTAAAATTATTTCAGTGCAACTCGATTTCAGTCCAAGATGTGGAGACACTTTTAAAGTCATAACTGTTTTTTTGCTCATTTTTGTCTTGCCTGTCTGTATGTTTTAAATTGGACCCAGAGAAAGTTGAATGGAATTGAATATTTTAGACAGGATTTAGGCTGTTCTGCATTTTAAAATGAGGTATGACATTAGCAACTCTATTTAGCAACGTTAGTGCCATATGGAATTTTGTGCCACGATCAAAAACAAAAATGGTGATTCAAGAGGTATAGAATGCCTATAATGGCGTAGCTGAAGTTGGCTGAATGACACTGTGAACTTGTGTTTAAGATCTCAACAGCTTCTTTGGGTTAGCAAGGCAAGACACACCAGGGACAGTCTGCTCTAGAGTCAAGAGGAGGTATCATTTTAACATACTCGTGATTCATTTCAAATGTAGGTCAGTGGAGTCCTGAGGAAGGAGTCCAGGCATTTATAGAGCCACTAATAACATTTGTGTTGAAGGGCTAGAAACCCATGTGTTTATTAGTAGGAAAAGTTACATAATGCTTCCTAGTGGCAGAATAAGATAAATGTCATATTACTCTACAGATCTTTAAGTTTGGCTTGACACATCAATTAATTCTGCAAATATTTCAAAGTTATTGAACACATTCTGCTTGGAAATTTGAACAAACAAAACATGGGAAAAACAACATTCTGAAAGATATTCAATGCGACCAGAACCAAAAGCCCAAACCTTGAGCTTCTTGATCCTCTGCTGTATGGTGTGGATGTCGGTGCTTTGGCGTTGTCCTCGCAGCTGACTGAGTTCTGCCTCGCACTGACCCAGCCACGCCCTCATGGTCTGCAGATCTGAGATCAGCTCCTGCCACTGCTGCAGGTTCTGTTTGCACCGGTGCTTCTCACTGAGGGACTGCGCTTGGATCAGCTCCCAGCGCTCGATCACACCTGCAGCCAAAGGGTTCTTACGGTTACTACTTTCACCTCACTTTAACTCCCGTCCACTTGTTGCTCTGGTTCCTTTTCTGGTTCACAAGGGGAATTAAAATGCATCACAGATCTATTTCAGAAGATGTAAATGGAGGATGGGTATCTTTCAGAACCTGCCAATTAGGGATGCACCGATCCGATACTGGTATCGATATCGGCGCCGATACCAGAAAAAATACTGGATCGGATATCTGCGTAGAGAGAGGCGCCGTGCTGCCGATCCATTTTCTTTTCATTTAAAAAAAAAAATATATATATTTTTTAATACATACCAGGTACCGCACAATGTCTTAAAATACATTGTGCATAATGTACATATACGTATAAAATGAATGAATTCAAAGTAATGTATAAGATCTGACACGTCGCTTCCTCGTGGCGCTCTACAACAACAACAACACAGCGTGGAGCAGGAAAGAATCAGCGTTGTTCACGCGGCGGTAAACTAGCGAAATACAACACGACTAAGCACCACGAGAAACAGCATGGGGAGTTTCTGCATCGAAAGGAGATTACGTGAAAACAACGAGACACTGACGCAGCGTCACAAAAAGCTTTTCAGCAACAACCCCAAAGTGTTGGAGTTCATCAGTTTGGGCTCGCAGCCCCATCGACCATTTGGAACCCAGTTACATGCCGTCGCCAAATACATATCTGAAATCCAGTTAAAGCTACGGTACTATTATTTATTTACATTTTCATGCAGCGTGTTTTGTTTGTTATAAGTGTTTTTTTTACTCAAACACAGTTAATATAAGTACATTTTATTCAATAAATGTATAAGGTATAATACAATGTTGGAATGTTTAATGTGAACATTGAGCAACTCTTTACAGTTGCATCATTGCACATTTATGTTGAATCCATTTTTATCTGGAAAGTTTAGCGCTTTAGTTCATCCACTGCTTTTGCAGTTACTTGAACAAAGAGTTCAATTATTAAATACATTTTAGCATGATCATTTCCGGTATCGGTCAATATCGGTATCGGCAGAAACCCATTGCTCTGGTATCGGTATCGGTATCGGTAGTAAAAAAGCTGGATCGGTGCATCTCTACTGCCAATACGTATTTCGATATGCTCCGTTTGGACCAATGGCTCCTATGTGTTTGATAATAATGCATTTCCTTTATTATCTGATCTGTTGTTGAGGATGACAACATTGTAAGGTCCTCCGCTGCTGTTGTGATTGATTTAGTGCGATACCATAAAAAAACTTGAATTGAATAACACAATGCCATATGTATCGAGATACAGGGGACTTTCAAATCCATACCATTCAATACATTTAGATTCAATTTGATATGGTTCAGTAGAAAATAAAGGCTTTTGGCCCATTTCCGAACAAAAAAAAATATATATATTTTTTTTAATTCATTGTTGTCAAAATACAAAGTACAAATATATATACATTTGAAACTTTAAAAATAAAATAAAACATTTTATCAAAAAAAAAAAAAAAAAAGCACACCCCTGTTGACTTGTGGACACGTCTTCGCTTGTCTGATGCCTTTACCACAAATATTAAATTATTGTGGAGCAGAAATGGTCCAGTGAAAGTGAACCAGGTGTGAATGCCCCTGAGTGTTCTGGGTAAGTGTGTGATACTGACCAGAGCTCTGAGGGTCCGCGTTGTTGGGGTTGTTAAATCCGGGAACATCATCTTCGTCATCAGTCAGTTCTCCCTCTGCTCGTTTAACGGCGTCAATACTTCCCCGGCATTCTCCCATCAGACGCATCTGAAGAATAAAAAAATATTATTAAAAGATAAATTGGTACTAAAGATAAGCAAAATAAACTCAAATCTGAAGGGAGTGGTGTATACATCTGTAATTGTTGTGTATGCTTCTATTTAACTTTGGCGTTTGATGCCCGGCTTGGTCAGGACGACTGGACAGCTGAAGTTTTTAAAAAGGTCAATCCATGTTGTGAAATTGTTCTCACTTTTTATTGGGCTGAAGAAATAAAAATGATTAAAAAAAAAACTATATATGAGTAGTTGGAATATCATTCAAATCATTGGAATAAAAAGTATATAATTATAATGTCATAGCGGGTGTCACCATAGTCAGTTATTGTTAATGCATAAGTGAACTCAAATATAGATGCAAATGTTTAGATCATATTTTAGCATCAACAATATAGTTATTATTGTGGCGTACATAGCCCATATAGGTGGAGTCCGGGCTGCTCCGGTTGGCGCTGGCCTCCCTTTGCTGTAGGTGGTAGCGTCCTGCGTCCAGAGCCTGGTCCAGCTGCCTCAGACTGGCCTCCAGCTGAGCCGCATCTCCTGAAGCACACAACTCTGTCATCATGGGCACACTAACAGCTCTGTGAGAGATGAGTGACTCTATTCCCTAGAAGAACATGCATTAGTCTGATAACTAGATGGAAATAGAAAAACATGAAATGGCCATAGATTAGTAAGTATGTCATGCTTTTTAGATGGTGAGACATGCAGATATTATTCTTAAAGGGCAGAACTTCTGTGTTAAATGGTTTTTACTGTTTTAGGCTGTGATTGCATGCTTTGTTAACTCATGCCCTGTCCCTTTAGCATTAGCACTGTTGATTCTTCATACCAGATGTGGATTTCAAAGTTTTCTCAGTCAGTTTAATATAGGCCTCTGGACTCTCAGGAATTACTACATCTGGACACAAATACAGTACATAACATTCTTAACATCTCGATTCCTTTGTAAACAGTGGAAAAATAAACATAGAGTTGCAACCCTGGATATAGTCATTTGAACTTATCATATTTTTTATGTTTTTTGCCTGATTATGCAAAGCAAACTAACCTGAAAGCACAGTGGAGGCCGTCCTGAGGTACTCCTCCTCACCCTCTTGGTCATGGTCTTGCGTGTTCCCCCCTGGACTCTCCAGACCTCGGCTCAGGTCGTAGTCGTGGTCCCACTCCAGAGGGATGGAGTCCACACTGGCGGGAGTGTCCCGGCCTGATCGCTCTGCCCTCAGGAGGGGCGCAGTGCCTGAGGCCGGTCGACTGGAGGCCCGAGGACCCGGAGAGTCAGACCACTGTAGCTCTGGACCCTCCTCCAGGTCCAGCTCTCTGTCCGAACAGTCCAGGTCTTCATCCGCCAGCTGAAGCAAGAGGGAGAAACAAACATCATTGTATGCTTATGAATTGTATAAATATGTATATTCACATTTCATGGGTGTGTGCGTGTCTGTGTGTACACGTGTGTACTCACAGGCAGCCGAGTGAGCTTCTTGTAGTAGCGCTCCACTCGTCCGAACACCTCCTGACAGTATCTCTGCAGTTCCTCCAGTTCCTCCTCGATGACCGCGGCGTCTAGTGGCTCACTCTTCTCTATCAGAGCCTCTCCGTGTCTGAACACCATCTCTATCTTCCCAGTGTTCAGGTAGATCTCCTGCTGGAACGCCTGATGCAGAAAACAATTAGCAACAAACGAAGTAATGTTGAAATCATATCCCATTCTGTTGACTGGGATTGCGCACTTACAGTGGCTCTTGAAAGTATAAATACACCTTGAACGTTTGCACATTTTCTTTACAACCAAAAACAAAAAGATTTTATTTGGATTTTTCACACACGAGTAACAGACAACTGTAAGTAAAATGATACAAGAATACGTTATTATTATAAAAATAGAAAAGTGAAAAAGTAAACAGCATGAAGTAATATTTGGTGGAACCCCCGCAATAATTGCCGCAAGTCTTTTAGGGTATGACTCAAGATTAGCACATCTATCCCATTCCTCTTTACAAAACAACTCAAGCTCAATGTTTGTGGTTGTAAACTTTGTGCAAAGGGCCAAGGTGTATCAATACTTTCAAAATTCATTGTACTTCAGTACTAAAGGGCATCTTACTCTGAGTTGTTTGATCTTGGCTTGAACATCACATTCAGAGAAGTGCTCGATGTTCGTCAGTTGAAGGTCCATCTCTGTGAGCCACACAAGGATACTGTCTCTAGCTGTTTCAAACTCCTCCCTCTGACCTATGAAATGCTAAACAACAGAAAAACATTCAAAACAGGTTACAAACATTGAATTTCAGTCTCAGTCAAATCAGAACAGGATTGTGAAAACTTGCTCTAAAATCACTGGAGGAAAACTCAGACCTTCACTCAACAGGTGCTGAATAAAGCAAGTGTATACTGGCTCAGCCCAAACATCCTCTGATCGCTGACTTTGTAATGATGCCTTTAGGGCGTCGTTTTAATGCTTAAAGCTCGGAAAACAAACCGTCTTTCAAATTATTTTGTGTCTTCTGCTTTAAACCCGTTGAACTCTGGTAGAGGTGTTTGACTTTTGGGAATTGGAATTGGTGTGTATTGTTTTAAACTTTGTGTAACCTATTGTAACGTTTTAGGCCTGACTCACTTTGTGTTTGTGTAGAGTCTGTGTGTCCTGCTTTGAGATTCTGCTGCATATTATTTGCCCTTTGGGATCGTTAAAGTGTTCTGAATGTGAATCTGAAACCATTACCTTAAGTCTTCGCAGAATCGCAGTGACCCTCTTCTGCAGGTTGTCCCAGCGCCGGTTCCCGTTGTGCACCATTTCTCGGAGACGGCAGGAGGAGTCAGTGCGGTTTTCCCGGGCCAGACGCCGATACTGTTTGTTGATGAGCTCCAGCTGCGTGAGGCACTCCTGCACCTGTCGCTGGAACGCCTGGCACAAAGACACATTATAAAGATTGACATAGTAGTTACATGAGTAAGAAAACGATGCAGGCATGAATCATGCATGTAGTGTATGTATTGTCAGAACCCCACCAGAAAATAAAACATGATTTCTTGTAGCCAAAATGTGTACGTTGTTATTACCACGAGTACTCTCAGAATTCCCAGAGCTGTCATTTTGACTGCTCCTATTCACACCAATGGAATTTTGAGAAATTCCCAATATATATATATTTTTTTTTTCACCAGGTTTTTAAAAGTATGCAATTTATAGGTTTGACAAGGATAATAAAACGGCAAAAACAGTTGAAAGGCGATCAGATGCTAACAGCTGGCAAGTAAACAGTTTGTCGCTAATTCAATAGAAATAAATTACTTGTAGATACAAATTTCTCGAGAGCAAATAATGGCCCATGCAAAAGTAAAAGCTGTCAAATTGACTGCTCTGGGAGTTCTAGTGTTACGAACCATGGAAAACCACGAGGTCTGCCAGAGAGACTACAGTGAGACACGTGAGTGTGATGGACCACAGCAGCTGTGCAGACCAGTGCAGACCGGTCACTGCAACACGACACTCACGTTTCTATGCACTACTATATCAGCTTCATGCTACAAGTGTTTTGTCTTTGGAATAGCAGTCAAAATACTATGCAAGAAAATATTTGGCAATGAAAAACAAAACAAAACAATGATTGTAATTTGTAAGACGCCCTTGAACTTTCAGCATTTACTTGGACTGCACTAGAAATGGATGAAAAAAGATAGTTTATCATTTTACACACCTCAAATTTCTTCATTTCCTCTTTGGCTACAGTATACAGGACTCCAGAGGAATTTGGCAGAGCAGCTGTTCTCTCTGATGTTTTCAACCAATCTTCAAACCGAGAGAAATCGTCCAGGAACTTTTGCCACAATCTCCAGGTTTCCTCGATCCTATAAAGAATGGAGAGCGTGAGGTGGTGATTTGAAGACATGACTTGTTGCCTGAGTGTGATGGAAGCGTACTTAAGCCTCCTCTCCATGGACATGGCACAGATGTTCCTCCAGCGGCGGTCCAGGCCCCTGGTGGCCTGTTGGATGGAGTCACACTCGGTCTCAGTGGAACAAGCGTCACAGTCATGCAGCAGAACCTCACAGAGGTTTAGGACCGAGGCCACACCAGTGCTGTGCTTCTCAATGTCCCTCTGCAGATCCTGTGGAAAACAGAAGTTTAATCATAACATCAACCTGCGGAGTATTCTGCAGATGGAAATAAACACAAGGTTTTAATCTGGAGGGTTTTACCTACACTATGGGGAAATGATTTCAACCAGGTTTTGTCTGTCTGCTTGATTGGCTGGCTGTTAGCAACATAACTTAAAAAGTTATGGACGGATTATTTTACAAAAAAACTATTCATTACCCCAGAAATGCCCATTTTTAAAGACATGCAAACGTCGATGGTTTATGACTATAAACTATATTTTCCTTCATTGTAATCCCACTCCATGCATTCATACATTTACTAGAATGGATTTCAGTTAAGGAATCACAATATTACATACCTTTCACTAATATCGCTATTTCACAGATATATTTTTAATTAATCGCAATATGTTTTATGGATGTATTTATTTCCCCTTTCTAGTTCACACAGCACGTACAGTACAGTCACAGAGCTCTTGTCTGATTTGCAGCTGACATGAGTTGGCAGTGAAGGATAGTACAGTGCCAGACTGTATGAGTCAGTGTGGATTTCCTCACATATTCCATCAACACTATTGAAGCTGTTGCTTTTGCCACTACTTTACAGTTAGATGAATGTTTGTATATGTAGGATATTTGTATTTGTGTGTATTTGTTCCTGATGTATATTTGGAAACATTGTTGTTTGAATGGTTTTGCATGTGTTTGCATTTGTGGCTTGCCTGCTGCTGGTTGAGTTTCCTCTGGATCTCCTGGTCGTCACAGGTGTCGTAGACGATGGGCCTGGACAGCTCTGTCTCGATGTGAGAAAGCCACGAGCGAAGACTGCTCATGTTTTTGTCCAGCTGCTGCACGGCCACAAGGGTCTCTCTCAGCTTCTTCACCCTGAACATCAAGTCAGGAACACAACTTTCAAACACTTGAATCAGCAATTAAAATTGAATCATAACGTATTTGCTTCAATTAGTGTTAATTAATCATAAGGTTAGGGTTAGCTTTAAGGTCTGTAACTGATACCATTACATCGCATTCATCAATATTATACTAACAATATTACAACACCAAAATAATTTTATGAATCTTAAAACTACAGTAACATGTTGATGTTATGGACTCTTAGCCACATTAGCCAGGTTAACAAAGTATACATGCACAATACTATTTCAAATGCATATTTTATCAGTACTTCATTTTATGGAGGAAATACTACTAAAACATGTAGCAGCAGCTCTCATTATATGCATTCACTTCTGAGTGCATTCTGACTCCTGGACTCACAGCTCCATTCAAAGTTAAGAATCAATAACAACATACAGCATGCTGCAAATCAGGATAACTCAATAATACATAAATACACTTTAAACTTCCCAAGCTTCACATAAATTGAATAAGGTAAGTCCCTGCCCAAGACAAGTTATCTTCTATTCATCTAAACAAAAACATGATCCTGCCTGTTGATATCGCAGTCACATTCTGGCAGATCCTCATTCGGACATCCTGCCATGTTATCCGACCCTAAATCCAAAACCATGGGGGTCTAAAATTCCCAAAGACAACAATAACGTCGGGAACGTCGGGAAGTGTAAAGATCCACTCGTGTGTGTCTTTTCTCTGGGCTTCACATGTGAGTCTCTCTGAGGTTTGGTTGAGCACTGAGGGAGGGGCAGGAGTCGGCACAACTGTGACTTATCAACAGTTGCCAAGGTTAAAAAAAGAGAACAGGCGCGTGTGAGGGGGCTGCTGCTAAAACAGGACTACACTCAGAGGCATGTGCAGAGCTGCCTTCTGATCTAAGCATTCAATACAATGGAAAAGGATGGCTGTCCCAACACTGTGCAATTTTCTATTACTTATTCAATGAACTTGAATAACTTGCAATTTGTAATTTCTAACACAAAATTGGTTAAAGTACTTGCTATACTATTAAGCACACCTATATGAACCACACCAACTAAATTTAAAAAGAAATAAATTTTTTCCCACATTGATGCACTTGATCATAAGCTGCAGGAACTGCTGATGGTGCAAAATGAACATGATAGTTTGCAGTTGACTCGTGATGATAAAAGCACTCTGGTAAAGAAAATCTATTTTGACAATACGTGTACTTCCTATCTCTATTAACACTGTGTAAAAAAATAATGTAACACAAAAACAAGCAACTGAACAAACCAAAGTAAAACTAGATCCAGATGCTACATCACTACATAGGCCGCAGGACTCAAAGAACTTAGATCAGGTGTCTCCAACCTTTTTTACACAGAGAGCTACTTTTCTGGGACTATAAATGCAGAAAGCTACTTCTTTAAACGGCCCTTGGGAAATGTTTTTGATATATTGGAGTGAACAAGGCTGATATCAGGTATAGTCATTATTTATCATCATATATTTGTTAGTGGTGACAAAGTAAGTGCATAATGAATTCCTTTGACGAGCTTCCTGAAAGGGGGTGGCGAGCTACTGGTGGCTCCCGAGCTACAGGTTGGAGACCCCTGACTTAGATGAACTGAAATGACGTCTTGTTTTGATTTTATATTTAAAAATAAAATCCTAAAAAAAACTTTCCACTTTCTAAATATAGAAAAATGCAAGTAGATTAACAAGAAAAAATGAGTATTTGACCAATTCGGTTGTAACATTGCAAAATGAAAAAAAAGTGGGGTTTGAATCCTTTCTGAATGTGCTGTGGCTGATGCTGGAAATGTGGAGAGCTAAGATATCAAGGTCACTGTCCTCGTTCTTTAAACACAAAGCGGATGTTTGGATGTTTGAACGAGGTCCAGATAGAACAGATTGCACTCTTATTGATTGAATATCCAACTAGATGGTTTGGGCTCAATGCCTCATGTGAAACTGAAATTGTGACATCTGGTGTTGATACAAGGAATAACACAGATTCTCTTCCTTACTCGTTTTTGCCCCACATCTCATATGAGGCGTCATGCTCTTACCGCGCAGCGATGAGGTCGAGCAGATGTTGCCAGCGCTCACTGACTTTGCTGAGTTTGTGCTGAATGTCAGAGGCCTTGTTGTCCTGACTGGCCCTTGCCAGGCGCTCGCCCATCACCTCCAGCTGCTGCTTGTTTTCCTGAGCCACACTGATCTCCTCCTGATAGTCCTGATGAGACAAAACAAACAATAGTGGCTGTGAATATTCCTTAATTATGGAGACTGAGAAAGGGGTCCACACATATATTCATACGCAGAAACTGGTATAGCCAAATAATGAATCAGGATCAATGTCAAAGTTAATCCTGTGCACAACCCTTACCTTACCCTAACCATAACTAATGCCTGCACAATTACTGTAATTTCCAGACTATAAGCCACACCGCATTATAAACCGCACCTTTCTCACTAAGCATATGACATTTAAATATACCGTACATTGGCGTTAGAAATGCATAAATTAGATTTTTTTTCCATGTTGATGAAGGGAGTACAAATAACTGATTAATATATCATACAATTAAAAAGAAAAAAAAAGAAAAATTAAGCCGCATCTCACTATAAACCGCAACGGTCAAAGTGAGGGAAAAAAGCCACGGCTTATAGTCCAGAACTTTCTGTAGTTTGTTATAACATCCTGGGCTTAATTCCTTGGTCACTTCAGATAAACAGTGTTCAAACAGTGTTCATACCTTGCGCAGCTTTTCAATCATCTCTTCAATGCTGATGTCTCCGTTCTGAGAGACCTTGCTCTCCATCTGTGTGAGCCATTCACACAGCTCCTTGTTCTTCTCATTGAACACGGCCCACTCATTTAACTTTTCAGTCACCTGCTGTCGCCGCAGGGAAAGCTATTGGCAAAAGGTGAATTTAGACAAAACATAGGCCTCAACAATGCATAATCTCATGCATTTGTGGAAATAGCAGATGAGGTAGCAGAACTTTTTACCTGATGACACACCTCCTCCCACTGACGCTGGAGCAGCTGGAGGCGCTGCTGGAGGACTGTGATGTCATCAGGACTGACCACACCCCCCAACGAATCCCTAAACATGAACAAGGAAGTGAGGTCGTCTGCCCAGCCCTCCACGGTGTTCTCCAACTCCTGCAACGCCCAACCACACAATACATTCAATATCATAGAGAGAAAACTGGCTAGCACAATTAGCTATTCACATGACAACATCATTAGATACAAGTCCATTTCTAATTAATGCCATGGAAATTCAAATAGAAGTAAACAATCACAATGACATTATTTAAAGGCACACCGTGTAACTCTTGGCCACTAGGGGCGCTAGACCTGCAACTTTCACGTTTAGCGCCCCTAGTGGCCACAAGCAACTCAGCACTGTCGCAAAAGTCAACAAACAGTCAGCCGGTGTCTTTTGAGTGTGTATTCAGACAGCATGCACTGGTGTGTGTGTTCAAACTGTAGAGACATGCCTACAGATATTGAGAGACTCTGCTGTGGTCAGCCTCCAGACCGCTGCATTAGTAATCTACCACACATGGACTTCTATATCCTGGATGAGGGAGTTCTGCGTCTAGCTCGTGCTGCGTGGAATGACATCTTTGCAGTCGATGACATCCAGGAACCAGGTGAAGAGCAGCGCTCATACAGACATGCAGCTTACAGCACGATCCCTTTCGCGTTTCCTCTTTTTAGCCTCCTCCGAAGGTTTAAAATTTTTCCTTGCCTCAGCCATGACCAGGAGTCGAGCAGGTGAAAAATGAGTAGCAAAAGCCTTAGCTCCATGAGTATATCAGCGCCTGTAGCCGTAAAGCAAGTCTTTCTTCCAAGTCACGTGACCTGGTGGCAGACGGTCCGTCTGCTCGAAACTTACATGGGCGGTATTTCAAGAGGGCAGCCCCGCTCGGAGCATTGCAAGTGTCAAGCGCTGTATATTGGCCCAAGTATTCATATAAAATAACTCATATGTGTCAACTCTTTAGGTCACAAAGTCCGCGGTGTGCCTTTAAGAGAAGCTTGAATTACAATATATTTGCAAGATACATTACCTTGATACTGTTAGGTCTGTTGCAATGCACAAACTAGCATCTTTCAAGGTTACAGCCAGAACAAGCTAACCATCAAGAGGCATCTAACCTGGTCTCTCCTCTGTCACTGTGCAGCGTTGTGTGCTTTTGTTGCCCCAGCCAATTCCTCCATTGCGCCCCTCACCACGAGCACGCACATGCCTTCTCCCCCACAGCCAAAAGTGATGCTGTCTAATGATTCGGTCTCTTCACGCGCATGCACCTCTCTCTCCTCCAGGCTCAGCTCTTACCCCGCCCCCCTCTCTGTCCTCAGCTGACGTGAACACTGCCCCCTCTCCCTAAGGAACAGCTACGTGCAATGCGTGGAACATGTACTGACGGGGGAGTATCACATACACATGTTTTTGGGGGAAATAGGGAGAGTGTTTTTGAATCAACAATTCAAATGATGATTCAATTATGGTATAATAGTATGTGTAGGCTGGGGCTGTCACACATGTATAATGATGTGTTACTTACATATATGGTGGACTCTAGATTTATCAGTTTATAAGTTTGGAACTGGCAAAAAAAACAAACTAGAAATTTAAGATTTGCAAATGGATTGCTATAAGTGCGACACAAAAACTGCAACACATTTTGAGTAAAGGCTTAGATTGAAATAAATCTCTTGGGCACAAAATGGGAACCAAGCAGACAGACACAATCTAACAGTCAAACAGAGAGAGATTATTTTAATACATTTTGGTTCTAAGTTTGTCCTGGAGAATAAGAGGTTAGAGGGCGGACAGAAAGACACTGGATGCTATATTAAACACTGTTTATGCAGCATGGATACATCAGTGTCATCTCTGACCTGAGCGATACAGTATGTGCGGGGCTTTACCTTGCATCGGATTTGCTCGGCGTGAAGCTCCTCGTGATGGTCGGGTAGAGGCCCAGACAGCTTTCTCTTAAAGGCTCTCAACTTCTCCAGGGAGGCATCTATTCCCTTCTCACATCTGTCCCAATTCTAAACAAAATATTTCAACATTAGCCTACAGGTTGACAGATGCATAAACCGATATCAAACAATTTTTAGTCTCATGTAGCGATATAGTGTCAATCTATGGTATGCACAGAACCATAGATTGTTGCCCTATGCAGTTGATTAAATATTGTATTTATAGCATTGCATTCAATTACCAAATGACCCTGAGTAAATCAAAACAGCACAGCACAGCGACTAGGCAGAAATAAATCTATGGTATTGCTTTGGCTTCACAGATTTAAGTGCAGGGAACACAAAGATCATAAATAAGAAATGCAGCCAAAGAAGAGCCATAGTTAGACTGAAAGGCAAAAAGCTTTCTCGCCTCACTGTACATAGGCCCATCTGAAGTGTGTTTACGATTATTCTGTACATTCGTTTTTATGGAACTGACTTGTATGTGTACTGTTTTTACTGTATGTTTTTAATTGTGAAGCACTTTGCGATCCTGGTCTGTGGAATGCGCTACATATATATAAAATTTTACTTACTTTCTTACTTAAAAAGAACTTCACAGCCATACAAAGACAGAACGTAAAAGGTTTTTAAATGACTATCTATTTGATCTAATTCAAAACTCAAGGGATTTAAATTTATTGGATGATTTAAAAAAAAATATATATATATATAATTTTGCTTGTCCCATTGGCAAATCTTGTTTTATGGAAGTCAAAATGTGCTCAAATTAAGATACATCTTAACAAATATTTTTGACTTATTCTTCATCACTTTTTGCAGTGTATGCCAGATATATTGTTATCTAATCAGAGAGAACAACAGTAGTTCTCCTCTGACCTTGAGAAGCCCATGCAGCTCTCTCCTCTGCTGGTCCAGGCGCTGGTGGGCGTGCCTCCACTTGTCCTGGATCTCCATGAGCTCGGTCTGGAGCCTGGACTCAGCCTGGGCATCGGCCGACATGAGCAGACTCCGCCCCGCCTCCACAGTGAGGATGTAGACCCCCTGCTGTCGGTGGAGTACCCGCTCTCTAAGCTGCAAGAGCCAGGGCACAGAGGGGCGAGACAGAGGGGTTACTAAGGGAGACTACATCAGGATGAGGAAAAGATCAAGTTTAATACAAATCTGAAGTCATGAAGGCATTTGAGAGATTATACATAAATAGATAATAAAGAGTTTTGATGCAGTGACCTTAAGCACTATAACTTTAATAAATACACACATTTGAATGCATTATTCCTTTGAAAACACTCACCTGTATCTGATCTAACAGGTTTCTAGCCTGCTGTAAGGCCACACACTCCCCAGTCTGGTGAAGGTCCGGTTCATGGGAAACTTCCTGGAGCCATCGCTGCAGTTTTTCTGATGTTTCTTTGTAATTCTGCCAATGTCGCACCAAGCTATCGATGATACCCCTCCTCTGCTGAGCACGCCTCACCACACACTGCCACTGGTTACCAAGCAGGGCTAACTTCACACTGAAGTCATCCCTGTACAAAATATAATCTACATAAGAATCCATTTGTTTTACAATAATTCATTTAAATATTTGGCCATGCTGTCACCTGTCATCCACTTGTCCCTGGTCTAACATACGATGCCCATCACTGATGATCGAATATAGAATTTGCTGCCGACTGAACATTTCGGCCTGGAAAAGCTGTAAGAGGAGGCCCACAAAGGGTTAAATCTTTCCAGCTCCAAATAGATCCAAAAATCTGGATGATTGTAAAAATGTTACTTTAGTCATCTACCTCATGGTCTCTTTGTTGCTCCAGCAGACTTTGGTAGTTGCCTGAAATCTCAGCAGCAAGTTTCTGTTCAGTCTGGGACAGGAAATCCATCCACTTCTCACACTTCTGGAGGAAGCTCTGATGCTGCAGCATCATGGCTTGCAGTTTGCTGATTATGAGGAACATTATATGGAATATGAAACATTAAAGTTGGTTGTTACACACATGTGTTGTTTGTATTTTAATAATCAAGGCATATTTAGGCCTGTGTACCTGAATCTCTCAGTGAGGTGGGCAGAGTGAGCAGCCCAGGATCTGTTGAGACTCTGCAGCTGTTTGATATCGGTGTCACTGACAGGCAGTCGGTAAACCACATCATTCACACGCTCCAAGTCTGCTGCAAGACTACTCAACTTCAACAGCTCAATCTGGAGACACAACAAGACTCAGTAACAGGCTTAACTGTGTGCACAAGGATTTTGGCACAATCTTACCTTGAGTTTGTCCATATGTGTCTGGAGAGTATTCAAGTCTGACAGAGCCGTGGGGTCAGGCTCCTTCAAAACCTTCTCTGCCTCTTCTGCTTTTCTGACCAATGTGTTCAACTGCTCTCGGAAAGTTTCACAAGATTGAGAGCCACACTGAAAACAGAGACACGTCATTATTGCTACTAATTGTGTACAGTCCAGTTTTGATTTTGCGCCACGATTAGGTTTACAAACTCTAAATAATAGACCCACTGGAGATATAAGAAACAAATCACAATATAATATAAGCAATAGAGGTTGAAGTCTTATGAATACCTGCAGTACTTCTTGCTGTCGGTGAAGGGAGTGCTCCAGCATTGCTAATCGGTGTGATAGGGACAGGTGGTCTGTCTGGAGAGCTGCAGAGGACGACGAGTCCACTTGGCTCTTCAGTTGTTGTCCCAAAGCCTGCAGCTGCTGAAGAGACTCTTGCACTGAGGCCTGGCCACTCAGACAGTCCTACATCAAAAACAAGTTATTTCACAAATATAATAAATAATATAAAACAATTCTCAAATTGTGGCGTGGTTTAAAGTGAAAATATGGACTTTTTCGGGAGTGACTGGTGAGGACTTCATAATTTGTTTCCGTAATTCCGTAATTTGTTCAAGAAGTACTGCACATTATTTTTGGAATAGCTGGAAACTAGCAGTGAGGCAAAAGTGCTTTAAACGGCTGTAGGAATGACCTCTTTCTCAAAATTCTCGAGTGCAACATTGGGGGCACACTGTTAGTGTGAATCAGGCGTCTGTCGCTCTTCTGAAGGCGCCTTTTCAAAAGGCTTTTGTTCACCGTGAATCTACATTATAACAACAAAGGAGCAGGCTGCAATTTGCTGCACGGTACAAAGAGAACAGACGCTAGTGGAATTGGTGCATTTTTCTGAACTGAGAACAACACAAAAAAATATATTATACAATTAACCTTTCAACCGATAAGTATGTTTGCCAAAAATAATTGAAACCCAATAATACATTTTAAATGAACACATTTTTTTGAATAAGTTATAAGTAAATCTGTTAATATATACATAACATATATTTTACAAATAATTGTGTAGATTATTTTTGTATGTATCACTTTAAGGTGGCACAGTTTTTGTGTAGGTTTCCTCTGGGGGCTATGGTTTTCTCTACCACAAAAAACACGTACAATAGTGCCCCATAACTCACTCCCTGAGTCCCGCCCCCCGTCTGGGGCCAGGACTCCCCTGAAAAAGAGATTCTGAAATCCCAGTGGGAATTTCTTGGTTGAATAAAGGTAGATAATATAAAAAAAATAAAAATAATTTTAATGTTGATAAATTTCAAAATTTGTAGTTTATTGCTTTTTTTTTACTTTGATGGCAGCACTAGACTGCTTTTATTTGTCCAATGTTTGATGATTTGAGAAGCGCGTACACTCTCCAGTGTCACAATTTCACTAAAGTAACTTTCTCCAAATGTGTTAAATATTCAAACACTTCTCGTCTGCCTTCTCCCTGATGCTTTGTATCCGCAGCTGTGTGTGCTCGGAGCAGGGGGCGTGGCCATGGTTCAGAGTGAGGTCACCAAGGCAGGGAAAGAAAACTGTAGCTCAAATCAATATATTATTTGATTCGACGTTTTTTAATTATCTGAATAATCTGTGTGATGTCATGTTTGGCATCCTAATAATGTTATAATAAAGGATAATGTTCATATAGGAAGTCGGTCACATGACTAAATATGACAAATAGCAATACTTACATCACAATCCTTTATCCACGTTTGATTCTCGTCCTCTGAGATCTCCTTGTCGGTGGCACTCTTGAGCAGACGATCCGCCCTCTGTTCTTGTTTCTGAACTGTGCTCACACACTGGTTGTACAACGTCTTATATTGTTGCCACAAACCCAAAAGTGCCTTACTGCTCCTTAGCTGCTCTGATATCTGCTCAAGTAGACCATTCCACCTTAAAAGCACAGAATACACACATCAGTACTATCATTATCACTCAAATATAGTAGGGTGAGAATATTGAGTCATCCTACCTAATGTTAACGTCCACTAGAGCCTGGTTTAAAGTTTCCGCTACGGATCGGTGACACTCTGTTAACAGCTGTTGTGTTACGGTCCCAAACTTTCTCAAACTGCTCTCTTGCTTTTCCAACTCCTCTTGCAAATTCTACAGACAAACAGGAGGATATCAATATATCAATCAAGATGTTACTTTAAAAACTGCAAAGTGAGATTTGTAAAAGTTTCCCCAAACTTAAACAATGAATAAATGATACAACCATTACAGAATTTCTTTACAAACCTAATAGATTTAAGCATTATAATGAAAACTCACCTCCAGACTCTCCACTTGCAGCTGGACGGCCTCGAGAGACCCGTTGAGGAGGTGCAGCCTGGACACAGAGTACCTGCCCTCCATCAGGTATCCATTGATCTCCTCTGCTGCTCTTCGATATAAGATCCACTGGTCCAATACTAACTTCAAACTCCCCTTCATCTGACTTATCTGCACATGAGGAAATAACACGTTGAAACATTCAAAAGACACATATTCATTATTAAGTAAGAGAAAAAGTCTTACCATGTGGTCCAGCTGGGTCCAAGACTGGTTGAGCTTCTTGAGGGTCTCTCTGACAGCAGCACAAGCCTCTTCTTTCCGGCTCTGAATAAGTGCATTTCCACGTTCGACTACTTTCTCCCGATCCTTCTCTTTTTCCTTCAGTAATTCCTCTAACTCCTATAAAACATTACAAACATAACATAACAAAATCAACATAAAATACAGAAGAAAGTTTGAGTGCCTTACTCTGAAACCACAACAAATTCAATCTTATATGTAATAAAAGCCATTTAACTATTTCCTGGCTGTAAAATGGTTTGGTTTAGTCACAAATGTTTGCATTAATGTATTTTTGCCCTCTTACATCATTATAATAGCTATTTCAGAAAGAAAAGTAAAAAATTGAGGACCACCCTCACACAGCCAATCAGCTTTCAGTATGTAAAATTCTGTCTCATAAGCTAGAGACAGGATGTTGTGGCCTGATTTGTTCACAAAATGTTACTTAAACAAGGCTTTTTCTCATCCTTACCTGACAGTCCTTAAGTGCATTCTGAACCGATGCCACATCCTCTATTCTGTGTTTCTTCTTTAGTTTCTCTTCCTGTAAAGTGAGCCAGGTTTGCAAGGCCTGAACTCCATTCTCGTGCTCGAGCCAACTTTCTATGAGTCCTTCCAACAGCTGAATCTATCATACAGAAATACAGAAGTGTGAAGTCAATTTCTATCATTCAATCATTTTCACTGAGAATAGATTGGAAAATGTAAACAATAGAAGTTTATTTTCTAACGTGTTTCCACATGGGAGAGGTAGTGGGTCAGAGAGTGTTTGGGCTAAGTTTGTCTGTGTTGTATGAGTGAGAAGGGTTGGAACCAAATAAGCCTCTGCTTCACCCAACCCCTTTTCAATCTGTTCAAATTTAATTTTTGCTAATTTTTTGTCTCCTGTTAATAGTTTTTTTGTCTTTTGTTGTACAATTGTTTGAAAAATGAAATTACAATAAACTAGGGGTCGCCAACCTTTTTTGATTAGAGAGCAATGCCTTTTAGCAGTTGTAATAAAATAGTAGTCTATTTACTAACTATGGAAATTCCATCCATCCATCCATTTTCTTCCCCTTAATCCATTTCTGGGTCGGGGGGGTGGCAGTCAGAGCTGCACCCAGTACACTTAGCACCAGCCCCTCACTGACCCTCCTGCAGGTGGTGAGTCCACAGGAGCTGAGATCTTTCAGTGGGAGCTTCAGGCAAAGTGGGGTTAAGTGTCTTGCCCAAGGACACAACGACAGCAGTCATCAGTGGGAGTCGTGAAGTAGGTCTTATGGTGGGCTTGAACCCACGACCTTCAGGCCCAAAGGCCAATGCTCTACCAACTGAGCTACTGTCGCAAATGGAACTATGGAAACTATGGAAATTCATGGAGAGCAAAGATGTAACATATACCATCACTACCCCTGTAAAACCCTACCTTAGTGAACATTTGAACATTTAAAGTTAAAATGGATTCAGATTAGTCTCAAAATTGAATCATTGAGGATCATTGAGTAAATATTGTTGCAATATTGTGAAACACATATTTATACATGTAGTTGAACCATATTTGATCTATTGCATTTAAAACATACAGTTAATGCGTTAATAGAAAATAATATATTCCAATTCACCTTCTCTGCAATTAACCCCTGCAGTATCTGCCACCTTCTGTTCATCGCTCCCAGCTTCTCTGCAAAATCCGTCTTATCGCTGCGTTTTCCCTCCACATCCTGACTGCTAATCTGCAGCACAGACTGGTTCACAAAGTCCACGGTGAGCTGCTTACAAGTCAAATCTATACGGAAACCCTGGAACAAGCACATTGAAGTTAACAAACCAGCAGTTCCTCATTTCACGTTTAGTAATCAAGTACGTACCTTATATTTTTGTAAAAAGCACTCTACTTTGTCTGAACCCACGACTTCTGAAATCATGCTTTGATCCTCTTCTATTATATTCTCCATGACAGAGATCCAGCTCATGAGCTCTGTGATGGCATGACGCGAGGCCAGCTTCTCCATTTGCAGCTGAAAAGACAAAATGCTCATTTCAGATTCAGTTGGTTTGCCATTTGCAGCTAACCAAATTGAAAAAAAACTATGCAAGACTACTCCAGTGTCCACCAGATAGAGCAGATAGTACTGCACTAGAGCTTTTATCAATTTGCAAAAAAAACATCTCATTATTACATGTAACTTGAAGGTAAACTTGTAAATATACCAACACATATATATATTTGCGATTTTATGTATATGTATATGTAAGCACAGTAGGCAGCATAACAATGTACAAAAGTTATCCATAAACTAAGAAATATTGTAAATACTTATGGATGCAAAATTGCTTGAATGAATACATCAATCAATCAATGTTGTCCAGACCTGGTGAAGTTTTTCCTGCACGACTGGGATTCGGGTGAGGAGCTCGGCCCACTGAGTGTCTATGTGCCCCAGGGCTGTCCTCAAACCAGCTGTGTCCACACGTTTGAGTCTGAGGAGCTGGTTGCCGGTGCTCAATACTAACGACCGCAGCGAAGACTTGGCATCAACTTCTTTGGAAAACTCCTAAATGAAAAAGCAAATTGTGTTTACTTCTGTCACTTATAACATCATACTGCTGATCAAATATCAATAATCTGCACTGTTATGTGTATTTATATATTGCAACTGCATCAAAATTGTTTTTATGCATGACTTGATATCTATTATTTACTTTTTTATGAATACTTTACACCATATGCAAAATATGTAGTTTGTGACTTCCTGTGAAATGGCAAGAAAAATACTTTGGATTTAATTGAAAGGCATTAAGAGACAAAACTACTCTTATTAAAAAGTTAATATGAGCTATAACATGGCTGTTGTTCTCCCTGCAGCTGGTGTACCTAAAAATAGAGCAATGTAAATAAATCCATCTAACTAGCTCCAAGCTCTCTAAAGTTTCTCTAGTTAGTTTGATTACTAGTTGTAAAATGCATGTATTTATGGCCTCTTTCACATAGGGTTAGGGTTAGGGTCAATTAGATAAGCTTCTACATTAAGAAGTGAAAAGGCCAATCAGCTCTCAGCCCAAAGCGTAAAATACTACTACTACTTCTTACAAGTACACAAAATACAAGCTGATGTGGTCTGCTTTGCTCATAAACTCACACAAACAGAATGTATAATTTCATGAAACAAAAGTGTGAGTGCCCCAGCTTCAACAATTCAGAAAGACTTACAAGGAAAGCATAAAGGTGGTCTCTGACGTTCTCCAGCTCTTGAGGAACAGTAACAGACCGTGTCGTCCAAAACTCGAGTCGACTGAGAGCCGACTGCAACCACTGACTCAACTCAGCCGACTCCGCCTGGTACCTGAGATTCAAACAACCTTTACATTAAAATACTATTGTGACAAATACAAAACAATACTGGTACAAGTTATTAAACTATTCATCCAGACAAAAACCAATATTTCTTTTTATGTCACTAGTGGCCCTAGTACCTGCTCCAGTGTTTGAGTGTGGAGTCCAGGCGGTGCAGCTCCTTGTTGACTTTGGTGGTGGACGAGAGCCAGTGGTCCCCCAGCTGTGTGAGTTGGTTCTCCAAGTCTGAACAACCCACGGACAAGAGGAGCCGTTTGCCCTCCTCCAGCACCTGGTACAGCTGCGGCTGGTGCTCCGTCAGACTGCCCTTCAGCCGCTGAGACGAGAAATGAAAAAAATAACATAAAATCAGTATTTATAATGATGAATTACTAGCACCTGTTGGAGAGGTTGGGCTTATGTGACAAAAAACATTACAAAGACTTTGTGGTTTCAAATTGAGGTGGAGGACTTTTTCTGGCAACTGTGGTAGCTCTGTAATACCTGGGACAATCCACACGAAACAAAAACTGTCACAAACTTCCACATCTTATTTCTCAGCATGTATCAATGTTCTATGGTCTAATAATTTTATCATAAACGAGGTTGAGAAGTGGTGACAATGTTTGAAAACATATGCATGATCTAATTACTATTACTATTTAAAAACAAACTGGGGAAGCATCCATCCATCCATCCATTTTCTACCCTTTAATCCATTTCTGGGTCAGGGGGGTGGCAATCAGAGATGCCACCCAAGTCCCATAGCACCAGCCCCAAACTGTCCCTCTGCAGGTGGTGAGTCCACAGGAGGGCGGCTGCTTTCTGAGTGTGAGAATAGCCTTGATCTTTCAGTGGGGGCTTTTCACTGGGGAAGCAGTGGAACATTATTCTTTATCAATATTTCTTTCAAAAGTTGCTTCTTTCCCAAAGAAGTGTATTGACACATGCCCTTCAACTCAAAAATGAATGCAACCTGTTGTTTTTCAAAACCTTATCCTTTGTGTCAATATAAACATGACTTTAAGCTGCACTATTCCATTTACTATTCAAATTAATATAAATACACTCCACTACTTAATATTCACCTGGAACAGACAGATTCTTTCAGTCAGCCTCTCCTCGGTTTCCTCCACCAGAGCCACAGCCGGTATACTGGACTCAACAGCTTCCAGTTGCTTACACAGCTCCTGGTAATCCTCCACCAGCCTGCTCCATGACTAACAAACAATATCATTAATAACGCTACTGTACAGATTAGGTTTTAAGAGTTTTTGTGTGCATTAAAAACAACAAGTACCTCTAAAATGCCTTCCAGCTCCACCCCTCGCCTGTGAGCTTGTTTTAACACACTTTGAGCTGAAGTCATCGTCTCATCCAAATACTGGCTTTCCCTTTGCGCCATCAACCCAGATACTTTACTGTATAATGTCTGTGTGAGGATCATGTGGCTTTCCAAACCCTGGAAAAACTCCTGTAAACACACACACAGACAAGTTAATACAACACACAACAGTTTTTTTGTTGTTTTTGCATTTTCACTTCATCTTACCTTGTGTTTGTCTAGTAACATCTGTACTTCAATGACCGAAGCCGCAGTCATTTTCTGGTCGGCCGCCATTTTGTCCTGAGCAGTGTCCACCAGCTCAGACAGGTCCCTGAGAGCGGCTTCATACTGGGCTTTTAAGGACAGACCGTGGTTAAGGCTGCTGCGGCGTGATCCTACCATCAGAACCAGCTCTTCATACATGTCCTATCCAACACAACAAAAAATGTTTTAGCCAATTCAAGGGAGGTCAGTATAGTGGTAATATAATATTTTGTGTGTGTTCAGAGCGAACCAAGCCAATATAAAATACAAAACATTGAGAAGGAAATGTGTCTGAAAAAAGTTTTTCTTTTCTATCTAACCTTTATTGAACCAGGAGTTGAGTGTGTGGAGTCATTTTTTGATTGACATGGTGCCAAGTTTTATTGTAATGTGAGTTTAATTTTCCCAAGAGGAGGTCTAGCCATTGATTGATAGATTTATGTTTTGTGTTTCTGGTTTGAAAGTATTGGTTTGTGTTGTATTATTAGTGAAATCAAAACTAAACATACAATTTTGTTTTGTAATTTGCAGACATGACAGGCCAGCCAACATCTAGAACAGTCTTCCTGAAAATGTGAGACAGGCTTCTTCTCTGACAAATTTTAAAGTTAAAAACCTCAGGTCACCTGTGTATACAACTGAGGGATTTTATCTTCACTCTTTTTAATGTACTGTGATTATTAATGATTTTAATGTCTTGTATTGTTTCTTGTTTTATTAAGCACTTTGAGTTGCCTTGTGTATGACCCGTGCCATACGAATAAATTGCCTTGCCTTAAACTGGTGTTCAAAGCCAGTAAGCATAAAGGTCTGTGTCTGTGGTACAGTGGGTGGAGTGAAATTCTCTTACCTGAAGTTTTAGTAAATCCTGATTGGATATTTGATCACCCTGGAGACCCTCTGCTTTGGCTTTAAGTTCCATGACACGCTGTTCAAACTCCTTCAGGCTGTCCTCCACCTCTGATAAGGTCTATTCGATACACGACATGTTTAGTAAAAGTACTTGCAAACAATTATTCATCTTTAATTATATGAAATACCTCAATTTGTTTTGCTGCTGGTCTGTCCACTGTGCCGGCCACTTTCTGCAAGAGTTGGTGCTTGCTTTCACTTAAGGCAGTAAACATCATTCTCAGTTCACTCTGAAAATAATGTTTTGCAAAGAAACAACACAATTAGCTGCAAATATAGCAATAAACATATAGTCATTACATACAGTGAGAAATAATTTATTAACTGAATAAGCTGATGTTTTAGAGATAATCAGTGGTCATTGCAAAATCAGAAGTGCTATTTTAATTTAGGTTTGGGAGCTCTGGGGGAGAAACATAAAAGTTTTCCACTATATTGGATATTCTGAATTTCAAATAAGTTTTTTTTCAACTTTCATGAATAAAGAAAACAACTTTCAGTGACAACAAATGAGTGAGACTGTCCTCCTTAATAGTCTCCAGTGAATGTGTCTTTTCTGCCTGCTCCACTTCTGCTATTACTGTATTTTGAGAGCCAGGTATATTTTGGTGCAAAATTGTCCCAAAAAATTTCCTTTTTAAAATTAGACAAAAATATCATAATATTAGTACAATTTCAATCTTACATATTAGAAAACGTTTTGCAAATAGGAAAAGAAAAATACTTTTTAAAAGAGACAAGAAAAGTCAAGAAAATTATCCCTTTGAATTAGAAATAAATCGCAACTGCACTTAAAATAATAGAAAATATTAATTATTTTTGCAGTTTTGTGTAGTTGTATGTACCGGTATGCAAGCTTTTTTCTCCCCAAACAGTGATATCTGTGGTCCAATCCACAGATATTATTGTACCTGGAAAGTGGAGTGGTCCTGCAGCTTGTCCCTCATCCCATCACAGTGTTGCTCCAGGGTAGAGTCCAGCAGCCCCATCCTCTCCTGCAGCCCCTCCAGAGTGTCCTCCATCAGCACCCGGTCATCTCCTCCACACACTCGGCCCGCACACCCGCCCAACAGGTCCCTGCACTGGTTCACCTCATGGCTCATGTCCTTCAACTGCTTCGTCAAACCCTGCATTCAACAAGTTCAAATCATATATTCCTAATCAGAATACATTTTTACTTACAATCCCAATAATTGCTCTTCATTCTTCCACATATGTATATAAATGTATCCACTATAATGTTCTTATATTTCAGCTAAAAGACTCGACATTTCAACAACATTTGTGGACCAATGGTTCTATGTGTTTTTATCATTGCATTCCTTGTGTTTGATCTGTCTGATTGTCTGATCTGTGGCGAATCAATGGTTTTGTAAAGTCCTCCAAGATAACTACTGTTGGGATTTAGGGCTAGATACAAAATAAATTGAATAAAACTGTCATTTTTTTCATTGTAGAACAAAGAAATCTGATCCATCTTCATTATACACACCATAACATTCATGCTAGCAGTCATTACAACACTGCTCCAAACTAGCAAGAGCTATCACCAAGATTTTTTGTAGCAAACATATCCCTATGACCGTTTTCAATATTGTTGATTTTTTGAAAAAATTAATAGCGGCCAAAGGATTGGAGCAACTCAAGAAAAAAAAGAAAAAAAATAGCCTAACATTTAAAAGCACTGGAGATACCCCTGACTAACCCCATCTAACCTCACATGGATTTTTCTTTAGTTTATAATCCTGTTACATGCTCCCATACTTTTGTTGCCATGTTTTCTGAACCATAATGTTTTCTTAAAATCATAAATTCTTATTTTTACTGCAACATTACAGTAGGTGATTTGTTGCACTTTTCCTACCTCTAGATGTGTGAGCTGCATCTCTGTGTCTTCTGACAGAAGCACAGGCCCAGAGAGCAGCTGGTTCTCCGCAGCATCGAGCCAGGACGAGGCCGCTGACACAGCACTGTACAGATCCTGCTGGACAGACGCTCCTCCCAAAGACGATCTACTGTCCCCTGCAGCCTAAAACAATTATATACACATTTGATTTACATTGCCTTTTACATCTGACTTGTGTAGTATTTCTGTGTGTGGTTAGCCTAATATTCAAACAACACAAAATGCATCTAACTAGTTCCCTGAATTATATGGCTCTATCACTAGTTTTCGCCTTCATGCATGCTTACATCTTTCCTCAATCAGCTTGTAGCCCAAAGCATCAAATACAGACTCACAGGGCGCTATTATCAGTATGCCAAAGATACACTGTTTTTTAATTAGAGAAAGACAGCATGTGGTCTGAGTTTTGTATGAATTATTTATGAAACAGAACATTTGAAGTATTAGTTAGTCCTCTCCAGACACAGCTTTAGTATTATATCCCCCTGCTACCACTTGTTTTGAGCTTGTGGAAATCTTATATACAATTATTCCATACAAGTTCTATTTGACTGAACATAGTTGGGCATGGAACAGGAACAAGGACAAATGTGATGTGAGTAAGTATGTGTTAAATATCCATGTCTTGAGTTATAAAATGTTTACAATGAAAAATAAGTGTTTTACCTCTTGGTCTAGCCTTTCAAGAGTCTGGTTGCAGGTTTGAAACAATGATTTCGGAGACTTGGCGTCTTGAGTCAAAACATCACTTCTGAAAACAACACTAGGACTCGACAAACGGGACCAATGGAGGACCTGTTCCCAACAAAAGATTTATATTCATTTAAAATTCTGGATAAGATACACCGTAATTTCCGGACTATAAGTCGCTACTTTTTTCTAGTTCTTTTAACACTGTGGCGTATATAGCGATGCAGGTAATATGTATATTTTTTGTGGTAGAGTTGTCAGAGCAGACTTTATGGACTTATTTTTACTCCATCACGTTTTAATAGGCTATTAGGCACGTTTGCCTAATAGTCCAGAAAGTACGGTACTAATTGAGTATTGAATAGGTCTCATACTGGACTGAGTTGCTCCTGTTCCAGAGAGTTCAGAGACAGCTGCAGTTTTGTGCTTTGATCCTTGTTGAGGTTTTCCCAGCGCTGCCGCAGCTGATCCAGGGGAGACACGTTTTCTGCCTCAAGTAAAACTCCTCCTGGGACACACATTTCGCTGTAGACACAAAATGGCTGGTTTAGGATATTTTGGGCCTATAAATACTGTATACAATAAAGAAAACAAGTACCTGTCCCCGTTGGGTGTAGTCTGATTGAGAACCTCTTCCCCGACTATTGCCACAGACTGCAGCAGTCTCTTCTGTTCAGAGACCTGTGCCTGCAGTTCCTGAATCACACATGCAATATGTATCAGTATTCCAGATAATTATGCTACACTGGGTTAGGGTCAGGGTTAAGGTTAAAAAAGATATAAAGATAAAATATGAGGCAAACATTGCTTGAATTGAGTGGTTTTTATCCTAATTTTAGTACAATCTGACTGTCTTAACAAGATTTGCCAATGGGACAAGCCATTTAGTCTTATTTAAAGACTAAATAAGACAAAAGAGGGTCATTTTTCTTGTCCCATTTGAAAATCTTGTTTTAACGCAGTCAAAATGTGCTCAAATTAAGATACATTTTGCTAAATTTAAGCAATTTTTGTTCTTTTTTTTCATCACTTTTTGCAGTGTATGTGTTGCATTAAATTATAGCATATTTGAGGTGGACTTTTAAAATGTCTCACCCTTTGTCGCAGCAGGTTGTCATGATGCTGCTGTGTACGGGAAGACCTGGCCTGGGAAAGCCAGTCTTGGACATTTGGACTCTGGGACAAGGAAGAACTCGCTTCACTCTCCTCCTGTTCCTGCAGTGAACCCTGGGGAGATATTGAGGAGGAGTAAATTATTCAACTATGAAAATAAGCCGCTACACGAGCTGGATATTTTGCATGAATTTTTGAATTCATGAATTGAATGAACATTGTGAATTTATTTTGAAAGCAAAGTACGTAGAGGAGAGAGACAGGCCCCCAGCAAGAGCAAGAGATAGTACAATTACAATACAATACAATTTATTCTTGTATAGCCCTACGTCACAACAGAAGTCATCTCAGAGGACTTAATAAAAACCATTGAAATCACCAACACAGGTCAGAGAATCAACAGTTAAAACACATGAAAAATAATAGTAATAGTAGAGAGGTGTAGGGTCAGAAAGTGTTTGTGTCTTCAATTCAATTCAAGTTTTTTTGTGTAAATTCACAACAGCAGTTGCCTCGGAGGACTTCACAAAGTTGTCGATTCCCCCACAACAGATCAGACAATCAAACAGTTCGAACACAGAAATGCAATAATAACAAACAAGCGCCATGTTTCCGACGCCAAGAGCTCTGGTGTGTACTGGCTTCTGGTGCACACTGGGGTAGTCTTGAACTGTTATTCCAATATGGGATGACCACAGTCCATAAATGTTAATAAATTCCCATTTATGTCCTGGATTAGCACTGTAATTAGATCCTCCTAAGCCCTCCTGCGTCTTGTCTGTGTGTGTTTTGTGTTGAAGGAGTGGGAGGGGATTGAGCCAAAGAAGTATCTGCTTTTATTAAGATAAAGAGATCCTTTGCTTATGCCAAAGTGGGAAACCCTTTTTCAAACAACCTTTTTCTGCTTATTTTGTATCCTGTTTGTTTTTGTTGAATAAGTAAAAGTTTGAAATATTAGATTGATTTGAAAATAAAAAAGTTAAATTGACATGACAATTCAACATTTCTCCATAAACAAAGAACTCTTGTGATGTCAGACAATAGACTAAGGAATGTCACTTAACCAACGGCTTGTGGTCAGCCATTGCTCATTAGAAAGGCGTTCACTAGAATAAAGTCACTAGTCCACAAAGTTGTGCAGTGTCACCAGGCGTGCACCTGTGTGCTGTATACATGTGATGAGGTTGCGTGTTTTCTGTTGTCTGTGGCCCCTGGTGAAACAAACAGGCTTTGTTGTTCTATAGAAAGCACAACCCCCACATGTTTTAAGCATATGGACAAAGCTATTATTGGCAAAGTGCACCAGTACCAGCTGAAATCTGACAACATGCATCAGAGTGAATTTTCAATGGGTACCAGTACATGCTAAAACGATTATATAAATCTGTAATTACCTGTATGTCAACCTGCTTGTCTTGTAACATCTGCTGCAGCTCGAGGAGGCTGTCTTTGAGGGAGCGCAGTTTTAAAGACAGCTGCTCAGCCTCTCCTTTCGTCTCTGCTCGTCCCTCCAACAGCAAACTCTCGCTGTGGACCGACAGCTCCGACAGATACGACACCTTCTGCTCGATCTCAAAAAGCATGTTCTGAAGCCACAGAAACAAAAGTTATTTGTTTAATTTTCTCCCCAGAGATTCAAACGTTTACACAAGACAGCCTAGTAAAATGATGAGGTCCAAGATGTGTCTCAGGAGTATTAATGGGTCAAACTTTATATTTGAACTCTTAAAATATACAGAGAGAATGGCGTGGTTTAGTCCTCCCTTTTCACCAGAGCCAAAGTGTGACCAATTGTGTATGAGAGGGGATTAGGACTGTGTGTGCAGCAAAATACAAGGTCTAGAAATGTCAGGCCACTAATCATTCCACAACCAGACTTTTCTCACAAGTAAAGAGCCCAGCATGGAAGATTAGCATTTGGAGATTAGCCTTTTAAGCTCTAATACAAAATACAGCGCAATTGGTGGTGTACAACTAAATCCAGCTAATTACAATGCAAACAATGTGAACACTAACCCACAACATGCACACTAACCCACAACATACACACATACATACGTACATACTCTGTATGTACGTATGTATGTGTGTAACCACACAACCAACCGTAGTTTCCTTCCCATATTTAAAACACTGCATAGAAATATATTCTTTACACTGCAAAAAATGATAAAATATGAGGTAATAAAAGGTAAATGCTTGGATCAAAGTTTTTTTAATCTTAATTTTAGTACATTCTGACAAGATTTGCCAATGGGACAAAGCCATTTAATCTTATTTCAAGAAATGTTGCTGTATTTTCTCATTCCATAGACATTTCTTGCATCTTTTTAAAATAACATAATTTTGTGCTCAAATTAAATACATTTAGCCTATTTTTGGCTTATTTTTCATAACTTTTTGCAGTTGTCATACGACTGAATAATATTTAAAAACAGTGGCTTTTTCCAGTGTGTCCCTGATGCAATGATTCTGGCTTGTGTGCAGTGACTCCCCCTGGAGATAATGATGTGTGTGGACAGACCCTCAGACCTGAACTCAGCGGGAGACAAATGTGAGCTTTAATCAGCTTACTGTCGCGCAGATGCTACACACACGCTTACACACGAACAATTATGTTATTAGCGCCCCCCAACCCAACATCACAGAATGACAAAAGTAATTATTTGGCAGATCTTATGCTAATTTCAGGTCAATGTTTAAAAATATTTTGCATGGAAAGCTAGTGATGTTATATAAGTTAACTGTGATGTGTACAACAATACTTCTGAAAATAGATGCCTATGGACTAGTATCCATAGAAACAGAAGAGGAGGTTACAGAGGAATGTACAGAGAGGCCGAGGTTCAGACCACCAACATAACTTTTAGAACACAACATTACTTTTGAATGCGCTGGAAACGGCAGCAAGTCTTAAGCAGCTCTGAAACAGGTAGAGAAAAAAGATTTTTTCTACTGTAAATGTTACTGCAGTGCAGTGTTCATGGTTTAACGGTGATCGAGAACAGAGCAGAGAGGAAGTAAATCAAGCAGAAATCCACTGGAGGAATGCAAATTTTTTGAAAAATGCTAACAAAGCATGAACCAAGTGGCTACTCCACCTATGCAACTGTGACCTGTCCTGTTCCACCCAGCTATCTATATATAAAGCAACTTGAAGCACACATTAGTCAAAAATATATACTAAATCTCACCAGTTACATTTAAAAATAAATACAAATTCTTACTAAAACTGACACATTTCTTCATTATTATAATAATAATAATGCATCGGTTTTATACAGTACTTTCTTGGACGCTCAAAGACGCTTCACATGTCATTATTCATTCACTCACACAGGTTGATGAACTACTACTGTAGCTACAGCTGCCCAGGGGCACTCATACAAGGTAATGTGGGTGAAGTGTCTTGCCTAAGGACACAACAAACAGCAATAATCATGACCTACTTAAGCTGTTAGAAGGTTGGTCTCACCTGACAATCCATGAGCTGCTCCTCCATGTCCAGGTCTTCACTGTGGAGCTGGAGAGCTGAGCTGAGGGTGGCTCGAGTGCTGAGGAGCCAGTGGTCCAGCTCTTCAGCCTCACTGTGGTACCTCTGTAAGGCCTGCTCCTGCCGCTGCTCCTCCAGCTGCTCACTCAGCCTCTCCTGCAGCACATTGAGAGAAACAATAATATAAAACTAGCTTTACCCATTTGAGGGTCTTGTGGTAAACAGGAAAAACTCGAAATATTATACAGACCCATTATGCAAAGTAACATACACTAAGCTTTCGTAATAAGTTTGATGACTATGTCTTACAGTCAATTTTCAATTGTTTTTCTTCTAAGTTTCACCAAGTTCTGAGCCAATTATCAACAGTATAACAAATAAAGGTTTGAGATATCTTACTTTGTATGCAACAAGTCTGTCATATTAGTTTCACATTTGAAACAAAAACAATGTTTAAAACAATGTTTTACATTCCAATGTAATTGCAGCTAAACTATGATGAATAGACAAAAGGGAAGTTGTCCATAAAGCAAAGAAAGCAAAGTTTTTACATCTTACAGTTCTTGCTAGCACATGTATAGACCGCACCAGTTACATTTTAAAATAGCGTTTTCCATGTATAGGCAGCACTTGATTATAAACCAAAGGGTTGTAATGGAGCACTTCATCAACAGCCACTAGAGAAAAACAAAGCTGATAGACGACTGTTTTAACAGGTCACTCGAGATGGTAAAATGAAGGGGTTGACTTGACTTAATGATCAAAGCACTCTGGTAAATGACATGATGGAATCAAAATAATGTAACAAGATTAATAAAAAAAAAAAGAAAGTTAAAGCCGCAAGCTGCATCTAATGGCCTTCGCCTTTACCATGCAAAGGAGGGGACACTGACGCCTCATCTGCATACAGCCCTGATGGGAGAAACACTAATTCTACAGCTAACTTTTGATGCTACATGCGTCTAGATAATGTGGAGCAATTTTGAGCCAAATCTCTGAAACGGCCGAGGCTGGATCATTTTGTAACAAAATGTTTTTCCTCATCCAGATACAAATATGTATAGCAAAAATTGTAGCTTTAGGATAAGCTAAATGCAAAACTGGCACAATGTGTGCCGCTATTGTGTAATTTTTTTCACCGGAACTGATCTTTGGGCAAATTTTGGCAACTATTCATGCATGTTTAGGGGGTGAAAATGAGGTCCAAAGAGAAGAAGAAACATAAATATTAAGGGTTTTTCTTTCCTTAAAAATCCATCCTCGAGCATAAATGATACATAATTTTAAAGAGTTTGGGTGGACGCACGGCACCGTTGCGTTTTGGTGAGTGACGGGCACTGATGCGTAACCCACCACGACCTCTTGCATTCACCATTGTTAAAGCAATAGGCCCTTACGCAGTTCGGCAATCGAGCCTAAAAACAGGGGAGGCTCTGTAAACTGTAAATAATAACAAAAACATTTGCTGAATTGCTACATAGGCCGCAGGTTCAAAGAAACATAGAAATATAATCCAGCGAACACTGTACATCTTAGTTGAGGGACAAAAGTGGGGTGTCTTGTACCTCTAGCAGTTGCCGCTTTCCAGAAGCCTTCATTCTGATGGTTGCCATTCTTTCTCCGAGCACGGTGAGAGTGGAATGCAGAGCCAGCTGGTCTCCTGGTTCCCCATCACTGTCACTGTCTCCCAGCTCCTCGGAAAAACATGTTTGTAACTCTCCTATTTCCTCCTGCAGCATCAGTATCTCATCCATGAGCGCCTGGACAGAAAGAATGTACAAATAAAGTTAAAGGTGAAAGGAAACTGGAAAGGGCACAAATAAACCTATAATTGTGGCTTCTCCAAACGCCTGGCAGCGCAAATATTTGGTGAAATTTGCTTAGCAACAGTGAACATGGTGGCATCGCACCAGCAAATGAAACTGGAAATGGAATTAGAGCTTTGTTTTAACACTTTGTCTTCTAATGTAGTGACATAACTTTATTTTCTACAGTGACCAGGGGATTAGGGCATTGAGAATCAATTATTGACCAGAGTACCCAAAAAGAAATCTAGTCTTTTTTACCTGATGTGCGGCCATCTGGCTTTCCGGGCTCTTGTTGGGCTCCAAACTCTCATTGAGCGCTGATTCAATGGACTCCATCTTAGAGGAAATGGACTGTAGAGACTCTTGGTAGTGCTGCTGTCTCTCCAAGGCCTCATATAAACTCTTCTGCTTTTCACTGATCTGTTATAATTGAAATGTATTTTAGAGCAAAACAATTGCGCCAAATGAAAACGATGCGACAGAGACATACCACGTTCTTTAATGTTTCCCAGGACCTCTGCAGATCATCCAGGTTTGCAGCATTTGTTTCCAGTGACGGATCATACAGTTCTTGGAGAGGAGCACGACTAAGGTTCCCTCGCGCCTAGAGGCAATAAGAAAAAGAAACAATTCTCAGCACATTTAAAACAGTTATTTAAATTCAATAGCTTGTATTTGAGTAGTTTTGATTGTTATGGTCCTCAATGTTATGTCTTAAAATATGCTTTGTTCATATTGACTCTGTCTGCAGTCAACAGATAACAGCACAGAGAGGACGCGCTTTGACTTTCAGTTGGAGAAGCATCTCATTGCAGACAAATCCAGGGCTATACAATTTCAGGGGTTAAAACAAAGTAAATCAAACAAAATAGCAGCGAGGGAAGCAGGGGCAACACAACAACTCTCCCATATCTGAAATCTTAAGCCCTATAATGTGTCTCTAATGTAACTTTGCTGAATACTGCAAACGGATGAGCATGTGGCAATGTAAACTGTGGTTAGCCCTCGACTGTTCTCTACACTAGTTTACTTTTCTCAAATACGCTTCACTGAAGGAGAAGGTCTGGACTTGAGTCCATGATCATGACATCAGTACCTGGTTAAGAGTAGCGTCCCCATTTGCCCCTGGGGAGGGGGAGCGGCACGCAGGGGGAGAGGAGACCTCACTGTTGGTGCCTTCCTCCCCTGATTCTTCTGTGACAGGGGAGAGAAGTGTGTGGCAGCGGCCTGCTGTCATCTGACCACACCGCACATCAAACATAAGCATCAAAGAAGCAGGTTACAACAGATGAGGGGTGAGCAGGAATGAAACGCAGGAAACAGAGGAGAAAAGAACAAAGAATAAATTAATAGGGGTGAAGTAAGGAAGACTGCACTGAGCATTTCATTTAGTAAGAAGAAAGTAATCAGTCACATGTCAGTAACACATTAAATCCTTCTATTCAAAATCTTCAATATCACTCTAAAGTGAAAGCAGAGAATAGGCGTCTGACAGTATTTTTGCATATTGATTACTGTAAAGCACTGTATATGTGTAGGAAAAGTACTTAGTTTGCATAGTGAATAAGCCGTAGAGACAGGATGCCTCAGCAACTAATGGTACTTTGTTGGAAGTCCAAATACCATAATATTTGTTCTGCTGTTGTTCTCAAACCTTCATCAAGGACATCCACTAAAGTATTTAGTGCAGAGGAATGTGTTCAACCAGTACCACACTGAGCACTGATGTGACCTCAAGACTAAATAACACCAACGTTTCCCCCACTTTTCAGGTTCTTAGATTTATTCAGCCATCTTTAGTCAGAGCTAATGCATTTCCTGTCTCTATGGCCAGTTGAAAAGAAAATGGGTTTTGTATGAACTACTAATAGATTTTCTTAAAAGTTCATAAAAATTAAGAAGATAAGATGAAACCTTAGAGTAAAGCAGTATTCACTTGTATAAGAACTTCCAGCGGCTGTCCCATAAATAGCACAACGTCTGTGGATGCATGCTTTAGTACAGAGGCAGAGCAGAAATGTGAGCCAAGCCCTATTGGGCACAAACCTCAGGCCCGGTGTTTTTTCAGAGATCTTATGATGCAACGTACGCGCAACAGTGATCTTCAGCAAACTAAAGAACTGTGTGGAAACTCTGCTATGACTTTAAATGACATTAAAACTACATCAGTATCTATTCATGCCACAAACACACTCTCTGTTCAAAGCCAGAACTGCATGCAGCAACATCCTGTTTCCTGAGTGCACGCAGCAGTGACAAGCCTAAAGGAAACTCACAAATCTGAACACAACAGCCACTGAGCGCGGCAAGGAGAATGTGTGGAGCTTTTCTGCCTCAAGTCCAAATTAAACCAGGCACAGTATGACACATAAGCAGCAGCGGCAGCAGACATAACTGGGCTAATATGAAGTGAAGCAACACAACAGTCAACCAAAATAGAGCTGGGAAAGTAATGGTTATCTGCTTTGAAGGAGAAAAGAGAGAAAAATCTAAAATATGACCATTCTATTGCAATGAATAAATGACACATAGATAAATAGGATTTCCCATAGATGACAGGGCAAGAAATGTCATCACTGCACCTAGTTTCATTGTCATTTATACTTTGTTAATCTAAATCAATTGGAGAGCTACTTTTTTGCAGTTGTAATTTAAAACTGTAGTGTATATATTAACTGCGGAAAATCAAAGACATTTTATACAGTCAAATGAACCATATCACTGTACACACATTGCATTAGTGAACATAAAGAAAGCATGTATAGTTAAATTAGGTATGCAATCATCTTTTGCCAAGTGCCGATAGACCCACAAGTTCTCACCAAACATTTGCACATGTGTCTGTCATCAAACGGCTTGTGCACTAACCATGACGACTGAGGGGTGAGCAGGCTGCTTGGAGCTGGTCCCATTGCTGACAGCGTTGGGCAGTTCATCATCACTGAGCTCGTCCACGCCGTCGGAGAGACCTTCCACCTCACTCACGGTCAGCAGCATCGTGGCATGTTTGGCTTTCACTGTCAACATCTTACACTTGGAGTGAAGTGCAGCGATCTGCTCCTGGTAGCCTCGGATTTTCTGAGCCAGCTCCTGTCAAAACATAGCCTCCAGTTTACAAAGCAGACCCCACACCCCTGGGGTCAAGAAGGTCCAGTTCCCGGGAAGATATGAAAAGTTCCTTGTTAAGTAGATCCTTGTTATAGAGTCCCAGTCAGCGTTGAATGTAGTGCCGGCATGCGATGAGTAAGTGGAGCGGACACATTTTCTCTCCTCCCCAGTCTCACACTGAATAAGCTTGGAAAGACAAGAGCTTCCACTCTCGCTAATATTTTTTTCTGTATCTTCTTTCTTTGGGCCAATCACGGCAGCTCAGAGGCGGGTAACTCGCAAACAAAACAGGATGTTTGGTTGAGCATAGGAAAACCCTATAAGAAATAGTTTAAAATTCCTCAGACAGACACTCCCTCTCTCCTACAACACATACAACAACTGCCAAGGAAAAACAGGAAGTGACCTCAGAACGCAGCATCCCCCTTTCCTCTCGCTGTCTGACCAATCCTGAGAGCAGTTTGGTCTAACAAAAGGGAGGAATGACAGAGGAGGTGTCCGATTACATGGCTGCTATAGGCTGTCCCTCCTCCCCTCCTGCTCCCTGTGTGTGTCCCACAGATGGTCGGCTCGCTGATAATCGGGTCACGTGATTGGGCCAGAGGAGTAGTGAGAGATCGGGCATAAACATACATCAAACACTGAGCTTAACCTAATGTTCGTATATATAGACATTAGTATAAGCCATCTTGATAATGTTCCATTGCAATATTTGATGTAATGGATGACATCTATTACTCATTCATTATTATATATATATTTATATATTTAAGGACTATAAACCAATGATTGTAAGAGTTGGTGCTCTGCAGTTTTCCCCTCACTGCTGCAATATCTCTGAGAGACCACTTAATCAGCAATCCAAGACAGCAGCAGTAAGCCTCAGGCTTAGGAAGCAGAATGTAAACTTAAGCATTGTAAAATATTTACATTTTACTGCAGATAAGAGAGGAATCTATGAGCGGGCACTCACTAGCTGTATATTTTCCACTTCAGTATTTGGAAGCCTTTAACAACAGCATTATTCCTATGCTTGTGTAATTTTCACACAAACTATGCATTTGTCTAGTTTCACTGTTTTATTAGTAATGATATAAACAATTTAAAATAGTTCATAATAAATACATATAAATCAGCCATAATAAACAGTAAAGTAGCTCATGTAAAGACTGTAACTGATACATTTGTTCAGAAGGCTGCCCTGTCTGACCTCGTGGTGGTGAATCTGAGCCTGCAGTTCCTGGATGTTGCTGGTGGAGACGGGACGGTCCTGAATGATGCGATGAGCTTCTTCTATCAGTCTCTGGAGATTCTTCACTTCCTGTTCATACTGCTCATACTGCACCACAGCCTCCTGAAAAGGAAGTAACAGCTTTTGTTAGAGAGGACCATGTGTAAATCCATTAATCTCACCAAAGAAAAGAGATACTTTACACTGGATTTAGCTAAATGGAGTGCTCCAGCAGGTAAGCAAACATGTTGAAAATATATTCATTCATACATCCGTGATAAGAAAATACATGCAAATATGCACAATGAACGGGCTTATGAGGGCGAAACAAAAACATCCCCAAGAGGCCTGTCAGGACAACGCAAAAACTGAATTTAGAGACAAACAAAAAGTGACAGTTTAAGTAGCAGTAAAGTATTTCAAATTCATCAAATATTTCTATTTGCCATTTGCAATAAAAGCACATTGTAATACATTAGGTTTTAGCATTTATACATTTAGAAACATTAATAAACAAGATGGTCTTTATTATTAGTACTTTTTTTGTTTTTGTTTTTCCCAACACTGCCCAGAGCATTTTGGGAAGAAATCAGACCACAACATGTGTTATTATACTGTTATAAAACATTTGATCTTTTACACACTGAGAGCTGATTTGCTGAGTAAGGGCTAGTGCTGATATAAAGATGTAACAGAGGCTAAAAATATACGCATGTGAAAACTAGAGATATAACAAAACGGTTTTGAGATGACTGTGTTTGTGTGACTATGTTGCACTGATGCCAAGATTGGTTAAAGATTTACTCAATAATATTTGTTTATGGAGATTTTGGGGTTTATGCAGTTGAAATTAAACTATGCAGTGTTGCTGATGCTTTAAACGTTTGTGGCTCTTATGGATTTGTTATGAGACTCTGGCAGACTCGACTCCAACTCTGGTTGTGTTGTTTCTGCTGTGCACCAATGAATAAAATACAATCCCAGACCTCTGCGTCTTTCGTAATTTTCTTCAGTGGTGATTGATGCGCATATGTCTGGACAGCTAAAAATCTACAGTCTCTGTGACAATATCAATAAATTTAAATTTGATCTTGTTTTAAAGTTAGGCACTTCAGCTTTCAGTCATTGTTAGTAAAATTGCATTAAAAAAATGCAATTTGCATGCCCTTTATTGTTTATTTGGTTGGGATAGTGCATGTTAAAGGAGCTATACCCGTTTCTACAAGGTTTGAATGTTTAGCCCCGCCCCTCAACTCGCTCACAGGCTTCTCATTTCCCCTACGCTCTCATTCCACGGAGCAATCTAGTTTTATTTGTGATCTGATACATATGCAAACATTAGCATGAGCGCAACTTCTTGTAAGCTGTACAACAATCACTGATGAAATGGTACATAAACAACGCACTGCTAACAAAATATATAACTGAAAAATTACCGCTAGTTTCGCGTCTGAATGTTGTCCGAGGCGGTCTGCACCTGCAGGTCTCTCCCATAGACTGTAAGTCTCTCCAGAGGAGCTATAGCCAATTCTGCTAACCTGCTACTGTGTTGTGCTGTACCAGTGCTGTAAAGGCTAGAGGACGCAGCCTCGTTCTGTGATTGGAGGAGAGCGGGCGTCACGCTAACTTTCTACTCAGCACTTTTAAGACCTGAATTCATACACAAGCTGAATCAATGAGCTCAAGTTTTCAATTCAATTACGGATTATAATACAACTTGTATTTTGTAATAAGCATTTTTATGAACTCATGAAAAAAAAAATTGGGTATAGCTTCTTTAATGAACACACCTCTCCGGATTGTAGCCATGGGCTAATTTGCATCCGTTGTCCCACATTCGCACTCACAAACACACTCATTCACCCTGAACTATTGTACATGTTTTTAATGGTACGGGAAACCAGAGTACCCGGAGGAAACCTACACAGACATGAGAACAACATGCTAACTCTACTCAGAAAGGCCCTGTTCCGACCGGAATTCGAACCCAGAACCTTCTTGCTTAGAAGCGAGACTGCTATCCACTCAGCCACCGTGCTGCCCATCTTTGTAATAGATTACCATAAAAGTGTATAACTGTTTCTATAATTGCCTGCATTATGTACTTAGTTGAGTAAAAGGTGTTAATCTATATTCCCTTCTTAACTGTTACTGTAATGGCTTCTGAATGGTTTGTGGAAATTAGACATTTTGCTGCAATGGGACAAATAAATATGATATCTTTTCTACTGCCCCCTACCTGCAGGATGTTGCACTGCTGGATGGTTGTGTGCTGCAGATGGCTGGCCTCTTGCTGCAGAGTTTGTGCAGTTCGACAGATGGGGAGACTGGCCACTGCCTCCTCTGGCAGCCGGAGGGCGCTCTGACACTGCTGGACTGCTGCTACCTGCTGCTTGAAGCTCTCCATCTCCACAAGAACACGCTAAGAGAAGTAGGATCATATATGAAAACATATGCAGTTATCAAATTAAGAATTGAGACTTAAGAAACATACTTGTCTTTGAGTAAGCTGCTCTCTGAGGCTCAGCCGGTTCAGATCTGGAGATGCAAGTGTGATCTGGACCTGGTCTACAGCAGTGTGGAGACTCTTCATCTCTGCCTCCAAACGCAGCATATCCTGAAGAGGCAAAATGTTATTGTATAACAAAAGAATAGCCCTATTTATCGATAATCTTTATGGTTGATCTTTACATTGTAAAGGCCAACACAGAGTGAATTACAGAAGGAATAAAAAGGCTATCTATTATAGAAGAGCACAATTCAAATAAATATTTTAAACATAGATGAGAGAAAAATTAAAATGAAGGTAAATCCAAACAATGAGATCATCATGACAGATCAAAGCAGGGTAAAACAGAATTCTAAGGAAAATGTGTTACTGCTTCATATCCAGAAGAGGGCACTGTTAGACTATAGTTATTCATTGTACAATCATGTTTTTTTCCATAAAGAAATGTTTATAATTTAAGACAAATTTAAGCCAATATTTAAGTGAAATGCATGAAAAACTCTGACTCTCCTTTTTAGCCCCTCACATATGATTGGTGTCTATCGATTTTAATTCATGTATCAATACCAAAACATAACTTGCAAAATGTTGTATTGCCAAAAATCACAGCAGCAGTCGTCTGATTAAACATATTGCGTACATCATGCCCATTGAAGTCAGAATAACTTTTGCTCAAACAAGGACAAATATGGTTTGTACATGTTGATTATGTGGAGCTGCATATAAAAGATGTAGATAGAATTTAAAATTTAAATATGAAAGCACTAGCCCCTTTTCTGCCATACTTTTATTCATAAACTATAATAATGAAATACTGCTGTTATCTGTAGATAGCAACAGCCCTAACAACTAACCAATCAGGTGTCTACTGTCGCAAAATTGGCTCTTTGTTTGCTAACTCGTTGCTACCCATGTTCCAGCTCAAATATCCTGTTAGGAACTATCTTGAACCAGAGAAGGCAAACACTATGGGCGGTCATGTCTTTACCTTTGCTGCGTCTTGAAGGCTCTGTAGTCGGGTCCTGGCCGTCTGCTGCAGCTCCTCTGTTTGCCGGCTCAGATATCTCACCTGCTGCATCCACCTGTGCGTTTGCAGCACTTCCCCCAGATGCCCCTCCCGCTCGAGCATGGCCTCCAGGTCGCCATGGAGACCCCTGCACTCCCGGAGCAGTGCCTGTCACCGCGCAAACATAAATTACAACTCAAATCCAAAGGCCTATTTCCGGTGAGCAATTATGCTAATTAACCCAGTCATCATATGCTACTGTACATGACATGCTGCTACTCCCTGGTGAATATAATTGGTGCTGGTACATCTAAGGCTTGTCTTAACAACTACGCCAGTCCAAATATTCAAACTTATTATGGTGGGATAAAGCGCACATATTTTACTCAACAATAAGTATAATACATTAGTTTTATATAACGCTTTTATGGACACTCAAAGACCTTTCACAAGTCATTAATCTTTCACTCCATACACAATGTGGTGATAAAAAACTATTGAAGCCACAGCTGCCCTGGGACACACTGACAGGATTAATGTGTGAAATAGATAGAAATATATATAGATATATAAAGAGAAACATATCTATATATTGATATTGAAGCATTTACAGCTAGCTACGAATAAAGGTTCTTTTATTTTATCTTAGTTCTGCTCAGCTCAACAAACCTGGTGTGCACGGATCTGCTCCTGCAGCTGTGATGCAGAGCTCCAGATGATGTTGCCACTGACCATACATTCGGCTTTCTCGATCCACGACAGGATGAACGACTTCATGCTCTGGTAGTCTTCCATTTGTCTCTCCGCCTGCTCAGAACAGACCAAAACTGGCGTAAAAAAATGGCCAAATATTACCATAAAAGTGCATGAATATTTTAGCATTAGGGAGATCACAATAGCTAATGGTCTCCTTCTCTCTACAGCGCCTTTTGCATATTAATTGGGCCTATGTATTTAACTGGGTGTCTTTATTAATACACATTTGTTCCTTAATTTCTCTGCTTTGGATTACCACTAAAATCTGTAACATAATTTAGATTCTCATTTATATTAATAACTAAAAATGAGTTATTTTGGGAATATTTAACATTCAACATCATTGCATGGTGTTGAGTGTCAAATATTTAAAAAAATGAGTAGAAAATAAATTCTGCTGCCAACACAGGTGATTGAAAAGAACTTTAACTATGGAAATCCAATTTATGGGCGATATTTGCAAACTGCCCATTTACATCGAACTGATATTAGCGTAGATGGAAATAAAGACAACTCCAGGTTTGTTTTTGATGGAATCTTTTCACTTTGTTAGCATGTTTGCAGATTTTCTGTTGTTTGCACATTTCCTCCCTGAGTGATCCTATTTTTGCCACTTTATGCCAATACATTTCTCCATTGTGAGATCAATAAAGTTTTATCTTATCTTATCTCTTAAATCTTGCTCACCTTCTTCAGTCTGTTGGACCTGTCTTGGATTTGTTGTGCCGTGTGCCGCTGCACCTCCATGAGTTTGGTCACAGCGTCTCCCAGCTGTTTACACAAGAGAGGGTTCTGCTCTCCGAATTCCTGCACCGCAACCCCCAACTCCCCCAGAGTGCGACCGCAGCATTCACACTCCTCACAGATGGCCTGCAATAAAGACAGATTATGTTATAGTTTCTGTTAACAAAAAGAAAGAGGGTCTTTGGCAAACCTTTGACAAGTTGCATAATGACTGTTGCCTCATTTTTCCATTCCAAGGGAGACTTTCTTGTATCTTTTAAGAACAAGATCATTTTGCTTGTCCCATTGGCATATCTTGTTTTAAGGCCGTCAAAAGGTGCTCAAATTAAGATACATAATGTTTTCCATTGTTTTTCTATTGCTTTTACAGTGCAGAATGTATCTCAATTTTTGCACTACAAATGCCCTGTGCTATATAGCCTTATACAATAAAATACTTTTTTTTTTTAGGTTTTGGGACAGCAGTGGGACAAATGAATGGAACAGGTGGGCGGGTAAGGCAAAGACTCCCTCCTGAAATGCTATTCACTAAAGTGGGGCAACAATGACGGCAAGATCCAGTCCCTGCCATTGAAGCTCATTAACCTCAACATCTGCAAAATGGATGGCCAATGGAGCCGGGGCTAATTGTCTCCTAATTAGTCAATCTGTCTGGTTGATTACTTTGGTCTCTTCTTTGGCCTCCTCCAGATCTCCACACTTGTTGTCCAGTTTTAGGGCCACAGTCTTCAGTTTTGTCTCCATGTCTTGCAGTCTGGAGGTGAAGTCTTGTTTGACGTCTCTGGTTTGCTGCACCTCCCTTTCTCTGGCTTGGACCTGCCACCAACAAAGAAAAACATTAATCAAACAATCTCTGGAATTGAAAATCTATTGCCCTGCTTTGTAATATTCTAATCTAAGCAGTTTTATATGTTAATTACCATAAATCCTCTACTGTACATGGGGTATTGCTACTATTATAGGCTTAACTAAATTGGACATTACGATCACATTAAAATACTTCTCAAAGTTAATCATACAGTGATGACCATGAAAGCCACTGCCATATGTTTAAAGCTGGGGCACCTAACTTTCAAACTACAAAAAAATATTATAATGCACAATGCAATACAATGTATACAGCCAGTAGCAGATCTAGAGATGTAGAGTGTTTTCGATCTAAAACCACCACATTATTCTCCGCAAGTGTACGCTCGTCACCTGATCTTCCGCGGAGCCCAGAGCCAGTGCCACTTCAGCCAGCTGCATACTGAGCTCTGAGGGGAGACCGCCCCGGAGCTCCTGGTACTTGGACTGCTGCAGCTCCGTGATACGTTCCACACTCTGGCGCCTACTGACGACTTCACCATGAGCTGTCTGCAAAAGAAATTAGAAAGTAATTTTCTACATTTAAGAACTATTCAATACAGTTCTATGACTTTATTAAGGAGTAGTAAAAGTGGACGCTACAGGCGGAATAGCTGTAGTAGTAACATTATTAGCATTAAGAAGGACACAAGTAACTGTTTTCCGGAAAACAAATCAACAGAGGCACATTAGCCGAAACAGTTACAGTGCAAAAATACAAACACATTGATCACATCACAGTAACAGAATCCTGTGCCCCAAATTCACCATGAGCGGGGACAGACTGGCACCTCTTTGGTTGCTAGCTAGGCAAACACCATGGGTGACGTCAGCACTCCTTCTACAATAGTTGCAACCAAAACTATAGGTTGACCCCGATGATGTTGGGAGTGTGTACCTCCAGCTCCTGCAGCAGAGAGTCCAGGTCAGCGGTGGGGCTTAGCAGCAGACCACGCGTGTCCTGAATCCAGCCTTTGACCAGTCCAAGCTCCTTCTCCACCTCCTCCCGCTCCCTCAACTCCTGTTGGACCTGTGTCCGACTGGTCCGCACCTGTTGCAGTAGGCTACACAAATGCATTTTTAATGTTGAGATGGACCACAGTTTAATAAAGTATACTGACAGTTGCCCTAAGAGTGGATCATTTTCAAAGCTGCGAAAAAGCATTCATTAGAAATTACACCACTTGAAATCACCACATCAACACACCTCAGTGACAGAGAAGTAATCAAGGATGCACTTCTGGAGGCTACAAGGTTAGTAACAGTTTTTCATTCTGTGATAACATAGTCAGACTGGAAAAGACCAAAACAACCAAATTCACCTGTTTCATTTCCACCAGACAAGGCATGGCTAGCACTAGTTTGAACATTATCAAATTATAAAAGCTCAACCAGGGAAAGGAGTTGAGAAGTAGCATAATCTATACACTCAGTATGCATGCGTTCCGTTGCATCTATCATATGAATAAATAGTAACTAATCTTCATTATATAGTGCATTTCACAGGCCAAGATCACAGAACGCTCTTCACAATTCGATGTAATTCCCATGCCTCCGCACACGATGACAGAAGCAAGACACCTGGAGAACACCTGGCACACCGGATTCTCACAATTCATTCACAATGCATGTTTAACAATACTTTCAACCTACATCCGTTTATTTTACAACACACCAGTTATTATAAAAATAAAGATAACTTTAAATTGATTTAAAAAAAAAACACTTATCAGTAACACTTATAAAATATAAATCCATATTCAAAAGACTTACATACAGAACATAGTATAATTACCTTTCATATTTCTCCTGGTAATCACTGATCTGATTCAGCCACTGCGTCTGGTCGTGTCCATTCTCAGTTTTCTCGTCCTGGTGCAGCCTCTCTCCTTTGAGGCCCAGAGTCAGCTGACTGAGCAGGGCTAGAATGGACTGCTCTCTCTCCAGCTCCACACTGAAAGAGTCGTGGTACTCCAGGAGGCTCTGCAGCGCCGCCCTGGTGGCCGCTTTCTCCACTGTGCTGTCTGGGACTCTGCCACGGAGGTCCTCATACACAGACTGCACCTTCTCCATCTAAAAGACACAAATGTCAGATTAGACGCGTAAGCCTCCGTTCATTCAATAAACATGATTCAATTGTTCAATTTAGAGCCTCTAAGGCAGCTCTCTACAAGGCCTATTGCCTTTGTTGAGGCTTTTTTCATTGAATAGTGCAATTATATTAACTTGGGACTTGCCATTTGATAGTGAGTTAGAGTATATTGTGATACTTCATGCGTAAACTGAGCTACGATAAGAAAAATATATAATAAAAATATGCTATTAATAGCGATATTGTCCAAAATAAATGTACAATTTGGATCAGAAAGTACTTAAATTAAATTGTCAATCATGGGAATGCATTCTTCAAGTGGGACCAGGGCAGTAGTTTGTAAAGTACATGAGAAGTGAGAGACAGCTGGAGATATCTCAGTGATTACATCATCCCTGTTGAACAAAGGAGTCATAGAAGCAGTGTACAACGGAGACATGCCACATTTAAGGAAGTAACCACCATTTCCCACAGTTTGACCTCATTTCCTCTTCAGGCGCAAGGGACTGTGGGAATTTACTGACAAAAATTCTCACTTGAACTGGGCCAAAAGGCGGGAAAATACAACATGACACAGGGCTTTGGCAGAGGGAGAGGACTGGACTGGAGCCTGGAGTTGCATCACAGCTGACTTACTTTTTAATGAATCAGCTGTAAAAGGAACTCACTATATCAACAAATGTAATGTCTTTGTAAGAATGAATGATTTTGTATGTATGTGTGTGAAAGGAAGTGGTCACATTTTTAAATATCTTGTAAAATGCAAGATACATCCTTACAAGAAACCTTTGGGAGGCCATAATTTGTACATTGTCACTTATACAATGTATTCTTTCCCATTCCCAGTTTTAGCCGCTGTAGATATGAGTCTGCACCATACCAACCCCCTACTACTAATTAATTGGGTAATTATACGTTTATATTTAACCTTATATTTTATTGTTTTTTATATTGTTGTGTATTCTATATACACATTCTTCAGTAATGTGCAACACAGACCTTTCCCCTCGGTTGGTAAAATAAAGATTTGAGAAACAACATGTTTAAACCTTTTCCAACATAAAGCAATCAAAAAAGTAGTGAATGTACACCTTTTCCATAAAATTTCTCCACTCTCTTGTTGTGTCCTCGAGCGCCCTCTCCTGGGCCCGAGCCATACTGCACATCTTGGTCCAGCGTTGCCATAGCGCTGAGACGTTGAGGCTGGCAACGATGGCGCCACTGGAGTCATAAATGATGTCCTCCAACTCTTTAAGGATGTCCTTCACAGCATTTAAAGGCACTTCCAAAAGATCCAAGTGAGCAATTAGCGACTACAGACGAGAGTTTGCAAAGTGAGAGGAGAAAGTCAATTTTGAGGAATGGAATTGGAATCTTAAAGAAAACAGTAAATCTCAAACATATTTACCTTATATCGTTGGCACTTGTCCTCTGCCATGTGTAGACTGGTGGATGTGGCTGTTGTGAATGAAGTCATCTTGCTCTCAATATCATTCATTTGTTCTATGAGTGAATCTGTTTCTCTTTGAAAGGAGGTCCACAAATCTCCACACCTGAGAATAAAATTGGATTAGGGGTGTGGTGCAAAATATAAATAAAATATTTTCATATCGATGTTTTTGAAATAACAGACAATATAGTTGTGTTGTATAGTAACAACATTTTTCTTTTTCTTTGAGGTGCACCTGTACATAATCCGCACAACATTTTAAAAGAAAATACATTAAATATGAGCCACAGGTTTTTGCGTAGTCATGTAACACTTAACCAACAACTGATGGAGCAAAACGGTTGGTCGATTGACACCTGTTTTAATCTGGTGGCTCTCTACTGTACACATAAAAACACTGAAGCAGGAATCATAGTGGGTCATAGTCAAGTAATTACGGTCTATATACATATATGTATATTGTTTTGATATGTTGACTATATATTAAGAATAAATGCATCAATAGTGGTGTCATTTTTGGTCAAAGAGGGCTGTGTTAGGGACCATATTTTTTAGACATATATCTTATCGAATTATAACTAATTTAAAGTCTTTTGTACCTAGATATGTATCGTATGGGCAGGCACTGAAAGATACCCAGCCCTAAATGAGATAAGAGTATTTTTGAGATATAGACCTACAATTGGCAGTCGGATTAACGTTGAATAATTGAAAACTTCAATAACCCTGTTCTCAACCAAGTGTAATTTCATTCATAAATACTAGAAATCTCCAAACCTTTTTAGTGTGTTCCGGTGCACATCCAATAGCTGATTCGCCTCTACTTTTCTCAACTTGATTGCTTCTACTTGCTCATGGACTTTTCTCATCTCCACCGAATCAACAATTTTTACAAGCAGAGGGTCCACAATTTGCAGCTCGTCTAAAGCAGCTGTTAAGTCCTTTTCCTGAGCTGTAATTTCTTCTAGGTCTTGCATCCAGTCTGTGTGGTTTTCCAGCTCTAACCCTGCGTTGGCCCTTTGGAGAAACGCAGCGGCGCAGTCCACCCATTTCTGTGCAGACTGCAGAGATAAGTGGTGCCTCTGGACCAGGGAATGAGCCTCATCCACAGCCAGCTAAGACACAGAGCACCACACTTAATTAACTTTTAAAATCTCACACTCAAACAAGCAGAAAATATGCTTTAAAAAAAAATTATTTAATAGGCTTTCAGTAGTGGTTTCTCTGCGATTCAATACCAGATTTATTAAACATAATCCTATAAATATAACGCCATTTTAAAACTTGGCATAGTTTTTTAATAAGAAAAGGAACCATAAAATGAAATAACTAAAATCTTATGGAACTGATATAACAATATATCCAGTAAATAATAATTTAGTCCACAAACATGAAAAGCAAAAATAAAATGCACCTGTTTTTTGTGTATTGATTGTTGGATTGCTTCTCGCATCTTTGCCAGTTTCTTCTCTGGGTGTGTTTTAAAGGTTTCTGCTGCAATCCTGAAACTTCTCTTTGTTTCCTCTTCAATGGCTTTCAGTCTCCATAGTTGCACAAGTACATGATTAACTGTGACCTCCAAGAGGACCACAGGCTCGTCCAGTTTAGACTTGATCTTCTCCAACCACTTTTCAACGTTCACCACGTCTGTGAAGACCTTTTCATTCTCTTCAATAAAACATACAACGTCACTCCGCACTGATTGTAAAAATTCTTGTTGGATTAAAAGGTTTTGCAAAGCAGCAGTGTCAAAGTTCAGATGAAGGCTTTGTGTGTGTTTGATACATTCTTGTGTCTGGAAGTTCACTCGGCCCAGACGCTCCAGTAATAAGTAAAGAGCACTCATCGTACCTGCAGAGCCGACTTCTGACTTTGTTTGTATTGTGACAAACTCCTTCTTTACTGACTCCAACTCCTGATTCAACTCCTTTATCTCATTGTGATCAGCCACTACTTTCAAACTCTTTTCTAAGTCCTGAAGCCTCTGCCTGTTTCTCCTCTTTAATGATTTGTGCAGATTTAGCAGCTGGTGTGTCTCTTCAGCTTTATAAGGATGGCCTCTATTCTTTAACAACTCCTTTTTACCACTCAGTTCACTTACAGCACTGCTTATATGCAATAAACTTTGTTTTATATTTCTATGTTCATTTATTAGATATAGAACCTCTTTTTCATTTATTTTGATAGTCTGCTTTTCCAGATTGTCAAACTTCTCCTGCAGCTCCTCAAGTGCATTTCGAGTTAAATCAACAAAAGTGCTGAACTCCTTCCGCTCCTGGATACTTTGCTGGACCCTGTCTTTCTTCTCTTTGGCTAAAGCTAAGATGTTGTTATACTGCTGAGGCAGAGCATTCAGCCGCTCGTCCAGATAACAATGGTCGATCTCATTCAGAGATGGGAGGATCTCCTGACCAATTCTTTGGACAATGAGCAGGAGGTTCTCATACTCTGAGGCTTGTTCCAGAACTTCCTGATAGTTTGATAGTTGGGTCTGTAGCTCAGAACAATCTTCAATATTATGTGAAGTGATTTCTGGAAAGGTGATTGCATCCGCCCGCCTCAACCACTGACAAGTTTTGTCCAAATCCACCTGGAAGTACTTCCTGGAGGTGAGAGCCTTTTCCAGGTCCGTGAGTCTGCGAGTAGTGCTCTGAAGCACAGCCTCAAACACTGTCTGCAGCTCATGAAGTTTAGACATGGTTTCTGTCCTCTCTTTGTCAGTGGCATCTCTCTCCAGTTCCCTTGCCTGTGCCCACAGAGAGGCTAATTCCCTCTGGTACTCTCTCAAACTACTCTGGACACCCCTACAGACTGATCCCTGTTTGGTCAGATCCTCAGGTAGCAAAGCTATGTGGTCATCTATCAGAGCTTTCTTTTCCTGTTGTTGGATCCAGCCTAGCGCTCTGCCAAGGCCCTGAAGAAACTGTGTCCTCTCTGTGAAAGCCTGGCAAAAGAGAGGCAGGATTTTAGAGGTTTCATGATTGTTAGTGCATCTGGAGAATTATTAAGTCAGCAATTAGCTTAAGTGTGAACAATCTGCTTACTTTGCTGAGATACTTCCTCCTCTGTGTAACTCGCACCCCCAGTGCCTCCACCTCTCCTTGGGCCTGTTCCACCAGCTCTTGAAGGTTTCTCTTCTCGCTAAGTCCCAGTCGAGGCATCACTGCCTGGGCCTCGTTCACAGCTTGAGTGAGCAGCTGCTGTCGAGCCTCCAGCTCCACACAAACACTCAGATGGTCAAACAGGAAGCTTTGGGCCACATCAGGCGGTGGGCTGCTTTTCAGTGCAGAGGTAAGAGCCGGCCTCTGCTCCTCCACCCACTCCCTCGCCTCCCTCAGCTGGGTCTCCACTCGAGCCAGATCCTCCAGTGTCTGGGCAGAGTCATGGATTTTCTGCTGAATGACAGATTCTAGTTGAGCCCAACGCTGCTCCAGATGGCACACCTGGTTAAACAGACCATGGATAGAAATATGAAAATGAACAAATAGTACATATAGTATACTTGAATAAATATACTTGAAGAAATTTACGTATAGATATGAATAAATAAAACAAAGCATAAAACATTCTCACCTGCTGTTTTACCAACTCCTTGTCCAACAGACTAAGTCGAGGAAGTATGGCCTGCCTTTGGTCTCTTAGCTCTTCAAGAGTTGTATGCTGCTCCTCTAAATCACTGAAAAGCTTCCTGAGTGCCTCCAGATGTTCACTTGTGCTTTCTGTGTCGGCTCTGCGAAATAGAAGTTTGGTTGATTTGGAATGTTTGATAACAACAATAAATGTACATATTTTATTTACCTGGCGAGATAATCCCACTCTCTAGACACTTGATGGAAAAGTTCCTCCACAGTGGCCACACTGTCCTGGTACTCTCCACTCCGCTGCATGTCCTCCCCTCTCTGAGCCTCCAGCTCCTCAGCTCGCTGGCCAAGCTCTATCCAGAGTTTCTTGAGCCTTTTTATCTCTTCAGAGACAGGGCAGTTTTGCCTGTCTGTCAGCCGACACACGGCCTCATTCAGATGGTTTACCTCTGACTGCCTCTCACGAATCTGCAGGAGGAACTCCTGTAGGGCAAGCAGCAGATGTGACAGGTAAATCAAAGCTGTCGTGCTATATTGTTGATGAATGCAAATCCATCAACAAACCTGGGCCTTGTCCAGCTGATTCTGTGCAATCTTCTGCTCCAGTTCGGCAGGTCTCCTGCAGAGAGTTTGGAGTTGTTGCTCAGTTTCTCTAAATTGAACTTCCAGATCTGCCTTATGCTCTTCAATGTCCCGCCAGCTGTCTGCTGTTTCTTCACAAAGGATCATTCGATCTTCAATCTAGAAAAGTTCAAATAATAATGGATTGTGTGTAAGAATAAGATTATATTGTTCTATTAGGAGATGGCACTGTACCTGTAGTTTGACCTGTTGTATTTCAGCAACAGTTTCTCGAACGGTTTGCTCAGACAGATCGCAGGTGGAGCACAGCAGCTGGAGGTACGTGCTGGCCTGTTCCTGAAGAGCCCGCTCCTGCTTCACCTTTGACAGTATTTCAGTTCAGACCAGGAATAGAACATGAATTATATTGCTTTATTAAAATAACCAACATAAAAACTGGTGTAATAAACATGACGTTATGTTCATAGTCTGCCTTCCTGACCTGCTGTAGTGCGTCGTCCAGACTAAGTGCAGTTTGTGTGTTCGGCTCCAGTTCATGGGGGACAGAGGTCAGCCAGTTCTGGCACTGCAGCAGAGCATCCTGAAGACTCACATGTCGCTGTAACTCATGATCCAAACTCTGATAAACCTGTTGGATAGAGCATAGTAAATTAATCTGGAGCTTGTCTGAAACCAGAGCAATATTGAGGTAAATACTGAACATTGTCAATTCTGCAATGTAATATTAAGCAGGTGTAAGACGTAGCCTCCCCATGGTTTCCTGGAGAGAGGTGAACAAGGAGGTCTGACTGACAGTGCTAATATGAGCTTGAAATAGTTGGAAGGAGGGGCAAATTGGCAATCTGCCCAGTGTGTTGGCAAAGCTGAGAGTTTTTGGCGTGGTTGAAAGTGGCAGGCCGGATATTCGAGCGCTGTTGTGCTGGGACACGGCTGGCAGCGGCTGTGGGTGCTGCTGTAGTGGTGGTGTGGTAAAGCGGAGGCTGGATCACACAATGCCAGATTGGGGAGAGCGAGTGGCTGAAGAGGTGGTGCCTTGGGGAGGTGGGCAATGATGACAGAACATAGAGCTTGCCAAAATAACAGAGTGGCACTGGATTACAGGCCCCGCCAGATCTGCCGAATTGTGGCATGTGACCAGTTTTGGCCTGGGCATGAAAAGGCGAGTTGACAGGGGATGCACAATGATTAATATGGGGGATATTGAGTTAGTAATTTGGGCTGGGAGGACTTCAGAGTAGATGTGTTGGTTCTTTGGCTTGGCAGACCTAATTGGTTGTGCCCTTTACGTTGGCCGTGGAGGGCTGTCTTGAGAGATGGGTTTAATAGTCTGATTGGGTTAGGATTAAGTGGATGTCTAGGCTGTTAGAAAATTAGCGGCATTTAATGTTGGCTCAGTATGTATGCATGTGTGTGTGCCCTGAATTATTCATGTGCAGAATGCATACAACAAATAAAATTATGTCCACAAATTAGATATTTCATCTCCTGTCCTCAAAAGTTAAGGCAAATAAATACATTTTTTGCAAGGGATAATTTATGGAATGCAGGTCATTATTGGAAAATAAGTACCGACAAAACCGGACCCTGACCCAAAGTGGAGGGGTACGGTTCTGCTTAATATATGGCTAACTGTCAACTGAACACACAAAATAAACTTCAGTCCACTTTCATGAATGCCAAAATTATTTGCAGTCATTTATTTAATGACTGCAAATAAAATAGTTCCCACACTATCGTGGCTAGGTGAGTATCAGCTAGGCTAGCTACATATTAAACTGGACGTTCCCGTTGAAAGAACTCTCTCAAACTACATGAAATTCTGAACATCAGCGGTTAGTGACCCAAACTGTCTATAAACTCCACGTAAATCAATAATCAAATCCTCTGTAAATGCGTCCTGAAAATGTTAATAGATACTTCTGAAAACCTCAGTGCATGTGTATTAAGAATGTATATGTATAATGTCTTCTCCAATTAACATTTAAATGTGTGTGTGTGTGTGTGTGTGATTGATTATTATTTGTGTTTATTGAGCGGAGTAACACCATGGATCTATGTGTGGCCACACTATACTGTGGCTAGGCGAGTAACAGCTAGGCTAGGTATTTACAGTATTTATATTAAACTGGGCGTTCCCGTTGAAGGTGCAGAGATGAGGAATGGTGGTGTATCTCTGGGTAAGTTGAAAGTCAGACAGAAAAGCTCGTTGACAAAGTGAATGAACTACTTGCAGAGTGAAACCTGAATTTTAAGCACAAAATGAGTTGCCATTGGCAGCAGTCATTATTGGTTTGAGAGGTCCGTTATAAAAAAATAATGACTGATACAACGTTTTGAAATTACATTCAAATCAATGGAGCGTTCTACTTCTACTGTGAAGATCCGTATAATAAAAACTGATAATATTCAAAAAACTTAAAGCTGGGGTACTTAACTTTTAAACCACAAAAATAGAATTATGTCATAAAATCCATGTAACTAAAATAGTTCGATCAATAGTTTTCACAGGCATGTATTTTCTCACTTTATCACATCTTTAGAGGAGCCTACAGAAAAGTGAAAAAGAGAGGCCTATCAGAAAATAGTCAAATAGTGACATGGAGGGCTCTTTCTTACGAGTAAGCAATAATACAAAATACTTTCTAACAAGATGAACTTGCTTTACTTTTACGCGACACTTTCTGTTACGATAAACAACATGGATTAATGAATACATAAACAAGTGAGGTACCCCAGCTTTTATACATTTCTGTTTGAATCTAAAAGTGTTTGTATACTATAAGAGTTTTATGGCTCTATAAAATAATGACATTTTCACCCAATGGCATGTCCATTGGGTGAAAATTTACTGTTTTATTTAATTGTATGGATATTAAGCTAATTATTTAGTTTCATTTATGCCAAATTGGTACAAGGCTTCTCACAAATCCTCATTCTTCCTCACCCTCTGCGCGGTGCTGCAGATTGCGGAGTAGCTGTCTCTGGTGCCTTGTTGATGCGCCTGGACCTGCTGTCTCAGCCTGTTCTGCACACGCTCAGTGCAGCCATGTACCAGGTGGTCTCCTCGCTCCTTCAGGCCCAACAAACGCTCTTCAAAACCAGCAATTTCCTCCATTATGGCCTGTGAAGCACAACGTACTCATATGAGACATGTAATCATTTTGAGAGTCTCCAAGAATACATATCAAGCACTTCACTTGAACATATTCAGAGTCCTTACCACGGCTGTTACAGATGTTTTTACAGTTTTTAGTTATCAGCTTTTCCCAATTCCTAAAGTTTTATACCAGGATATAGAACTTACTTTGGTGTGTAAATAATTTAAGATGTTGTAGATAATTTCAACATTTTCTGAAAACACATTTATATTTTATTACAGGAAATGACATGCCTAAAAGTTTAAACACATTGAAAATACCAACATAAATCCTCTTTAACCAACTTTTGCATTTATACTTTTACTTTACTTCATAGTATTCAGAACAGAATTGCTGGAGATAAGTGAGAACCTCTTGTTGGTTACCTTGTGTCTGGCCAGTTGCTGGGTGGCGGCCTCGAGACTACCCCCCACAGTGGGGTCCGGAGTCACCATCCTGCTCGACATTTGCAGAAGCCAGCGTTCCACTTCCTGCAGCTCATTGTGGTACGTTTCCTGCTCCTTCACTTGGACTTCCAGACTCTCCACATGAGTCTGCGTACATTAAAGCATTGTAATATTTTGATTGTCCAATAATTAGTTGGTAAAGGAAAATAAGGATTACATCAAATGTAACTTCTATCACATGTAAATGCTCTAAAAGGATTTCTCCTACCATAGCAGTGTTGCAGAGGTCACAATAGTCCTTGTGCAGCCTGTTCATCTTGTCTCGGACAGAAGGGTAATGGACCGATGCCAGCAGAGCATCACCTTTCTCCACCACTGCTCTGACGGATCCATCGTGGGACTGGACCACCTGCAGCAGGACCTGTGGTGCAGCAAATGAGGAGTAATGATCATAGAGGTTGTGAATGGAGTTTTAATTACACATAAATTGTACAGCCTGTGAGTAAATCTTTGAGGTAAATCAAATGCTATAAATATTATTTTCAATGTTGTGAAAGGAAATAAATGTAAATTTAGGCTGACAGATGTACAGAAAGATATTTTGCATGAATACATGTTCGGAAGTTTACACTGCAGTAGCTGTACCTTATACTTGGCCAGCTGAGCTCTCCTCTGGTACAGCTCGGCTTTGGGCTCCACAGGGTTTGCAAGCACTGCCCGGGTCTCCACCAGCCACTGGGCCTGGGCTTTGTAGCGGTCCTGGAACTCTTTAGACAGCAGTAAGGCCCGGTCCAGAAAACTGTGCTCTTGACGCAGAGCGCTGGACAGCTCCTCCAGCTGGGACAGCCTGGCCTCCACCTCCCCCCCTAAATGTTCAGCACCAGCTTCATCCAGGAAGCCAGCAGCCTGCTCTGCACGCTCTCTCAGAGACTTCAGGTAACTGTGGCCACGCTGCAGCTCAGTCTGGAGGTTCTAGGAGCAGAAAACAATTTTACAATGAACCAACAATATATAACTGAATGTAATCGATCAAAAAATAATTTTCAGTCCACTGCAAATATAGTATGAGTCTTTTATATTTAGAGAATTATTTTTTTTTTCAGTTTCCATGTGTAGTGTGTTTAGGTACATATAAAACCAAGATAGTGTTGTATTACTATACATTTCCATCAGGATATGCTTGCCTTTCTATTTTGCTGACACTATGTGTTCTTGGGATCAAATGGATGATATCTTATAGAAAATGTTATGGGTAATTTCTGTCCTTCACATGCACTGCTGCCCTATTCACCTTGCCTCTGCTTGGGCATTGTATTTGAAGGCTTTGAACCCATCAGGTTGGCTCCACCCAGCAGGAGGAGACATGAAGAGAAGACCAGGGAGGTCATGCACAGAGAAAAGCATGGTTGATAATATGAAAGGAGGACCCAATTATAAAGGCCCTTAACAGGCAGCAGTAGCTACAGGGGTTTCCAGGGCAACCACATCGTAGCGCAACGACACAGGCAGCGTCACTCAATGGGATGCCATCGAGCTTTCATCATTCATCTATTATTGTGAAATTGGAGTGTTACATTGTACCAATCCCAGAGCACCAAAGAGTGGTTTGTATAATCTAATATAACAAGCCTTGTTTTCATTTGAGCACGATTGAGTTTGGTGTTTTGTTAAAGACATGCTGTCATTGGTCTAATCGGAAAACAAGCACAGTGACATGCCATGTTATTTAACAACACTCAATATATCCCAATATCAGACAGTTCAGGGGGTAAATGCCCTATGGTTTGTTATTCCCATTTGAACCTGGAGCTAAATGATAGATGTGTCATCTATCACTATAGATCTGAGAAACATAACATAACACAGTATAAAAAAGCAGACCAGCTGTGGTAACTCTCAGGTAAGTGTTCTATTTCCCATTATTCAAAGATAAAATTATTGAAAACATTGTGTAACAATACGTTTGGCTCGAACATTTCCACTGTTCAAGTTCCCCCTTATATAAATTGGATATTGATGAAAACTGCTGCATTCTCATCTATAGAGAGAGACTTAATCATATTGCAGCAGTGCACTCTGGGAAATGCTATACGGTTTCTATTAAAAACCCTTTCTGCTGCTATAATGTATAATGTCATGTGTTTACTCTTGTTCCTCAATAGCGATGACATGCCACAGTAAAATTTGATCTAAGGGACTATATTTAGTAACTGGGGGAGGATATTGCCATGGTCACCCCGAGGGATGTTGAAAAACATAAAACACATCTCCAGTTGATTTAGATCAACTCTGCAGTCAAACATAATCCGATAGGGAGGTTCCTTAACGTGTAGGTTGGACTTGGCATAATCACCTTGAAAATGAATAAATATCAGTGATATTAAAGGGAAAAAGTTGGGTGGCTGTGTGGTGCCCTGATTGACCTCTTAACATATTATGAAACGTTATCTTAAGAAGAAAAGTAAATAGTAGAAAGTAAATAAAAAGTAATAATAAAAACTGTTTTCCGTGTGTATCTCCCTATGCTACCACGAAAGATACTGGCTGCAATACTTTTGCTTTCAAAGACAGAAAAAATTGTGTTGGACGTGATGTGGTACAAGGACATCATACTATTTCTAGACTGAGACAGGAGCTTTTATTTTTTCTTATTTCAACCTTTATTTAACCAGGAAAGTCCCAATGAGAATTCAGAATCTTATTTTTTCAGGGGAGTCCTGGTCCTAGAGAAAAGGGCGGGAGTAGGGGTCAGGGAGGATGTTACAGGGGACTACATGTACATGTTTTTAGTGGTAGGGGAAACCGCAGCACCCGGAAGAAACCTACGCACAGACAGGGAGAACATGCAAATTCCACACAACAGAAAATGCTGTTGTAGCTATATTGTGGGCATTGTAGTGTACATACAGTAATAGTGAGTTGATGGCCCCTGACGAAGCAATTTGACTCCTTTTTCTGTCAATGCATAATCTTCCGGGCAGGCTGAGCGGCGCTGGAGGTCTCACGACAGGAGAGACGGTAACTGACGCTCGTGTGTCATTTGTACAGAGAGGGAAGAACACATGCGGTGACAGCGCAGACACCGAACATCGATCCCAGGAAAGAATTAGCACAAAGCTCTCACCAGATGATATACCGCAAAAGTGTGAATGTCTACAGATTATGGTGTGGAGACATGGGAGGGCCAGAAGTAATGGGATTAACAAACTGTGAGATGAATCCTGAATGGTAGGTATTTTATTTTACATGTATTGTTATTGTTACATGTACATGTACTTATTGTTTTTGTTATAAGTCAATTAGTAAGAGATAATTTTCACACACATATCCACTAATAAAGCTGGGCTACCTAACGTATTTGTTTAAAATAATAACACAGAAACAGTCTGACCACAACATGCCCTCTTTAACTTATAAGAAAATGTTATCATCAAATCAAATCAAATCAAATTTTATTTATAAAGCGCTTTTCATACAAAAGATGCAACACAAAGTGCTTTACAGTTTGGTTAAAAACAATCCCGCCGGCCCATGTCCCCTCCCCCCGACCACCCAAAAGACCCATCCCAAACCACAGACAAACACACACACGCTCCCATGCACACTCTCTGACACACACACACACACACACACACACACACACACACACACACACACACACATACACACACAAGTAAAACAGTAAAACAATGATGAGAGACTTGGCAGGGTTCGGATGCAACCAGCTGAAAAAGCGTCATCCTAGGAGCCGTCTGCACCAGGAGTTATCTTCAAAGTGGACCTTTGTCACTATTTGAAACTTTGGGCTAAGGATCGGCTGAGTAAGAGCAGCCATCTTTTGTCACTTTTCTGTCTTTTCTTGTCTGAAAACTACATGTAGATGAAGACTAGTTTGAAAACAGGTACTCAAGCTTAAATGTATTATTTCTTGGCACCTGGCTTATCTAATGCACTGCAATTAATCCTCATTTGTTCCTTTTATTAAAGATGAAAGAAATCCAAACAATGATCTGATCCTCCTAAATAATGCAGCGTAAATGAACCCACAGAGGAGCCATAGACTTGAAAGATGCTGGTTATCATGTTCTCGTGATATAATACGAGTGCTTATAGGAGGTGAGTGTGTACGCCTGTGTGAAGTGAAGCAGTAAGGGCACCATATCAATTACAATGTCTGTGCCAGCAGGCTCCTGACACTGGCTCTTCTTCATCCTCCTCTGCCTCACTGTGGGCGGTCCCTCCCCACTACCACGCATCCTCTCAAACCACACCCGCTTTGTCTTCATAAAGGGGCCGATCGATACGCACGCACACTCGATATGATGAACTACACCAAAGCAACGATGGCAGCGATTTTCTCCCCCTCTGCAGACTGTTTCAATACACACATAATCCGGGGAGAGTACAATAGCCTTCTTAATACTTCCGTACTATAAAGAGAATAAATGTTGTATTTGTTTATATGCATGTACTGTATGCCTTGACTTGTCTGAGTTCTACTGTTTACATGTTTTTTTTAATTTATATTCCATGCTGTTTTCTTTTCTTTTCCTTTTTCGTGCATGTAAGGCCAATTGGTGTTGGAAATGTGCAGTACAAATAAAGCTGACATTGACATTGCTGTATAGCCCAAATTTGCAACTGCAGATTTTTTCACCAGACACAAACTTCACATAGAAGCCATTGGTCCATAAGGTGTATACCTGGTATTTGAATTAAATTTGTCTCTTTCTATAATCTTTCAGATTTACCAGATACATATTTATTTCATTTATTATGTTTTCCTTTATTTAAGTCAGAGCAGTTCCACTCTTGAACTCTGACATAGTAGACACACTTTAATGTCCTAAATGTAATTAATGTATAATTAACATTAGCAGTTCTGTACATTGTTGCATATATGTTCCTGTATTTATTGTGCTCCGCCTCCCCCCTCCCTTGCTGTTATTCTGTGTGCGACCAGGGGTGTGGCTGGCTCATCTGCTGTTTCATATACAGTACACTCATCTTCCTATCCCTAAAGCTCTGGTTCAGACTCTACTTCTCGCCAGATCATGTCACAAGTTTGTGTATGAATCTTGTTCTACTTTTTTACTTTCTTTTTTTTTTTTTGCTTAGTTTTTTGAGTCATGTGTTCAGGTTCGCATTTTCCCTTTAGCTGCTTGCTTTTCTCTTTTTTTATGTAAATCAAATCATTTTTGATTCTTAATCCAGCCACTGTTCTAACAATATATGCATATACAATATATCTCTCCGTGTTGTAAATATTATCTGTTTCTTGCACTATTGCATTTCTGGTTAGATACTAAACTGCATTTTGTTGGATTGTTCTGAACATTGTAAGGAAGTTTATTTATTTGCATAGCAATGAATATCGTAATGACAATAAAGTTGAATCTAATCTAATGTAATGTGATGGTATCTTTGTTTTAAGTAATAATAGTAGTTGTGGTTGCAGTGATACTGGACACATCTCATGTCCATTAAAATCCACTGCAGAGGCCATTTTGTGTGTTGTCCAAAAATTAAAAGCATCCCTTTTGCAGACTCTACAGAAATGCATGTTTAGCCAGCCAAGCACGCTACACCTGCCAAAAGTGTGATGGTACAAGCATAGTTATTTTTGGCAGCATTGAGATTGGAAATGCTTGTAGGCATAAAGCTAAAAAATATATGCACGTCTTTCACACTAATCTTAAATCAGAAAAACACGATGTTTCACTGGGGTAATACGTCAGCCCTGATTTATGTCAACCATATAACACAGGCACACCATAGAGACCGCTTCATACCCACTATTCTTCTTCATTGGCCCATGGAGGATACTCAGCCAACTCTGTATGTAAAACTTAAAACAAACTACAATGCAAGTTTGTACCTCTAACTTCTTCATCTTTTTTTCCATCGTGATGCGGTCGAAAGGTTCAGAGCTATCGGTTAAAGTTGCGAAGGATTTCTGTGTTGAGCCAAGCCAGTCGGAAAATGAGATGCAAAGGTTTTCGGCTTCATCGATGCTCTTCAGCTCCTCCTTAAGGTGTTTTATTGTCTCCTGAAACAAGAAATATGATAAATAGAAAAATTACAAATGAAAATAAAGATTGATGCAGGTTTTCACTGCAAGTTCTTCTCTTCACCTTGATCCAGAAATGAATAATTCTTCCAAAATTATAATATATTCTCGCAGGTTATAAATGCATGTACATACATTTAAACTGCATTCAAACCAAACAGCAGTTATCTAGTATAGGTATAGCAAAACACTTAAATAATTTCTTCTTTATTTGTCCCACAAGTCACAATTTACAGAACAGTAGGAATGAGGAGCGCACAACACAAGATAAATGAACAATAACTCTATACTATATACACGCAAATCTAAGACCTCCAACTAATAGCACCGTAAATAACTATAAATAACATATATTTTCTCTTGCATTTTGAAGGCTGCGGCTTATAATCAGGTGCGGCTTATAGTCCAGAAAATACCGCACATAATGCATAATGAAGAAGCAAGAATGAAGAACAAAATCTCTCATTTTCGCACAATAAAGAATTAAGTGTAAAAACTCTAACTTTGGCATAATAAAGAGTAGTAGACCTCTTCTTGCACATTGTTCTCAATTCAATTATACACTCAACATAATCATTTGCCAACTACAAAGCTTTGACCAAGTTGACGTAAATGAAATAACTATAGCTCTTACTCTCAACAATCTACGGTGGCCCCAAAGGACTAAAACGCTCTCTGATCCTTGCCTTTCATCCATGAAATGTCAATAGCTACTGCTACAAGGACACAAGAGGATTTTTTGTTCATGTTTTTAAGGCTTTATCCACTTGACTGAGGTTTTTGTGCCAGTAACATGCAGATGGAGTGGGGTTTTCATGTAGATTTCGACACATTATTCAGTCTAGTTGCAAATCCTGCAGTGAGAAACTCCAATTAGCAGTAAATGCTGAGTGTACACCTTTTGGAGACTCGACGGAGCAGAAGTAACTGTTTCACATCTCGTGCACATATGGTCCCCTCACTACACACTGTATTTATAAATATTGGGTTTAGAAAGATAGTGCCTTGATACATAGATTTTTTTCCTCATTCAGTCTGTATTGTGAGGGACCCTTGATGTCCGGCCCAGTTTTATACATTTTATGATTCCTATATGCAATATTATGGTTCAATCCTAATATCGACTCTATGGTTTTGTCTCTATTCAGTCCTGTGAAGTGGCAGTTCACAACTTTGAAGTAAAAAGTAGGTGAATTATAGATGAGAATGAGGTGTGAGCCCAACACCAAAGTGAGTGACAGAAAGTGAGGAGTGGCGACAGAAGGTTGTGGAGCTTTTCCACTTGCAGGGCTGGGTGCGAAATTGCCTTCTGTAGCGTTTAATTATAGCCTTAGCCCCAGTCCGCAGGAGCCCCATTGATTTCCCTTTAGTCTCCCCAGAGAAGCGGGCCAAAGCTGCGGATGCATCACAGAACATAGGGAAACACAGGGCAAAAGTCTCAAGGCTATTTCAATGGGCTGTTACACAAACAAGCCCAAACTCTCAGAGGAGGTGAGTCCATGGTGAGACAGCTTAACCACGAGAGGAGCCCGCTGGGGAAACAGCAGGAATGCACTTGACAATCCACAACTCTTAAAAATCTGATGTGTTGATAATATCTATCTAAATGCAATGGTTAGACTATTCTTTAATTCAGTGGTGGGCATATTGTATTAGTAGGTTCCACACAAGACTGTTTTGAATCCGACCAAGCACAAAGGCAATGCAAATGAGTGACTTTTTGAGAATAGTCTTTGGGTGATTTATAAACTTATTTTATAGATGTATAGTAAGTAAGTAAGAAAGTGGTCTTTATTTCTATAGCACTTTTCACAAAAGGAGTCACAAAGTGCTTTATAATTGTTGTGCGCTTTCTCTTCTCACTCCACATAGTGACGAAAACAGGGTATATAGTTGAGATCATAAGAAAAGGGTTGGATTCATGTTGTAGAATTCATTATTTCAGTTGGGCGGCAGGTGCCAATACAACTCTATGGGAAGAAGCAATCTTTTAAATAAATGTAGAAAAATAATGGTTTTCAAATGTTTTTCCAGATCATTATTTGATAGTGAGATTCACAAACCATGCCATATTATAAGTTTATATTCTATGTATATTATATTATAAGTCTGAAATTCCTTTCTACTGGCTAACATCATGCATATGTAGAATATATTGTCACTACTTCTAGAAACCTTTATGAGAAATAAGACAATAAGAGCATATGTACTGACAGAGAAGAGGTGGAACTTTGTGACAGTTTTGTTTCACATGGATTACCCCAGGAATAACAGAGGAATTAGCTAGAAAAGTAAGACTAGAGGTTCTTTTTTTCAACTGCTTTCCACTACAATTCTAAAATATTGGCTCTTTTGATTGTTGTGATGTCACATGAACGCAACACATTTAAATGTTTCTAATAATACCAAGGATTTAGTTCTGTTTAACTGCACCTCACCTTCATGTTGAGCAGCAGGGAGTGGTAGCGGGCCGTTAGCTGTGTCGCTGTTACACTGACACGACTGCTGATGTAGGTCTCCTCTAAAACCTGCTGGGCCAGCGGCGAGAGTCCGTCCACCTCCTCCTGTCGAGTTAGCGCTTCCTCAAGACACCCCTGCTCTCAAGGGACATCAGACATGTATATATTTGCATAATGAGCCCACATTATTCATGATGTAATTGTCAGTTGACTTTTAGGAGTCGTGGGGTTGGATATGTAAACAAATATGAAAAAAATAAGACTGCTAGAAAAACATCTTTTGAAAACAATAGGATATTCAGTAAAGAGTGTGTTATTCTATAAATCTGCTGGAGAATAATGCAAGTTGTCTGACTCAGTGACACCGACAGGAAGAGACTCAAAGGAGGCCCATTGTCAGTCCCCCACAGGTTTGAACTCATGCTGGGTCTGAATGGCATGTATAAATGCAGTAATATGTGATTCATATTTATGTATTTTTACATTCTGTGAGAGCATGGTAGTCAAGAATATATTTATAACAGCAGATAAGGTTGATAGACACATCCTACACAAATTAAACAAATACATTGAAAAAACAATGGCAAAATACATTATTATTTAGGTTTTAAGTATTGGTATATAAGGGGTGGGATTTCCTACTTTGTGAATTCCTGTTACTTATGGCAATAAAAATAATTCTGTTTCTAAATAAAATTGTGTTGAGAAACAATTTCACTGATAGAATATTATTTCAGGGATTGTGATCTGTTGGGATAGAGGTAAGTTCTACTCGGTTGTTGTTATAGTATTGCTGCTATTGCAATTAGAAGATGTTCATAAAAAGTAGTAGTAGTGTTCAGTCACCTTTAAATTCTTGAGCTGATCCTCTTTGGTTTCTCTGTCGGACCTGCGATGCCTCCTTATGTTTGCCATCTTCTCCATCTCCTCCAGCCAATTGGCGAGACTCAGGAACTTCTGCCCCATTTGCCTCACTCTGCCCAGGGTGGCTCTGAGCTGAGCTTGGGTCTCCTCCAGTCGACCCTGATACACACCCCACTCCCTCTGAGCGGTGTCCAGGGCCCGGTCCTCTATTTGCGGGATGCCCCATGGAATAACGCGCTCTCTGCAGGTCAGCACAGAGGAGAGCAGAGCCTGGCCCTTTGAACAATGCTCTTGCAGGGTCTGTGAAGAAATGCATCAAAACGGCTTTGAATGGCTGAACTGCACTGATGTTTGAGCCAAAGCTGAATTGATATGGAAAGATGCCATTTACTTAGCAATCTTTTCTTTTGGATTTTTCAGTCTGAGGTCAAAATAGCAAATTGTAAGGAAGACCCCAGTGGGAAATGTTACATTTGGCTTAGTAGAAGTTAATTGGAATGTTCACCAACAAATAGGGAACGTGAGCTAGGCATAGACTGTCGTTAGAAAGCTCTAGTGTGTACTATTGGTGAACACTGGAGTAGTCTTGCACAGTTTTTCCAATGTGGTTTTACTGCAAATGGCAAATAAATGATCTTACATAGAAATATGAAAGGTACCCAACTCCAAATTATATCATTTTAGATCAACATTGAAATTTCAAGTGTACAAGCTTATAATTATCAATTATTATCAATTTGGCCCTATACAATTCAATATCCTCCAATCTCAGTATACAAAAATAATGGTAATAAAAAGTGTAACTCTAGCATTGTCAGGTTGTAGAAATATATTCTATTGCATTACCTGTAGCTGCTGTATTGTGGTCTCTAGAGTATCCACGCTTCCTTCTGGGTGGGACAGAGTTGCTAATGTGGCTTGTTCCTGCTCGAGCCAGTCTTCAAACACATGCAGGGCTCGCTGATACTCCTGATGCACCTGCACTAGTCCTTTGGCTTTACTCACTGCATTCTGGAATCACAAAAACAAAACTTTTTAACTCAACCCTCAGCATTAAGGATAATATATTGTTTTCGTAAGATTTCCATAAAAGCATGGAGTGAATGAATACAGTACATACTTTGGCTTTCTCTGTAATGCTGTTGTATCTCGACTCTAGCTGCTGGACCTCCTCATGAGTATTGTAGTGTTCTGCCATATTGGATCCCTTTGATGCAATGGTTTCCAAAGGACTGCTGTGACTCACCACTTCCTCGTAGAGTAGCTGGATAATTGAAAATGATTAAGGGAAAGTCGGTGAATAGGGCTAGAAAACAGGCATAGAATTTCCAATCAATAAACAATACACAAATCACCTTGGCTTTCCCCAGGTTTGCAGTCTTGTCCCTCATTTCTGAATATTGCCTGTCTGAGCAGCTTAGCGTTTCTTCCACTCTGTCCATCCACTGCACAAATTGACCCACGTCTTCCTGATAGCTGGTCCACTGCGATAGAGCGCCCTCTATTTGACTGTTCAAGAAACAAAAGCACATACAGCACATTGATTCTAATTGTCCTTGTAACCTTTCAATCACAGTAAATCCATGAACTGAAACAAGACACTTCCTGGTTTCATTTATCAATTAATTGACATCCAACCTTTTGCACTGGATGGCAGCGGAGAGCAGGGAGTCCCATGAGTCTTTGAGGTCCTGGATCTGTTTACGTATGACTGGGACCCCCTCAGCCGAGGTATTTCTCTGGACTGCCTCTCCTCTTGTTAGCAGCATCTTTAGTTGGATCTCCCTTTCTTGACGAGCAGCCAGCAGCGCCTGCAGACAAAGACAAAAAGGAAAAAGAAAACAATCTTCAATAAGAAATCCCCTCTCAGCAAACAAAGACACCAAACACACAAGACAAACAATGCATGCTGTTGTGTGTCTGGATCCTTTGGTCTCATAATGTGGCGAAAGAAATCACAGAGGGTAATACTTATCGAACAAAGGGATGGCTCTTGGTTTTATCCAAATGTGGCTTAATTTGATTGCAGTCCAGACATATGGACAGCGCAACTTAGTAGCTAGTAGTTAAGGGGCTTTTTTGTTACCAATGTTATGTTATACATCATGTTATGTTATACATCTGTTTATTGACAGCATTGAATTGTATGACATTTTGCCTTAAGTGTGAGTGTGAAATGTAACACTACACGCTTTAAAAAAAAAACAATTGCACACTGTAAGCCAATTTTCTTTTCCACGTTGATAAGAATATTGAAATGATAATTCAAGCAACATAAAGAATAGATACAAATTTGTGATTAATTTAGTTTGCGAGTTAACTATTCACGTGATTAATCACAATCAAATAATAAATGGAATATATTAAAATACATTAAAGGACAACAGAGTACCACTCTGAAATATATGAATTAACAGAGAACACAATGGATGAATAACGTACTCAAACAGGAAACCCAAAACATACTTCTAGCTGTAGCATTCGCTCCTCCAGTGCAGCCTTGTCTGTGGTGGGAGAGAGGCAGGAGCTGAGGATGATCTGGCGCTCGCTCACCCAGTCCTGGAGCTCTTTTAGGCCCTGAGAGAAAAGACGGTGCTCCCCAACGATGCGTTCAATTCTGGAGGCTTTATCCTTTTTAAATGAATAAAGGAAAACGTATTAACACTTTTTAAGGACAATACTGGAGAAAAATTATCAAGGTCTGAAGGAAGGTTCATCTTCTCCTCTTTGTAGATAAGGTTATTTGGTTCTACTATACCAGACAATAGTAAGATGGCGATGTTATTACCTTGACATGACGAAGACTTGTAAGAATGCCGTCAAAACTTAAAATTGCAATATTACAATTGTCTGGCATAGAGGAACCAAATAACCTATGCTAAATTTGAGAATTTGTTGAAATTGTGTTTATTCAATGAGAAAACCACAAAACGTAATTGGCACACCTCTGTAGCGACTTTTCTGTGTAACTGGGGGGCTCACAATAGAGTTGCAAGCAGTTGTGTAAAACAGTCTGACAGTAATATCTTTTTAATGTTGGCTGTCTTCATTTTTGATCTTTCTGTTCCTTTTTTGTTGCTTGAGGACATCTCTAGGGATTTTCCTGTCTCGAGACCGGAATAAATAACATGTATTGTTCAGAGTCTGTGCTCACATAACTTAAAAATCAGAGGTGCTGTCTTCTGTAGGAAAGCCGACTTTAAAATAGCTGTCAGCAATAATTTTAATCATTTTGCTTTGTGTATTTGCCACAGGACGAATCATTAGAGATTCTTTCTTAGAGAGAGCAGGCCAAGTAAATACATAGAATTAATCTTTTTCAGCTTTCTTCCATTGTCCTACAGTTAACAGAAAAGTGCCGGTGTGGTCAAAGTTGGCTGTATTTAATTAATCACCACATGTGTGTCCAATCTAATGAGAGCTTCAGAAAGGTCAGATTTTCATGCTCTGACACAGCAGCGCTGACATTTTCAAATTGCATTTGCAGGTAAAAGTAGACCACCAAGTACAGGTCTTTCATATTCAGACATTATGCAGGGGAACATAGTGCATCAATAACATTACAGCCGATGTTGTGACTTTTGAGGCATTTTTCTTGAGGCAAAGTGGCATGACTAATATCTTCTAAATAAACTATAAGTAGCCAAACTAAAGCATACACATGTTTCTCTAAGACTGACATTAATAATTCAAGACATATATTTAGCATGTTGCCTTGACTGATTTTTGTTTTTGGTGGCCTTTACTCCTCCTCTGGGCCTTAACAGTGGAACAACAGAGACACGGTGAATGGATCACCTGATGCTGGCATCAATCATTCCAATGAAATGTTAGAGATGTCATTTTTTAATTCAGGCACGACTGTGGTCTGCAGCACAAACTTCTGTTACCCACAGTCATAATCCAGAATGTAAATGTGAATTTACCTGAACAGGTCGGCCTAAAAATGCATTACAAGAAGTATTCAAAGCCTCAGTATTCAAGGCATGCAAATAACATCCATCATTTTAATACCACTTGTATTTCCAACTGTTTGACCATGGAGCACAGATGCAGAAAGAATTGACTAGGAAGCTTTTGGTAGATTAAGTAGATACTAAGAAAATGTAATAAATCAAACCATTTAAAACTGGGGTACCTAACTTTCAAACCTCATAAAATCCATTAAACAAGTTATTAGCACTCAAAACGGTCTGTTTTTTGGCTCAGTTGGTAGAGCATTATCCTTTGAGTCTGAAGGTTGTGGGTTTGAGCCCACCATGAGACCTTCTCTACCAACTCCCACTGATGTCTGCTGCCATTGTGTCCTTGGGCAAGACACCCCACTTTGCTTCAATCATGGTGGTCAGTCCCCTGTGTGAGGGGCTTGCCCCCCCCCCATAAATGGATTAAGAAGATGGATGAAACTGCCCTTTTTTTCCACATAAATGCATTTTTTCTTTAGATCAACTTTTTCTGACAGAAAAGTGATAAAGTGAGAACCACCCTCACTAGTATTCAGATTTACTTTAGCTAAAGAGAATTATTATTGAAAAGGTGTTCCAAAACACCTGCTTCTTACGATAGATAAGATGATGATTTTATTTATTTATTTGTTCATGCCACCGCGCTGCTTTGCCTCAAATGTCACTCATGTTTAAAATATGCACAATACTCAATTATGGATGGTTTTATGGCTTAAAAAAACATTTTCATCACAGATATGACTTAGCCAAGTGAGGGGACATGCTTGTTTATAATGTAAAAAGAAAATGTTATGATAAACTGTATATTCAGGCATAACAAAATTTAGATCAACAACAACTCAAACAAAAAGCGGCTCGCCACCAGGACAGTTGATAGATGCACCAAAAACTAAGCATTTTAACTATTAACATTAATTGGACAAAATTTACACAAAGAAGCTGTAATACCTTGGCTAAATTGCTGAGTGCCAGATATTGCGCAGACAGCTGAGACACACGATGGACAAACCCTTTACCCGCGGCCTGGCCCTCCCAGAGACGATGAGCACTCTCTCTCAGCCGAGCCAGCTCCGCCTCGCGACCACACATCTCCTGCAGCACGCACTGAGCCGGCGGGAAACACATAAAGAAGAGGACAATGCAGACATAAGGAGATAGGATTCAGCGGAGACAAGAGACTGATTAAAAGAGACGGAAATAGTTATGGGAATGCATCATGTACAATGGTGTCATGGGAAATAAAGAGGAAGTAATATTGTGAAGGTCAGAGGAGGTAATGGATGGAGATGCAGCCGTTGTAATAGTAATAAGTAGTAATATTGTTAACATAAATACTGTATTAAAGCTGGAGTCCCCAACTTCGAAACCAGAAAATGTAATACAATATGGTCTTTCTGTTGAGCCACACAAAATGTAATAAACGTTTTATTTAATTGCATGTAGTTTCTAACAATTCAGGTGAAATCTACAATTAAAAAAACATATTATCTTTAATCTGTGGTATACTCCTTGTGAGCAAAATGACCCATATTTCAAAATTGAACATTGCATAAACACGTTTTTACAGCAGCTGTGATTACAAAAAAAAAACAAATGATCCCCCAAAATAAAAAAAGGGAAATTACAGTATAAAGAGGTGGATAATGGTTTTGCCAGGTTCAACACACTACTACACACGTCTTTTTGTAGGCTAATTTAGGTAATGAGGGAGACATGTGATTGCTTTTAGCCCAGACGAAAGACAATAAGTGCTACAGCGGGTGACACAGTAAATACAAAAATAGCAACAATGATCAGCACTGGACTTTGAGATGGCTTGATATATTTTTCCTTTTGTCTGTTTTATCTTTTCAATGCCCATCAGTCCTCTTTTTGTCTCCCTCAGACACAAGCTGTTATCACATCCTGAAAAGGGCCTTTTTAGCAACGCAGCGCTTCAGCTGTGACAGACAGAGAATTAATTAGATTTCTGGACTTTCCCACTATTGTGTCAAGACGCTGCTCCATTTTGATCTGGTGGTGCTCGACAAATGTAATTCGGTCCTCCCCTTTTATCCTTATTTGAGATTGTACTTAGGGAGGGATATCTGATGAAGAGCTTCAGATACAGGGCTTGCTTGAGTCGGGAAAAGGATACTGTCAAAAGACTTTGGTAAGAAGCAACTAAATACATCTATGCAGCAAATACTGAGTGTGTGCATTTTTCATAATGAGACAATAATCTAATATGACTATTGTGTGCATTTATACCTTAGCTTTACCATTTAGCATATAATATTAGCATTGCCTTTATTTCTATTATTGACCTTTTTATTACTGCCATTTGTCAAAGTTTATTGCAATACCATAATTCTGATTCTGATTAAACTAAAATGGTCTGGATTGAAATAGAGTATAAAAATGAATCCATTCATAAATATTATACAGCTGGCGCCTGTTATGCCTGGTGTTCTGCTCTCCCCTGGATTTACGAATATGCCGAAACAAAGGGTTCTTCTGGACGGGGCTCATATCAGTTATAAAGACAGAGGCTCAAAGATGGAAGCCCCCTCACTTATTGTCTCACCAGCAATGGGCCAAGACAATTGTTTACATTACCTATTTCAAGCTCTCCACGGCGCTCAGAAGACAATGAGGAGACAATACGGTTTCTGTGAATTTTATTTCTGTTTTGAAACAATTTCAACTTGTCCCTTTCTTTTCCTGTGCATTGTTCCTATCTGTTTTGGTTTTTGAAAGTTTATAAAAAGTAGTTTCAATAAAAATATGTATTATACAGTCAACACTACCTGCAGTTTGCGGAGCTCCTCTCTCTTGGCGGTCAGGTCGTGGAGGCGGGTGCTGCTCTCTTGAACTTTGAGCTCAGTGTTGCTCAGCCAGTCGTGCAGCGGCTCCGCACTGGCCTCAAACTCACCCATTTGAGCCTGAAGGTTCTAGAGATACAATAATAAAGAAATACAATACAATAATCAGCAAGCCAACATTTGTTCATCAGTGGTTATTGAAGCTAGAGTTCTCAAAAGTAGCGAACATCAGAGATTAATTGAGGCAAACGTTGACAGTTCAACATTGGTTAACAAAATGTCTATAACAAGTCCAAAAAAAATCTTTATAAATAATCAAGTGGACAGAACCAAATTTTAATTTGTGAAACAGACCAGAGCAAATACTAAAATACATTAACTCAGAATCCAAAGATTCTATATCCCCAGCATGAAGTGTTGGCTGATTTTGAAACAATAGAGATCAGCAGAAAAGCTAATAAGACTTTATGATCGATGCTTTCAGCTGCTTACCTACTATTATTTAAGACTTAAGGAAGAATTCTTATGCAAAATCAACTTTTTTGAGATTTTAACCCCTGCTCCCTCATCAAAAACAGACCCAATCCATCTGCGCTAATTCTGGCAAAAACATGTAACTCCGTCCCTTCTGTCTCTATAAAATCATGGCGATGAGAGGTTTGCTGTGATTTTTCAGATCCTCCCTCTGGTGGTTGCATAAGGAGTTACAGGCGGAAAGCAATCTTTACTCTTCATCTTTGTTTCACCATATATTTTCTACTGACGATATTATTTCACATTCTAACACTAATTTTTGAAATTTCCAAAAGTGATACATAATATTTCTTCTTTAACAGGAATTGATATTGCAATAGTCAAATCTTTCAGTGTGTTTTTGTCATACCTCAAGTAAAGCAAATGCAGCATTCTCTAAGCAGCTTGATGAAATAACATAATGTGACATGTGTGTGCTAAATTAGTAACCAGTGAACCAACCTTGAGAGCATCTTCCCTCATTTGTAAGTTATTCATCAGGCTCTTCCAGTCGTCCCGCGTGCTCTCCACCTTGGCCTTGAGCCCCTCCACTCTGTCTTTGGACACCACCGCCATGAGCAGCTCTCCACTAGCCCCCACGGTGCTCAGCCTGGCCTGACCATGCTCCCTGTCACTCAGGAACTCCTGTGGGGAAACAGGACAAAGGGACCCGTCATAGAGCAGCCAGAGCAGTCACAAAAGCACTGTAAAGGAGGCGACAGGGGCCAAGAAATAGACTTGACAAGAAACACTGACAGTAGAAGACTTTTTTTAAACAACAAACAAATAGTGATGAACAGTAGAACAGCAATAGGAAAACAATACATATTTACTGCTTTGCTTGTTGCTATTAATATATTTACTTAGAAATAGTTCTAAGTAACATAAACTAAATCATATGTACATTTAGTGTATACAATACACATGCATTGATATATACATACATAAGCAATATTTGTTTCAAATACTTAAACAAAAATAAATAACTTATGACATACTTTATTAAGTATGAATATATTATATTATATTATATAAGCCAATCACAGTGAAAGGTGTGACAAAACTCTACCTGTCCTCTAAGGTTTATCTCCTCTTAAGCCCCTCTCACTATTACTGCCACATTATCGAATTGTAATTTAGGTGTCCACAATTGTTTAGTTTTTTCTGGCAATAATATGTCCTTTGAAAACCCCTTCAAATTGATAGCAGATCAGGTTTGAGTAGCCCTGATTTCATTTAAAAATGAAATAGTTAAAGTTCTTAGAAAATCTGCCATTAAAAAGGACTTTTTCATTCAATACGTAGCAGCGGTGAAGTGGTTATTCACAAGTGCTCCTTTTTCATCTCTATAAACTGTGTGAAAGCTGGCTGCAAGAGAGACACAAACACGACCCTGAGGGCAGACAGGACAGGTCAGTTTGCCTGGAACATGTTGTCTTTTTACATTTCTCGCTTCTGGCTGCCCACAGAAACATAGTACATCCACACGCGGCCCACGCCCACCGCCCCCTCTCTCTAGCACCCCCCACCCCTCCCTAAGTCAAACCGATGACAGTAACGCAGCAGGGACCACTCCACCATCTGTGCACTCAGCAACATCACTTAGACACGCCGCATTCACCGCACACACACTTTGTCTAGGACCGATCTATAAGTAAATAAACCAACGTGCATCCTCCGCATTCCTCATCATTCTTTTGTCTCTTTATGCTCTCTGTGTGTTCTCCTTCACTGATCCTTTTTCACACTCCCGCTGCTAGTGTAACTGTATACCCCCAATTAAGCTCGCCGCATTGGTTAACCTCGGCCCCTCCCACTACTCCGGCCCTCCTGGAGGTCAGCCATGTGGAAACATTGTTCCACATTCTTCACCAAGTCAATAATAAATAAAACATGGCTGCCTCCGTATTTCTGAACCACTTCACTGCTGTAGGATTTATGACAGTCGCTTTTAGTCAAACTTTATGGGACAATGAGAAAGAACTTGGCTGTCTGCAGAAATGTCGCCTTTTTGACATGGATTATATTTAAAAAACGTGTTTCTTTCTCAATGGCTGACTTTGAGTGACATTCCTATCGGAATACACAAACAGGCGTGCACTTACTTTTCAGGAGGGGCGCCATATAGAAACAAATGTTGTGGTACAATCACATTTCAGTTATAAAAAAAGATTACTTACTTACTGTAACATTTGTTTCATACTTTAGTTGAGACTTACTTAAATCTATCTGTTAAGGGGAAATATTTTAATTTGGTAGTCCCTTGTCATCCTGAACTTTCTTGTCTTGGTAAATCTTTTGGCTTTGTATATTTGTACACTTTAATGCAACAAACACTGCTCGATTGTCTCCCGCTCTAGCTTCGCTCTGATCAGCAGGTGCTGATTGGTCAAAATGCGGCCTCGCCCCTCTGTATGGCAAGAGAGCCACATACACGTATTTGGCGCAACGCATTATGGGAGCTCGTCGCAGAACCGGGAGGACCAGACGATTCCCAAATATGAGCGAGTTCAGATAATCTTTCAGTCCCCATGGCTGTCCCACGCGCCACTGAGTACAAGCCATTGAATTGAATAGGGCTCCATCTTGGATTGCCGGGGCTTGGTCAATGGTCACAGATGCATGGACACCATACTGTCTTGTATACTAACTGGACTATAGAAGTAGTGCTATAATTAATAATTGTCTTGATGATCGATTAGTTGGTCGATTATTCTTTCAATTAATCGATTAGTTGTTTGGATCACAAAAAGTGGGTGAATATGGGAATATTTTATATACATTTGACCAAAACAAAGGTCAAGTGACGCCAATGGGCTTGTTAGACATTGGTTGTTTGACTCAAAAACTTTGTAAACACATTTTTATCTAATCAGTTATAAAACCTCTTCTCAGCATGTAAAGCTCCATGGCAAAAAATGATTAATGGTGAACAAAATTAGTCAACAACCCTTTCAATAATAGATTAGCTGCGCTTAATCAGCTAAATTGTTACAGCCCAATTTAGAAGTCAAATACATTTCTCTGTAATCTCTCCACTTAGCCGTATGTCTCATTCTTTGGTGCTCGTAACTAGTTGATGGTTGAGTGGTCAGGTGTTTAAAGGCGGTGATTAACTGTCTAGTGCTGAGGACGTCCACCTTAACGGACACCTGATTCTTCGCCAGGGCCCCGGGGTGCACTAAAGAGGTTGCCTGCCAGACTGCTACACCTGCCAGCTTCTCACCAAAAAACACTTCTTAGACAGAGACACACAATGCTTTTATGCAGAAGATCCCTTCTGCTGAGTGTTCTCTTATCCTGTTTGGCCAAATGCCCTTTTTCAGCTTATGCAGCCTGGGGCAGACCTACCACGCTATCATGCCCGCCGGAGGACACTCAACAGTGGGCATGTCAATACGGACTACCCCTTGAGCTATTGATGCTAAGCAGATTGATTTTACATCTATTAAGACGGTGTACTCTGAGCTATTTTCTTTATACTTGCAATCTGTTTAAGTCTGACAAAATTGCAATTTTGTATGTTTCTCATCATTGTACATTTCAAAGATACAAAATACAAGTAAAGCAACACAATATTAAAGCTGGTAGACCTCACTTTTTTTTCCTCAATAATACATTTTGATTTCTTAAGTCTTTTCAATGTAAAATTTTCATTTCTTAAAAGATTTCACCCTGTGAGTCACTATTTGATGATTTGGGTTGAGATTATGGCTGAGTGAGGGTGGTCCTCTCTTTTTCACTTTTCTGTCTGAAAATGCTGATCCAAAAATGTGATAGAGGCCAAAATGCATGCCTGTGAAAACCAGTGAAACAACCTGTTTTGAGAGCCAGGAAGTAGCTAGATTACAGGTAATTATCATGAGCAGCATTGAGGAGCCCTGGCATGTTATGCCTAATTTTTAGGCTAGTTTTCTCAAGCAGATAGTTAATAGTTAAATATGTTCTTTTTATCATTGACCACAGTCTACAATTGTGAGGTACCTGAAGTTATGTTTTGAGTCACTCTAAAGATAAAGATAAATCTACCAAAAAATAATATCCAAACTAAATGTTTATGTGTTCGGGTCACAATATGTTCATAATGTTCAAAAGAAGTAACACAAAATTGCAAATTGCTAAAAAAAGTTGCTAAAAACACAATAAGCTTAGATTCGATTACGTATTTCTATTGTTGTCATTTAAAAAGTTAGTTTCCCCCAAGCAAGTAATAGTAAATTTGACATTAGGAAAAGGCATAAAAGCACCTCAACAACTAGTAATAACTAGTAATTCATAATAGTGCATTGCGATACATAGTGTGATACATGTAATAGAAACAGTACTTACTTGTATTCTCTGTAAGGCGGTGGAAGCCTCTGCAACACTTTGTGGCACATCAAAACATTTGGCGGTGCTGATCTTGGCATTGACCAACCACTGCTGAAAGTCTCGCAGCGCTGCCCTGAACCTCTGCTCCAGTAAACGCTCCTTGTTCTGACATTCCCTGGATGCGCGCAGACTCAAGCTGTTGAAGAGGAAACAAGAGCAGCCATTAAGAGCGACAGGGCCACGTGAACATGCCACATTGTCTCTCTGTCTGTCTGTCGTATGTGCTACTGAGCAGATAGAAACGGGGGCATTGGGAACTGGGCAGGTGGAGCGATGGCAAAGTGGGTGAAGTGGAAGAATCTGTTGGGGCAAAATGGTGGGGGATGGGGTGGAGTGGGGTGCAGCGTGTGATGGGGGTTGAGATGCGGCATATGAGTAAAGCGAGAGAGTTCACGAGGGCAACGAGACACAACCTGACGTGACAGGAGCCAGAAGACACACGCACATGATATATATTCTCCCATTTTATACTTATTTCAGTCTTCCTGAAAATGTGAGAAAGGTTCTTCTCTGACAATGTTGAAATCCAGGTTACAAATAGTTCTGTTTAGCTTTGCACACAACTGAGGGATTTAGTATTCACTCTTTAAATGTACTGTGATTATTTATGTTTTGTTAAGCACTTTGAGTTGCCTTGTGTATGAACTGTGCTATACAAATAAACTTGCCTTATTCAGACAAAGTTAAAAACAAAAACAGAAATAGGGGAGCGGTGGTGATGGGGAGGTGGTAGCACAGTTATTAAAGTAAATAGGGATATCTGACAGGATAACCAGACGCTTAACAGTATGTCAGTTATGAACACACCAAAGGCATCATAAGGTTGAGTACCTTTAGTAAGTAAGTAGTAAGCAATGTTTATTTATATAGCGCATTTTACAGACCAAGGTCACCCAAAGCGCTTTACAATGTTCAGAGTTCAGATATTGTGTGATGACAGAAGCGAGTCACCGAACACACTGGCGCATCAGCCCCCAATCAACACCATCCATTCACTCTCTCATTTACATTCATACCTATTGTGCATGTTTTTAGTGGTAGGGGAAACCGGAGCACCCGGAGGAAACCTACGCAGACACGGGAAGAATATGCAAACTCCACTCAGAAAGGCCCTGTTCCGACTGGTATTCGAACCCAGGACCTTCTTGCTGAGAAGCAAGAGTGCTATCCACTCAGCCACCGTGCCGCCACCTTTAATCTTAGAGAGAATGTCAGTCTCCATAAGATAAATGTTCTAGACTATGTTGGTCCATTGCTGCCCATTTGCCTGTTGATAGATGACACGCAGCTCTGCCATATTACATGTTAACAAGGTAATACATCTAACTTGTCTTTCAAAAGAAACAAAAACATTATAACTCAACAAGGCACTGTGGACCTTTTTGAATCATTACAATTTACTATGATATATTTTGTAGATATCAGTTGTTCAGACGGTTCCTTGACACAAGAGGTTATGCACCTACAGGCCTTGTTCAAACTCTTCTGTCAGCAATGGTCAGTTTTAGAACCAGTTTCCATACATTTCATCATTCCACCTCTCTGGAGGTGCAGACAATCATTTATTCATGCTGTGGCCAGTGAAGTTTATGAATCAGAAATTGTTTTACTAATTCCCTTGCAGATTGTAATTACATCAGCTGTTCAAAATTGATTTCCTTTTGCACCTTAGCATTTTACCAAATGTTTCTATTGTTTTGTCTTTTATTGTATAAGTAACTGTGTAGCACTGTGTACAAGTTTATTCTATTCAAATCTATTTTAATATTGTCCAACACTGCAACAATAACTATGTATTTTTTTTTTCTAAATGGACTGAAATAATCATCATCTTATGTCTTATCCATAATTCAGTGGTTGATCCAAACTAAACATAGGAGTGAGTCTGATCCAATGAAATATTTTAAAGCTGAAAAATATACAGCAAAAAGCATGAACAAAAAGCACAGACCGTGAAAGATTTCACAGGGGCTGGAAGGTTAAATGAGGGGTGAGGGGGCAGAATGTGATGGAAGGGGTGACAGTGAGACCACCAGCTGTTTAAGCAGTGTGCCGTCCAAAGAGGTATGAATAAAAACAACAGCGTCCTCTACCAGCTATCACCTGAACACACACACACCGCTCCACACAAAAGCCCAGAGTTTTAATGAAGCGATGAGGGCATGAAAGGGTAACACGGAAAGAAGAGCCCTGGGAATAAGAAAAGCACTTTTTTCTGCTGTGACAGTGAAAATCTGGCATGTGCTATGATCTGAGAGGGGAAGATTCAGACCCATTATTTCCCTAGGATGTGTCTCGTCGTCTTTTTAAAGTTGAGTGGGAAAATGGTAGAAAGATCATTCCTGATATATTTTACAGATATACAATAAAGTAATTTTATGTAATTTACCTTTATTTCAAACTTACAAAACAATAAATAGGAGACAAAAACAGCAATACAGTTTTGAAAGTTTGAAAAGGGACCAAGTAGACCAAGAAAACATTGAAATCAATTCTGCTATTGAATTAAAAGCATTGTGTAAGTACTCCCAATAAAATACTAATAAATACTAATATTATATCATACCATGGCAGTATAAATCTTAAATTACGTGTTCCCCACCTAAGCCATTACCAGTCACATATAACAAGTTACTTTCAGTACATACTCTTGTACATCCACATCTTGCTAAACATGCTAAATATGTATTGTTTTGTAAAATTATTTAATAACATAGTCCCTTTCCTCTGACATGTTTCTGCAAAAGTATGCTGGGTTTTTGAGAACGTACAGCTGTTTGAGACTCTGCATTGTGTATTTAAACCAAACCCTGCCAAACCCTGCCAAGGATTAGAGTGAAATTGGGTTCACATGAAAAACATTGTCAATATAATATTATGTAAAACTGCAAACTAGCAACCTATTATATAATATATAGTGATGGCAAGTGAGCATTTTTGCATGACAAAAATGAGCATTTAAAAACGTGCTGATGCTTTTCTTTTTCGGTAAACAAACAGCCGCTAAATGAATCCAGGCCCAGAAGAAGGCAATTAGTGTGTTGTAAGCATACCCAAGCATGCAGCACAAAAGCACAATTACAATTGTTCTAATTGCTTAAATCTAATAACTTTAATAACTGGAGCAATAGTGTGAGCTAAGGATGAAGGTTACACTCTCCTAGCAACTGGTAGCTGCTGTGACCTTTGACGTTTATCTGAAGAGGCATCAAAAACAACATAGTAAATCAGATGGCCGGTCCTATTTAGAGAAAGTGTTTCCCTTCCCCTGTTGTGATTTGGGTAATTACTGGCTGTGTTTATAAATGGATGGGGATGAGCACTCTGCAAGATCCAATTATGCAGAATACAATTTGAGAAATAGCAGCAATAGACATCACAGCAAGTGAGATGCTGAGGTTCTGTACTTTCAATCCACAATGACAACTTATACATTATGCAGTAACATAAATGCATATCAAAGAGATGAGAGAAAATGTCGTATGGTATAAACAGGATGCATGCATTCATAATAAAGGAAGTATGCTGGACTTCGTTTGCAACTCTTAACACAATCCCATATGTTGATAATTAGCTCACAGCTTGAAAAAACCCAAGTAATACATCCCAGAAAATGGACTGTCTAAATAACCACAAAAATACGTCACTTTGCATATAATAAGTCTCTATCACATATGTTGCCAGTTTCACCTTTATAGATTTGAAAAAGACATATGCCCAAACCACAACCCAGTGAGGCCACACACATACAAGGCACAACAACTGCAACTTATGAGAACTTCATCTAAAGCACCAGTAAACAAATAGTAATACATATTAAGTGTACTTATAATGGATCAAAATGATGTTTCATAATACTATACTGTACATATCCAATGCATATACAAAAACCAGCAAAAACCATGTCAGCTTGGACTCTCACCTGTTGTGCTGCTTGATGAGTGCAGTCACCCGGTCCGACTGGGAGCTGATGTCTTGGGAGTACCGCACCAGGTCATTCAGTTGGCTTTTCAACTTCTCTGCCATGGGCTCGGCGCTCTGCAAGCCCTCCAGTATCTCCTAAACATGGCACAGACCAAACACGACTTGTCAAGAAGATATATCTACGATCTGCTTGGATTTTTCTCCCATCTGCACCTCTCTCTCTCTCTCTCAGCTAACATACTCACAGCTAGTCTTGTACAATAGCATTTCTGTTCCTCTTCGCTGACAGGAAGGAGCAGTGGACTCTCCCGCTCACATTCTACTGCCGAACATGGTTGAAATCTGCCCCATGAAATATGAACACGCTCTGTTCCTGACGTCGCACCAATAACCAGCGCCCCCCCTCCTCCCTGCTGTCTTCCCGTTGCTCTGTTCGCTCCCTCTCCCCACCTCTACTCCAGCTCCGATACTTTCTCCCCACCTTCCTCCTCCCACCTTCCCTACCACTTGTTTTTTTCTCCGCCGGCTCTCCCAGTGGAATTCATCTGTCAGAGCTTACGCAGATGCGCGCCGGTTCAAAAGCGCGTAAACGGTGCGCAAATAAGGCTGGACATACCGAAAGGAGAGAGGGAGGAGGAGAGAGAAAAGCGGAGGAGGGGACAGGCTCCACCTCTATGTGCCTAAAGAGCAACAAATTGAGGCATAGCAGAGAAAGTCATGGTCCAAAGAAACCCAGGAGGGATAGATATGAGGGTGTGCACAGTGCTATGGTCCCAGCATTACAGGAACAGACAGTGAAAATATCCTGTCGAGGTACAAAACAGAGCGGCAGGGGGAAGAACGTCTAAGAAACATTCCCTACAGCCAAGAAAGACATCACTGTTGAGTCCAAACAAGCCAGTACTCATACAAGGGCATGAACAGTCACACTGTTTGGGGGCAAAAGATAAACAAAAAACAATAGGGCAGAGGGGGAAGCAGGGAAACAACAGAATGAAGAGAAAATGAGGAAACACTGATGGGATTGTGGCTGTCACTGCAGCGTTGGCCCACTAAAGCTGATTTAAAAACTAATCTGGTTTTGGGATTTACGAATAGAATGGATAATTACTGGCAAAAGAGGAAGGGAATGTATGTCTATGCAGTGTCAGGGGTTTATACTTTTCATTAGAAAATGTTAATGGTTGTTTTTCATAATTGCGGATTAACATGTAATTGTTTTTCATACAATAGTAAACTTCTACCGTTGTTTATCAGAGTTCTAAAACCATTTTTAAAAGTCATATATAAATACACTATTTTAATAATATTTTAAAGTATCTGCAAGAACTTTTCAGAGTAAACTGACCTTCGCGAGCTGCCAGCCCCCCACAGCCTCCTCGCCGCTGCTCCGCCCCTCGGCTCGGATCAGATCCTGGCTCCACCCCCTCAGCCGGAGGTCCAGCTCCTTCAGCTCCTGTTCCAGTCTGCTCATCAGAAGCTCGTATTCTTCTTCTGAAGCTGCAGCAGAAGCCAGAGCTCCTTCTAAACCGTCTCTGGCCCTCAGTGCAGCCCCCTCCCACTGCTCCAGAGCATGTGACAGCGCCCCCAGCTGGCGGTCCATGGCCTCGCAGCCTCCAGCCGCCGTGTGTTCTGCTGTGGCTGCAGCGCTGCGCCGCACGCGGCTCAGACGCTCGCGTCCCTCTAACAGACGACTCTCCACTTGCTCCTGAGAAACAGGGAGACAAAGTTGCTAGGGAAACCGTGTCTACGGAAACAGCCACTGATGTGTTTCTATTTTGAGTTACATAATAAACCTCTTTCTTGTTTGTTTCCCTCTAGTTTTCTTTTTATTATAAAACATGATTTTTATGCTTATTTATTTGACGTCAATCTTAAGACGTTTATCTCTTAGAAATCAATTTCTTGAATTATTTATTATTCAGAGTGGAAAGAACGCTTCAAAATCAGAAGGTGTGAAGAGCTAACACTGAGATGTGCCACAAACCGTAAAAAAGGATTAGAGCAGGAGGAAAAAAGCTCCAGCTCATATGCACAGGTTGTGTGCAAAGATGGGAACATCAACAAATTATAGCACATGCAAGCATACAGGTGGAAAGATATATTAAATAATATTCTTCTGCTAATATTCTTCACATCATGTTGTGTTATAGTCATTTACTCCTTGTGTGATATGGAAATATAAAAACTCAAATATTACAGTCTAAATATCACACATCCAGTTGCAGTTTCTATAGGAACAAAAAAATATTTTAATAGGTGACTTTCACACATGCTCTGGTAAATCTGTGAATTTCACTCGGAGAGGCGAGAATTCTTTCTCACGTTCCATTTGTATGAAGTTTTTTGTCTTAAAAAAAATCCAACCTCAAGATGCAACATGTACTGGGCTCATTGTTTTTTTAACGTAAATATAACATAATCATTTTGAGTCACGCCAATAGAGCGTTTGTGTTTGTATTTCCGCACCCTGACTTCAGAGAGCTTCTTCTTGATGGATGTGGAGTCTCCAGAAGTGTCGGACCAGTGCTGTAGCTCCTCTCCACTTGTCATCAGCCAGTCAGTCAGCTCTCGCACTGACTCCAGATACTGCTGGTGCTCCAGCACGATGCTCTGAGCAAGGTTCACCCTACCCTGAAACAATATTGTCATATATTCATTTTACAATGTTACATTTTGGTGGGTTCCAGAACTGTCCTTTACCTCAACCAGAGACGTAAGATCATCAAACTGTGCCTGTAATTTAGTGCGGGCCCCGTGATTGAAGCTTGCATCTCCGGTCTTTTTGAAGAGTTCCCGCGCTTTCTCTTCCAGGCTGGACAGTGCCACCTGGTGGTCTTCGAGATCCGAGAGCAGAGCCCTGAGTCTGTCCAGCTGAGCAGCCTTCTCTCTGGGTCCAGGCTGAGGGGTGAAAGGGGCGCTGACATCTCGCTCTAGAGCCTCCATCCAGCACCGTAGTTGCTTCGAACTGTCCAAATATCCACTCCACTGAGACACAGTCCACTCCAACCGGCTAAACACAATTGAATTGTGGTATTAAATCACAGTCAGTCAAACTATACATAAACTGTAGGTCTCAAAAGACTGTGTGTACTTCACAGCACATGTTCTACTGTGTTTCTGTAAAGTATTCACATCTTAGCTGAAACTGTAATTACTCCATGAAGCCCAAAGGAAAACAAAGAGGGCATCCAGATACACTATAATGTTCTGACACATCAATCACTGTTTTAAAATTAGACAGTGTTTTAATAATGCATTTAACCCTAATATGATTAATAGCATTTATTTGCATTAAATAGCATTTGTCACAACTAGGAGACATGCTGTCTGACGTCAGAATTATAACTAAATATACATTTACAGAACAAGAGGAGAACAATAATAGGCGTACCTGTGGCAGCTCATGGCTGTAACAAGCAGCGTGGCCCAAGCATCCTCCACTTCCTGAATCTGAGACTTGACCACTTCTTGCCCTGGAGCTCCATGACTGCGCAAAGCAAGCTCACCCTTTCCCATGGCCATGTTCAACTTCACCTCTCCCTCTCCCTTCAGCAGCAGGATATCCTGAGAAAACAAAGAAAGACAATCTTATTTTTTACTATAATGATAATGGAATAATAAAATGGAATGCAAATTATAAAGACTTTGCATTCCATTAAAAAGACTGTATATATTACATTCATATAAAGAAAATGTGACTCACCTGGACAGTCTCCAACCTCTGCTCCAGCTGATCTTTGGTGCCCATGGTGCTGTCCACTGTCCCCAGTCGTTCCTGGATCTCCTCTAGCCATGTCCACACCCCCTGGAGGGTCTCTGCAAAGGCCTGGCTCTCCAGGCAACATTTTAGTCTTTTTCTGGCTGCCTTCAGCAGAGACTGGTGTTCCATATGGAGCTGTCCAGTCACTCTGACCTCCCCCCCTGACCCCCTCCCAGCTTCTGACAGAGACTGGGCCTCTTGACACAGTTGCTCAATGGACTCCCTTGTAAAATCAAGAGAAAAACGTTGAAAAGTGAACACTGTTACACACTCTGGTGGAATACTAATGTCAAATCTACCGTCTCTCCAGTAGCTCATTGTGCACTCTCTCCACCTTCTCCAGTTCTTCTGCAGAGTCAGGGGCCCCCTGCGGCTCTCCATCCCCATGAGCAGGCTCACACTTCAGGCTGAGCTCCGTCTGCTTCAGCCAGGTTCTGATATGCATCACACTTTCATCAAAACTACAGAGATAAATAACATTGGCACTCAAATATGTTTTTCCATGGCCAAAGAAAACTGCATCAGGAGGACGTACTTTCTCAAGAGGTCAATAGCGTCCTCTAGATCTTGTTGGCATTGGGAACAGTTGTCTAAATAGTTTTTCCACTCTCTCTGGCAAGTAGCAAGATGGTCCTGGACTTGAGCAGCTGCAGTTTTTGAAAGGTGAAGCTGAAGCCTTTCAGCCTCCTCAGAAACTTGAAACAGACGTCTGTCTCCCTCTGCAGTTTGCTCCTCTGACACCTGAAGAAATATCAATGCTCACACGTGGCAAAATCCTCATGCAATTCCATTTACATATGGGATAATTTTCAGGGGTTTCACATTAGGGCAGAATTATTTATTATGCACAAGCTGATAGAATTAAACCAATAAACAGAAACAGTTTAACCCTATAGATGAATATACCACATGTTTGTCTGTTGTCTATGTGTTCAAAATCTGTGCAAGCCTGTATTTGTCTAGTATATCTGTCCCCATCAAATACAAAAATGATCCAACCGACACCCTACAATTATTACTATAACAATATACAATCCAACATGATTCACTTTACCATTAGCCTGTGCAACTTTGCATTCAGGACAGAAGCATCTCCAGATTGATTACACCACTCTTTTAATTCAGAGTTCTGGTCCGCAAGCCAGGAACGCAGATCTCTGACGAGCTCTGTGAAAAGAACAACAGACGTAGTTTTATAACAACAAAACGTAATGGGCAGTTCAATGACAGGCCATAAAGTACATATATAAATACTAAATTGCAGGGAAAGAAGCTGGGAGGTATGGGCAGGGCCATGTTGAGCAGTTGTGGGTTGTCATGGATACAACTCCCCTGGGGCAGATGTGACAAGAGCAGGTGTGTTGTGGAGCAAAGCAAGCGCACCTCCAACAGTGTGTGTCCAAAGAGAGAGGCGTGTAGTGGGCAGAGTGAACAAGTCAACAGTGACCATAAGACCATTTTGAACCTGGATCTTCACAATTTGTCTTGAATTTTAAAATCAATATAATTTCAGGAGGACACATAACAGTTTAACAAATGATCAAAAGTGTAATAACTCACTACACACACACTTAGTTGTAGTATTTAGGTATTTCAGTAGTCTTACTACTAGTACTACTAGTATTATTATTTTGGGTCGTAGTTGTAGAAGTAGTAGAGGTAGCAGTAGAAGTGGTAGTAGTAATAGTACTAGTGGTACAATTTTGATTACCACCACTACTACTACAACTACTATTACCACAGCAACTACAACTAGTACCAAATACTACCTGTAATAAAAGCGTATCAAAGCTTTTTTCCATGTTACAAAATACAATATTGCACTGAAAAAACAGATATGTGGATGTGAAAACTAATAGTTTTGTTTAATGATTTTATTACATATATGTTTGTGTGTGTTTTTTTAGAGTTAGATACTCCAGCTTTAAACACACAAACACACCAACTGACAAACTGACCATTAAAGTGAATCTGTAGCTCATCTTGAAGACTCCCTTTGGTCTTGGCGCAGCGCTGGGCCACTGTCTCTGTTCGTTTGGCGATGGATGTGAGGTCAGAAGAGAGACGGGACAGTTCCTCTGAGGGATGAGACCTGCTCAGTGTACTCAGGGCCTCGCGAGCAGAGTCCATATCTGCCCTCTGCTGCTGCAACACACTCTGCAAATCCTACGAGCAGCGACAATTTACATTTACTGAATGTACTGTATTTAAAGATGCGTTTAGCTTACAGCATTGCATTCTACCTTCACTGTTCCCATGTCTTCCAGGGAAGTAGCGTCAGCCAGGTTGGATAAAGAGCCCTCAACAGCTTCAAGCCGCTCAGTCATTTGGGACATGAGGTCCTCGAGTCTCTGTTTCTGGAAACTAAAGTAGGTCAGAGTGTGTTTGGCCTGGTTGTACACCTCCTGAACATGGGCCATTTTTTTTCTCAGGTCAGATTCTAGAACCTAGTAAAGAAAAGAAAAAAAAGCATTATGATCATTGCAAAATATTAAGCATATTTTTCTTTACACTTGTAGGCTACAGTAGTGGTTCTTAAGGTGGGTCGCGGGATCATATTTAGTAGGTCACATCACAGGCCTTTTAAAAGATCTACCTGAATATAAGTAAAATAATCTAGAAATAAGTAGGGTTTTTTTTTTCAAATTGCCTTTGATTTAGGTTTTTTTTTTAAACGATGGCTTATTTCTTTTTTATCTGTTTTTGTTGGGTTGGATTTGTTTAACATTATTCTGTGAAAATATATAGTATTTAAAATTATATCCTCACACTGAACCGATCCAATCCACTTTATTTATACATCACAAGTTGCGCAAGTGCTGCACAGAGATGAATATAATTTAAGTATGTCATGTTCTCTCTCTCTCTCTATCTATAGAAATATATATAAAAACAATAAATTAATTAAAACACAGAGGACCACACAATTCACACAGTGTAAAAAGCCAGAGAATAAAAGTGGGTCTTAAAACGGTTGTCACCAATGTGCTACAATATTGATTTGTCTCTCAAGTGTAAGCCTGATGTAATACTACAATCAACTTTGAAAGTATATTTTCATTCACCAGAATAGAAAATAGTTTGACCATGTTTGCCTGGAACATGGTCTGGAGCTCCTTTCACATTCCTTCCTCTGTGTGTCACTCACCTGCATTTGTAATGGGGTTTCCTGCAGCTTGGCCCTCTCCTTCAGCTCTGTCACTTGCTCTTGCAGCGAGTCCAGGCTCTGCTCTCGTTTCTCTACCTCCGCCTGAGCTCAAACATCAGAACATTTCAGTCAAACCTCTCTCTATGTGAACTTTTAATGAACAGCACCACCACATGACACTCAACCACCACCATATTACTGACTTGAAAAGCTTTAAGATGCATTTCCGTCTTCTCTTTGTCGCTCAGATTTGTGACACAGTCGGTGAGATCAGTGACGGAAGAGGCAGCCCATTCAGTGATGTCCTGCTCCATCGCTTTGAGGTCGTTCCAAAGGGAAACACAGTATCCTAGTCTTTCAGTGTTGGTTTGAATGCGCTCCGAGACCTACAAGTAAAAACAGAAGTCTGTACCACTGGGAAAACATCTTTGAATGCATCGAATGAGTAGTAATTAAAGTTTTTTGTTTTTTTTAATTGTAGTTTTGAGCAATTTGGCATCTGTAGTCCCCCAGTGATTCTCCCAAACACACTCTCATTCACCCTTAACTATTGGTAATGTTGTTACAGGTATGGGAAACCGGAGCACCTGGAGGAAACCTACGGAGACAAGGACACAACATGCTAACTCCTCACAGAAAGGCCCTGTCAGGAGGTGGTATCAAACACAGGACCTTCTTGCTGTGTAACACAAGTGCTAACCAATGCGCCATTGGGACACCTATCCTTTACATAAAGAAAAAGATAAATACATGACAAGCCACACCATAAGAGACATAAATATTGATGAATGAAACTAATCAAACAAAAATAGTCGTACATTTTGTATTATTATTTGACTATATTGATTGCAATAAATAAATACAGAAATTGCAACCACATCAGATGAATTTTGAGAATTCCTGAGATGTGGTGGGTTTTCAAGTTTGACTTCTTCCCACTCCATGTTGGGCTTCGACAGGGGTGAACAAAGGAAAAATTATGTATAATAATAAAAGTACATGTCCAAGTACAACTGAAGTACAGATGATGGGTGAACAAACTTCCTTTGTTTTTGCCTATACGACTGAGAGCTTACACAAACTTAATTATATCTATGTTTTTATTACTGTAAATTACAATAAAACAGTGCTATTTATAAGCTTGAAATAAATACAAAAAATAAGAAAAACATTACAACCCAGGGTGGGAGACAACATAGGCTTTTAACCTATAAGTTGGAATGGTAATATACAGTATCTCTTCATTAACTGGAAATAGCGGGAAGCAAACAGATATGAGGGGGATGCAGGTACTACTGACATAACAGCTTTTCTCTCTCATTTCTCTTGGAGGCTGTAAAATGCAGCCAGACCATTTTATTAATGGTTTATTCCAATATATTATCTAAATATATTACTATAACACACGATGACTGTCAATATAAGTTACTGACATGATACAATAGCATGATAACTTCAGTGAAAATCAAAGGTTATATTTCAGTCGATGTAAAAGGCAGGTATAGATCCACTGCCCATTTCTTTTAAGAACCAAGTATCTCACTGAGAGATTGTGTTATAATTGGTCTGACAGAATTGAGAAGTGTGAAAAACATGGAATGGTAAACAACATGTCTAGACGTGTTTACGTTTCTGCCTCATTTGTGACAGCTAAGGGGCAAGGCACATCAGACAACAGGAGAAAATTGAGTGACAATGAAAAATGTGGAGTTCAATGGGCCTGACTTAATAATTGGGTTTGGACCAAAAACAACCCCAAAATCAAATTTCCGCCAGAAAAATAAGCTTTGAAGAGTTAATGGGGCACTACATACGTCATTACAACAATAGGAAAATCCATAGACAGGAGGAAGCAACTGAATACACACAGTATTAATCTGTCAAAATCAACTAACCTCGAGCCACTGGTCTCTTAAAGCCTCCATCTCTCTTTGTATAGAGCTTGTGTCTGGATTTGGGAGTTTCTCGAGCTCTCTCTGTAGATCCTCTACTATACTGATGAGCTGATCCATTTCTTCTTGTTTTTCTTTAAGGTTTTCCTGGGTTGCTTCATGCTAAAGGTAAGACAGAGCATAAAATGTAAAAGAAAGCACAATACTTAACTGCATAAGTATATTTACAAACAGAGAGGCAATTTGCAAAACTACTGCTATGTTCTGTTTGAGGTGAATAATAGAGGTCCTTTGAAAGAGGAAATTGAAAAGCCAGGCAAACAATAATGTAAAACATGATTATTTGTAGACCGTTTCTCATTACAATATATGACTCCTGACCCGTGAGTAAATCCACTTGGCCTCTTGTGCATTGTGGTTGTGGTCTGGCAGATTGTGTGCAACAGTTTGTGCACTTTCCACAGCAGTGCTCAGGGCTGACTTCAAATGGTGAAACTGCCGAAGAAGATCTACCAAAATTCCACTTTGTTTCTGGCTACATAAGAATACAAGACAGCATCATCAGATACAGATGGAAAGCCAAGTCATGTCTGCTCCATAAATTATTCTTACCCAGTTGAAATGGCAGTTCTCACGCTGTCCCAGGCTGACTCTACCAGAGCCACCTCCCTCAGAGCCTCCCCAGACAGCTCTGTGTCTCTCTGGGCCAGTTGGCTGCCTTTCTCCTGAAGCCACTGTCGGGAATGCTGCAGGGACTGGAGCTCATCCTCCAGCTGGATGAAGTAGCGCAGCCTGAGAGAAGGGACACAGACAAAACAATGGGGATTAACTCCACCTTTTCAGGATATTTTTTCAATTTTCTTAGTTCAACATGAATCTTCCAGCATTTTGGCAAGCTCCAGGTATCTGCATTACTCATGTTTACAAAGCTAATCAGTTGGGCTGTTCCTCCTATAACCAACAGCTAATGGTTTTGACTTTCTTGCAGTGAAGTAATTTGAAAATGAATTTGTTGACTGACTTCCCATCTATTCAGCCAGGATTAATAATTTCACAGTTACTCAAATCCTGTTCTATACAGATACTGTTACAGTGACATTTGTCAAAATACCTGCTAATTTAAAGCTGGGATTCTTAACTTTCATGTAATACAATCCATGTGACTGGGAAACAGTTTGGTTCTATCACTAGTTTTCACATACATCTACGTTTGCTCTGTCACATCTTTAAAACAGATTTTTCAGACACAATAGTGATAAAGAGAGGACTACCTTCATAAAGCTCTCAGCCCAAAGTGTCAAATATTGACTCACAGGGCTCTTTCTAACAAGTACGCAAAAGATACATTTCACAACAGTTCACAACAACTCTTTCTGTTGGAACAAACAACATTCATGATATGAGTGTACTGTAGGATTGGAAGTAGGATTGGAAGTCAACACAAAGGCAGATGTCGCTACTTATTGCTAGCAGTAATCTTGTAGCTTGATCTACTAATATACATGGCTATACACTTAAATAAATTACTAAAAGAAATATACCTGTTCTGAAATGCCTGCACAGTGTTTTCTCTGGCGTCCTCTCGTCTCAGTGCCTCTTCCATTTTCTTCAGAGTGCTCAGCACCTCCTCCCTCTTGTCCCTGTAGGAGCTCCAGAGGGCACCGAGAGCATCTGCTTCACTTTGTCGCCAGCCCACACCTCTCTGCACCTCCTCCAGAGCCATGGTCAAGGCCACCGTCTGACCTCGGCAAGACGTCCTCCCCTGCGGGTGCCCAGGGTTCTTCGGACCACGCCACTCTGCCCCGGACAAGTGAAGGTGTATCCTGCTCAACTGACCGTCTAATCCGACCGCATCTCCCTCCAGTCGCGCCACGTCTTTCGCCACTTCCCCTATCCCATGATGCAGTTCTTCAGCTTTGCAGCGGTCCCAGCTTCCACGACCTTCTACGGCCTCGTGGATCTGGCGCACCACTGTAACTGCCGCTGCGTGTTTCTCCAGGAAGACCTTCAGCTCGGCCAGGCACTCGCCGTGGGAGGTCAAGAGTCTCTGGCACTCGTGCAGGGGTTGTAGGCTGTCCTCTTTCCAGTTCTGGATCTGCTGCTGGGCCTCGGGGATGGAGCCGAGCAGCAGAGATGACACTTTCTCTTCTAAAATTTCTTTTAGCGACTGCAACTGCTCCAACTGTGTCTCATAATCCTAGATTTAAAAAAAAGATGTAAGGGTACCGGTATGAAGGAGTTGCCAAAAGTAACTGAGAAGTTTTGTTTCTTTTTGCACAGATTTAGCAGGACACTGTAGATATAGATGGATCCTTAATAATAATATAATAATAATAATAATAATAATAATGATAATAATATAATAATGAATTGTACTTGGACCTAATTTGTATGATTCCACTCGGATCCTGATCTGGTTCGGTATATGCCTAAGACTATTGACATTTGTAAGCAAATGCTCACACAGACATATTAAGAGATTGAGTGATCACATCGTGTTATGCAGCAGACGCGTATTATGCTTATCCACGAGATGCATACCGCCAATCTACTTCGAGAGACCCCCCCAGTAGTGCGCACAGATGCAAAGACACACCCGGCTATGGTTCACTCAGGTTTTCAGGCTCGGGTTCAGTCGGGTTCGGGCAGACTCCTTTCGGGTAGAGGGCAGGCCGGCGAACATAGTTAGGACTGATTACAGCTCTACTTTACACTCTGTGGTGACGGAAGCAAGGCCGCCTTCAGAACCTCTGACCACCCCCATAATTCACTCACAGATTCATACGGCTGCATGTTTTGAAGGGCCCAAACTTTGGCACCAGGCTTGGGATCAAATTGGACCATCGGATTTAACAGTGAATTGGTGTTATTTTTATAGCAAATCCAAGCCTGTCTTAAACGACAATACTTGTTATATATGTTAGAAGATTAAACTGAAAGGTTGTTTTGTTTGGTTTTTGCCACACACAGAATAACCATCTGTTGCCCTTCCCTTGGTCTATGGTTTAACGTGCTTTGACAGTCCTGTTCTAGATCATGATTAATACAAGAAAAAGGACGGATTTTTTTTGTTTAGCAACCACTTCTGAACAAGGGTTGTACAGGTGTCAAGACCAATCCATATACAAATGACCACTTCAAATCTTACACGATATTGCACTCTCTTGAATTGAAGACGTATTATCACTGGCACAAAATCAATATGAATTTGTTTGTGTGCTGACATTTGAATGTGTTGAAAGCCTTTGATTGAGTGCTAACCTTGACTTTATTAAATGAAGTCTGCAGATTTCCAATATCCACAAGACTTGAACCTCTCAACTCCGACAGGAAATGTTCACTGCTTTGGGTCACACTCAGCAAAGCTTCATCAAAATCCTTGAGTTTCAACAGTTGTACTTTGAGTAACTGTAACCTATAAGGACATGAAAAACAAAACAAATGATTATGAACAGTAATACTGATCAGGGCACTGACATTTAACCATCTCTTTAAAAACATACCTTTGGCTGATTGTATTTTTTAAAGAAAAGCTCCTTTGCTGTAGTCCTGTTAAGTATTCATTAAGTTCTCTTGTGCGATGATCAGGTGCAGTGGGATATAGACAAATGCCAAGATTTAAAAGGCCAAAGAGAAGAGCCTCATAAGATGGAGTTTCCTGCTGCATTTCCTGTGAACAATTATGTGTGCAAGGGTAAGAAGAATATGTGCCAAAACATAAGGTGTAAGTTGTATTAGTAGCAGCCAAGTTTCTTTCTTTATTTTCTTAACACTAGGAGCGCCCCTAGCGGTCAACTGACCGTCACTCACTTTAATATGCTAATTAGTGTATTCAACACAAAATGCCAGAAGTTGAAATTTTATGACTTTTACTGGGTACTTGTTGTTTATATTTTGGTGTGTTTTGGTTTTGGAAAAAGTAAAGAAAACAAGATTTACACGCATTTTAACTTTTCTAAACCACAGCCCTTTCTGCTGCCCCATAGGGATACATGGCGCAGGGGCGACTTTTGTCATAGTAACCTTTCCCGGGGGTTTTTCGCGCCTTATAAAAATGTATCAATATGTTGTCATTAGACTCTAAAGGGACTTGAGTTTTTTTATTATTATTTGGGAGAGAGAAAGTGTTTTGAATTGAGAGGAGTACAAAATGAATAGAGCTGCAAGTACACGGTATGAAGCCCTGACAGTGCTTCAAGACATTGAATGAGAACAGTCTGACGGAGGTGAGATGTCACATTTTGAGGTGGAAAGTGACAGCGGGGAGAACACCTATAATATTCTAAATCTGAACGTAAACCCATAGTGCATTCACGGCACGGACAGCAGTGTTGTAACAAGTCTAGAAGCAATAACGCACATGACCCGCGTAATGCCAGCCATACACAGGTGTCTGTGTGGCTGTATAATACTATTATTATTATCTAGATAATATTTCCCACGGTGATTTCGGCTGGAAAGAGAAAACAGTCTGGAGATGACGTAAGAAGTAGACGCATATAGCAGCGCGAAGACGTTATGGTCCCGTGCTTTTCTAAACTATCATTTATATTGTTTGAATTTACATATTGTTACTGAGTCAATTTAACATATAGTGATCAACCTTTTAGGTGTTTCCAAAGTAACAAAATAAATCTAGCCTGATTTTATGAAAAGATATTTGACGCACTTCATGCGTTCTATAGATACTAGGGCCGGGACTTTAACGCGTTAATTAAGATTAATTAACGCCACAAAAATCAGAGCGTTAAAAAAATTTGACTTTTTTTGTTCAAAAGTACATTATATCAAGCATAGACCAACTTTAGCGGTGTCTAAATCTGAGTGAGTTAGAGACGGGAATGAGCGCTGTGTATGGAGCGATGGACTCTGTGTGTGAGGAGGAGGAGCCGCGAGCGACTCCTGTGTGTGAGCGGAGGCGAAGGAGGAGGAGGAGCGAGACAGAGGTGTGTGTGCTGCTATTGCTGATGTTTAGTCCAAATACACACACCAAAAACGTACTATAAAAGCTTTAGCAAACACTGCATGCCCAGCTTTAGTGCTCACTGCGAGTGCAGAGGATTTGGGGCATAAAAGGTGTCTGTTGTTGTCAGAGAGTGTGGAGGCAATGACAGAAACTTTTTTGGATGGGAAAGTCCGTCTGATCCCCTTATCATCCACAATGAACATGTGTTGCTTAAGCTTATGTATTCAGTCGTTATTCAGATTCAGATTCAGATTCAGATTCAGATTCATTTATTTGCCATTTGCAGTAAAACCACATTGGAAAACTGTGCAAGACTACCCCGGTGTGCGCCAGACAGAGAAGACGACACACACCAGAGCTCTTGCCACGGCGCCATCTTTACGGCGCCATCTTTACGGCGCCATCTTTACGGCGCCATGCGATTCAATGGTAAACTAAAAATCCATGTGAAAAAATTACTTTTCACTGTTCTCAAGTCAAATATTTATATGCAATTAATTCCGATTAATTAATTACAAAGCCTCTAATGAATTAGATTAATTTTTTTAATCGAGTCCCAGCCCTAATAGCTACTAAACCTGAATGGAGTCAAAATAATAAGTCCATGCATTTTGTTCATTCCTAACCATATCAAAATACAATTTATTTGTATTTCGTACATTTCCTTGTTGATGGAAAAAGTAAGCACAGTTGCATCTAATTTTCATCTTTTTATTTTTTATTTTTGTTTGTGAATATGGGGACATCCAAAAATTGCTGCTGCTCAAAATGTCCACGAACAAAAAAATAATGACACAGTGACAGTTGCAGCTGGACAGATGTTTAAATAGAATGTAGAAAGTTACCTGCACATTTTGTAGTTCATTTTTTATTTTCACTTTGTCTGCAGAGAGGAGGTCTGTGTCTGGACAACACAGTGACTCACATCTCTCCAGCCAGCTTTTCATTGACAAACTTTCCTTTTCAAACCTGTAATTAAACAAATGTGAAATAGATTGATGATTGAAAGAGAAAAGCATCATAAAAAGCCCACAGTTGTTTAAAGTATACCTTTGCCACAGAGCAAACAAACTCTCAAGAGTAGATTGTCTTTCTAAAGCAGTCTCCATGAACTGAGCCTGTTGCTTCTGGAGGTTTACCACCTCTTCCTCCAGTTGCCCTCCTTCTTTGAATCTCTTCAAGGCCGAGCACAGGGCCATCAGTCTGGGCTTCAGCTGCTCGACAGCTCGACACACTTCCTGTAAAATCACAAACCTGTGTAAGAACGGAATAATCTCCGAATGTTTGCAGTATCTTGATACATCAGTGCTTTGATACCGTATGATCCTGGAGGCATTTGTAGGTTTCAGAAGAAGATGAACAGTTGTTGATGGGACAGTCCAACTGCTCCTTCAAATCAGTCATTGTTTTCTTAATCTAATACATGAATAAAAGGGGATTATCTGTTTGTTTGTTAATAGGTTTTATTTCTGTGACATGACACCATTCCAAAGAGTTAAATTCTTTGGAATCTCTGGGTCAATCCACATGAAACAAAAAGTGTCACTTTCTAAATACATATCAACCATAGTCTAATTTATATTTTGTTATGCATATGCATGATGTTGATCATAGAAAGGACTTTCAGACATAACAATTATATGGCGAGTAAACATGAAATTTTCTATTCCAACTGAAATAGAATTCTAGGACATGAACGCTACGGAAAATCCAACCTGTTGCAAATTGTCATTGTAACGCTGCCTGTAGGTGGCGCTCTGGTGCAGCTGTCCTCCCACTTGGTCGACTTGGCCTTTCAGCTCGTCCCAGTATCTCTTCATCTGTGTCAGTCGCGCCCGGATGCGTCCTGCCTCTCCAGGGGTCACAAACTTGGACAAGCACTCGCAGTCTGCCTCCATGTGAGCGATGGCGGCCCATTTTTCACCCAGAGCTTCAGCAATCTCCTGTAGCAAATTATAAATACTTTAAGATGACCTTTTGGTATGAATTGAATGTATAATGCTTGAGTGGAGAAGTAACTGATATAAAAATCTTGAGGCTGTTTTGCATTTAGGCGAGTTTGTACCGAGCTTTCAAACAACAACAAAATGATGTGTGATATGATCCGGCACAGTGGCGCAGTGGTTGGGTGCTGGGTTCAATTCCACCTCCAGACATTTCTGTGTGGAGTTTGCATGTTCTCCCTGGGTGCTCCGGTTTCCCCAACCACTAAAAACATGCACAATAGGTCTGGAATGCGCCTCCTGTATGTGGCGACCTTGCTCCCATCTCTGTGTGGAGTGAGAGACAAATGCCCACAACAATTGTAAAGCGTTTTGTGACTCTGGTCTGTGAAAGGCGCTATGTAAATAATTTTGTCTGTTTTTGTCTACCTATGTCTTTATGTCAGCGTTTTAAAAGAGAGGACCACTCTTGCTCAGCCCTCAACCTTAAGGCCCCGACTCCACCGTAAAACGGACGACGGATCCGTCCAAACATGTCTGTTTCATCTCCGTCTCCGTTATCTCCATGAGGGTGAATGGAAGTGGCTCCACTGCCTCCGCATGCGTCCGTCTGACGCACGTCGGACGTATTCCGTTAACGGAGGGTGCAACAATCAATAGAACAATAGAAACAATCCTATTTGTTCCGTCCGTCGACGCGTGTTGGGTCCGTTTTCCATAGAAAATACAATGGAATAATATATTTACGACATTATTAAACATGTATTGATATATGCTGTAGCCCTTGGTTATAAGTATTTGTTAATTTTTTTTATTTTTATTTTTTATTATTTATTAATTTATTTCAGGCAATGGCACAAGTGAGAAAACGTGGTAATTAAATGCAATTAAGTAATATAAATAATATAAAGCAAAAAACAAAACAGACAAACACAATAAACAAACAAACAAAAAAAACAGTGTAAACAAAAAATGTATAAACAAAAATCTATGGTTTAACATGGCCATATATTTCTGCCTGAAAAGGAGTGGGAGGAAGAAAAAACTTATTTCATCCCACCCCTATATCCCCATTTCAGTGATTAAACGATCAACTTCACTGTTACAGTTCAAGCCAGTATCATACCAGAGTGGCGTTATCACGGGCAACAAGGACATTTACATTGTAACAACAGTTACCAACAATGGTAATAGAAAATATACCAACAATGGTAATAGAAAATATACCAACAATGGTAATAGAAAATATACCAACAATGGTAATGAACAAAAAAGAAAAAACAACAATAGCAAGATTCTATATACTAACAAGGTAATGGAACATTACCTTGTTGTATACCTTGGAACATTAATGACAATGATTATTAACAAACCTGTGTAATTTTCTTCATGTATTACTTTAAATAATTGTTTCCTGATCGTAAATCTACCATTCATTTTTCGCGTAATGTTAATACGCTAATCTTCCTCGCTCTTTTTTCTCTCGCTCTGTCCCCTCTACCTCCGAGGCGCTCTCTCCTCACCGCCGCGCGCTCCCACACAGACACACACACACTCACACACACACAGAGCTATACTGCACTTATGAAAGACAGATCTCACAACAACACTGGAGTTCTTTTCTCCTTTCTCTCTCCCCTTTTTCCAATTGCTTTCAATAAGTTTTGCCTCATCCATCGCGACGTCCTCAATGCTTCAATATGCTGTGCTTTGCATAGATCATAGCCACAGCTCATACAAATCACACACGGCTTCTTCTATTTAAAACTATAGCGGCTGCCTGTTGCCTAAAGTCGCGGAGAGGGGAGTTGGGTCCGATAAAAGTGTATGACGCGCTAAATAAGTATAAAAACAAACAAAGAGGCTGGATCATAATAAACGCTGCGGGCACGCGCGCGCGTGCCAAATATTCATTCATTCACACAATGCCCAAACGTGTCTCCTACAAAAACAAAGCAGGCTGATAAGCGGACAGCCAGAGCTGCTGCTGCAGCCGGTTTGACCACTAGTCCGTTTTAAGGACGTCTGACGGACAGCAGCCAACGCGCGTCAACGGAGACGCGGCCGGTGGAGTCCAGGCCTAAGTGTCAAAGAGTGACTCACAGGGCTCTTACTTAGAAGTATGCAAATATATCATGTATTTTTCTACTGACTCTGTCTGTTGGGACATACAAAACTATTGAATTTATAATTAAAAAGTTAGATACCCCATTTATAAAAACATGTAGTATTGGTCACACAATGGATCTAAAAACATATTCTGCTAAACCTGGAAAAATCCTTCACAATTTGACTCCAGTGCACAAAAGGTGTAGGTTTGAAGATAAAAAAGTTCAATTTAGGTTCTAGGTCCTATCACAGACCCTGCCACTCATCTCCTCATCCTTTCCAAGGACAGATTAAAAATTCATCATATTTCGTCTTAATCTTAATAACCCCAAGGCTAAACTGATTCTGTGTAAACTATAGCGCAAAAAGCATTCACTGAGAAACATGAGGAATATGGTTCAATAAAAAACAATGTGTAGAAAAAAGGCTATAATAGATGCTGAAGCTGATACCTCCACAGCAGTGATGCTCTCATCCAAAGGCTCTGAGGTTGAGGAGGGATTGATGGCCCCCAGTTCCAGTTCTTTCCTATTGATCCAATTGGAAAAGGCTTTAGATTCATTGCTAAAGCGCTGCCACCATAGACACATCATCTCCAGCTGGGAAACACTGAAAAAAAATGAAACATACAATAGTAACTTGAGCCGCAAAGAATACAGTTTAGCTCATTTGAATTATGTGTTGCAGTAACCAACCAACATACACTGGGTGTTAATATTCACAGTGTAAATGGTAGTGTTGTTTTGAGCTAATTGAAATACATGAGAATGAAATTATGATGTATTTCCATGTAAACTTCTGGTTTCTATCATTATTTCACATGAGATGAAAAGCCTTGTTTTGGAAATTTCTAAACTCAACTGAGGCCCGCTAAGCTGTTTGATCCGGCCGACTTCCAAATTCCAAAAATATATTTTCAATTTTTCCAAAAGTATTACTGATTGTCACCAAAACTTGTTTGATATTTGCATTAGATGTATTTAGTCCTAAATTAACTTTTGACTGATAATCCCAAATGCATTTCTGTGAATATTATGTCTTGTATTTTTTTCACACATACATTTTATTCAGGTGGTCATGAAGTTGTGCGACCTCTTCCCTCGTGGTCTGAGCCTGCTGTAAAAGCAGAGTTTGGGTTTTGGCACTCAAATGCAAATCTGTGGCTTTCTCCAAAAGTAGATCCGCTCTAACAGAAAATTCCTCCACCTCGGCACACTGCTCCTGTTGATAACAAAGAGGAAAATGTAAATTATAAAAATCCTTATGCACGCAGAGATGTTACAGACGCATGCAAACCTTGTTGTGCTCCAGCTCGGACCTCAGACTGTCCAGGCTGTTGAAAATGAGCTCTTTGTGAAGCTCATTGCTGATGTTGCTGATGAACGCCCAAATCATCTCTCTTTCAGATTCAAATATTTGCCAGGAGCTGAGTATGGTCTGGAAATAATGGAAAGCACTGAAGGGAAGCAATAGATTCTACACAACGGGATTTTTTAAGACCATGAACAAACACACATATTCTCCACTTCCTACTTCACAACAATAATCATTCCTTCTAATATAATAGCAGGAGTAACAATAGCAGGCATTTTGCAAAAGCCAGATCCCAGAAGACCTCTGAAGCTAAGCAGTAAAGGGCCTGGTTAGTACTGTGAGGGGAGACCTCTGGGAACACCAGGGGTCACAGTGGGTGGCTGTATAGTGCCAAACCGCTGTTGTGTCCTTAGGCAAGACACTTCATCTACATTGCCTATGAGTCTGGTGTGTGTGTGTGTGTGTGTGTGTGTGTGTGTGTGATTGATTGAATGTGAATTATTGGAGGCCGTCTTTCGGTTCTGTCTTTCACCATCACTCCATCACCATCGTGTATGGACTGAACGAATAATGCCATGCAAAGCGTCGTTGATGGTCCAAAAACACTTTATATGAAACGGATGCCTTATTGTATTATTATAACATCGCCATTAAATAGACTGTTACCCGTAGACTAGTGTTTCCCTTATAGCAAAAAAGCCAATCTCAAAGCTTAAAACAAACTCAAACAAGCTCTTAGAGTGGGAATCTGAAGCCAAACAAAGAGCTAATCTGATTGGTCAGTTCTTAGGAATCACAACTGGATTTACAAAGACAATATGAAAACAGGAGTTTAAACAACAGGATCCTACAGAGCGATAAACCCGAGATGTTTAAGCCCAGAATGGTGAGTGTGATAGAAAGTGATTACAAAGAAAGACCAGTTTACTTAAAGTAACAATATGTAAAAATCTGGCTAAAAGTGGTACTGCAGTCACAGTCAATATTTTGTAGTCCTCTCCCACTCTTCCTGACTCAGGTTGCCAGATTCACACCAAATCCAGCAGCAAACACAGGGAATTATTTTATCAGTTGTTTGTCCGTCTCCATTCACATTGCCATGACAGCCGTGCTAATGCTGAATGAATGTTTTGATTCATGTTTTTTTATTATTATTATTTGGACATTTGAGATAAAAAACAAAAACAAAATAAAAGCAATGTAATTATACATAGTTTATGCAAAATGCATAAGCAATTGATGTCCAAAATAGGAGTGGGAAGAATGGATGTTGGAACGTATTTCTTCAGCGTATCAACATCAGGGTTTGCTCAAGAGGATATCACCTTTCAATTTTATTTATTCCCTATTTTTTAGACAAACATGTAAAAGTCCCACATCAAAAAGAGACTAACATTATTTTAATTGGGGTACATGTGGTCTTAAATGATTATTTTTACAATTAAGCTATAATCTGCAAAAAAACGTCTTGACCTTTGTCTTTTACCGTTTTTAGAGCAATCTGTCATAGAATGTGATAACATGCAATAAATACAAAAAGACATAGCCCGGAATCGAACCCGGGTTCCTGCATCGTAAGCGCACAGTTTTGACCACTAGACCACCGATTCACACAGTTAGTCACTGTGAAGAACGGACTCAAACTAGAAAATTCTGCATCACACGTAAACTTTTATCAGCTGTCTCAATTGTTCAAAGGCGTCCCGATATAAATCCTCGTTTTAGTCTTTGTTTTGTCATTAATGATTTGAGAGTCATAACAAGACCTTTTTTAGTTCTGCGCCACATGTTATTTTACCTCTGAGATTAGTGAGCCGCACGGAGTTCTGGCAACCCGATCACGGACTTACATGACACTTCCTGATTGGCGAAACGGCGGAGGGTAGGACATCAAAATCAAAACAATAACAACTTTTACGGGTCGTAAAACTAATTTTGATATTCAAATATCTCGGATGAACTACTGTTATCAGTTAAAGATGTGTTTGAAAAGAACATGATTTATTAATGCCTTTTGAAATATTCGGGTAATTTAATGATGACTTGACATGCAAATATTACATATTGCTCCTTTAAATGTATGTGAATGGGAGCCAAAGCTAGTATCGGAGCAACACTTCATCCATGAAAACTTCTATATACAATGTAAGGGCCACTATTACTGCTATCCTACATGTAAATTACTTGAACTTTTTATGTTTTTATGTACTCTTTTGTCCTTTAATGTCTAACCTCTATCTTTGAGACACCCGCTGATTTTAAAATCAATTTATGGCAATGACAATGAAAAACAGACACATACAACATTAACATTTCACACAACTAATCAATATCTGATTAAGGCTAAACAGAGAGCAGTCAATGATAACAGAGGGACATGTGTGGACAGATCGATGCATTTGAACCACAAACATTAAGTTGTGACAAGGGCGCCGCGGTACCTGCAGGTCGTGCTGCTCTGCCTCCGAGTGACTGTCCACCTCACGGATTGTTTTCTCCAGCTCCGACACAGAAGCGCTCAGGCCCTGCTCTTTGTGCAGCTGCTGGCAGTGCGGCAACAGAAGCTCAGCCTCTCTGCGGTTTGAGTACAGGCGCTTCATGTGTTGCTGTGGGGAAGCCCAAGGGCCACAAAGGCAGTATAGATAAGCAGCAGTAATGCAATAAATACAGAGATTTTTAACTATAGCTAGATTTTTTATGATCTTTATTGGTTGTCCTGTGTCCTTAGAGTTTGATTTCCTGTTCCTGTATTGATTGCCAGCCCCTGCCCTACCCTAATATATTTCACCTGTGTCTCTGTTTGAGTATTTAAACTCTGAGCCCCCCATTCTCAAATGCACATTTTAAATCCTTCTTTCATTTTAAGATATTGGAGAGAAACTAAGTAGTGTCACTTCCATACATACTTTTTAAATCATGTTTTATGGTTGTACCTGTCTTGTACACACTGGCGACCTTTGAAAATGTATTCCAATGTGGTTTTACTGAAAATGGCAAATAAAATGAATATGAATTGGTACTTAAGCATTTATTCCCAGTATCAGTACATTACTACTACTTTTCTGACCACTTTTTACCTTTATTCCTTATTTTTAAACCCAAATCTCTGTATTTTCCACTTTTATTTTAAAATGGCCAGTTACTTTAACCCTAACCCTTACTGCTGATGGCGGCAACTGGTTAGTCATTCTTATAAGTTCAGACCATTTAGCTACATGTATTGTCACACTCTTTAACAGTATGAGTCGTGTTGTTTAATTACCTGTAAAATATTCAAGAAAAATGCATTTCACTTTTAACTTTTTCACTTCACTTTTCAAATCTTGTACATTTATTCTTTGATTTGATTACTGTTACTTTTACCAGAGTAGATTATAAGATTTTCCCTGACTATAGCCCAGACCACAAAAAAGGATAATATGACCACATGAGTGGTTTGTACACTGCTGCCGTGACATACTGTAACTGACAGAGCTACATCAACAGTCATGGAAGCATTATATCATTATTGAAATGTTTGATTTCAGCGTCAGAAGTTAATAAGCTGGCCCTCGGAAAAACTCAGTTGAATAGCCCTCATCTACAGTACATGCAAAACTCGTAAGGTTCAAACGTTCAATTATTTCTGTAACTCAATTTGAAATGTGAAACCAATATATAGCCCAGAACACAAGAAAGGATTATATGTCAGACTCTGAATTATAACTTCATGAATGGTTTTTAATCTTCTGCTTTCACACAATTGACATAGCTACCGCAATAGTCATGAAGCAGAGCGCCATGGGCAGACACCGAATCACACTTGGGTCCAGAAACCCAAATTGAAATCAATATAGCAAAACTTTCCATGTTTTTTGTTCAATAATAATTATTGTGTCCTTGGGCAGGACACTTAACCCTTCTTTGCCTGAAGCCTCCACTGAAAAATCAAGCCTATGCTCACACTGACAGAGAAGCCATCCTCCTGTGGACTCACCACCTGCAGGAGGATCAGTGAATTCCGACCAAGAAATGGATTAAGGGGTAGAAAATGGATGGATGGATTAATTTTCTATTATTATGAAAGCTTGTGTACCTAACTTTCAAACCAATTTTTTTTTACATATAAATCTATGTTTCTTGCTCTAAAAACTTGCTCTGTTCTTCTGTCACTAGTTTATACATGTCTGTATTTTTGGCCTGTCACATCTTCAGATCAGCTTTTTCTGACAGAAAATAGAAAAAAAAGAGGCCCACTGACACTCAACCGGCCAGCTCTCAGCTCAAATAGGCTAAAGACACTATGTTGTGGTCTGGTTTGTACATTCTACTTTTACAAGACTCTTTCTGTTGTTGACAAACTACATTCATTATTTATGAAACAAAAAGATAGGTACCTCAGCTTTAAATCTATGTACTTGTAATCTATGTGTGTAGCATGTTTATTTCTTTTACCTGTATTAATCATAATATTGTACACATTTTTTTTTAGACTAATGTAAATGTCCCAGAACAGACTTTCACAGACCTGGTGAATGAGGTAAATTTGCTTGGCTTCTTCCAGATCTTCAGCCTCCAGGAGTCGGTTGCTCACATCTTCAGCATCCCTCTGTAGTTTCAACATCTCTTCAAGAGCTCGATGTAATTCCTCTTTCAGCTCGCCAGACTCAACCAACGCAGAGCCCTCTTCATCCCACTGCAAACAACAATGATTACGTTAAGCTGAATCTTACAAATAAGTCTAATTACATAAGGAAAGTTCCATAAAAATGTTTCAGATGTATTTATTGATATTGATATTTGACAACCTGGCAGAGAGAAGAAAACAGGGCACGTAGATCTGTAGAGAGTTTGTCCAGAGACGCTCTCTGCCTCTGCACCTCCAGTTCAGAAGTAACTTCACACAGGCCAGAGAGACGCGTCTTCAGCCACAAAAGACACTCCTCTTGAGCTTCAATAGCCTCCTGTAACTCCTGCAACAAGGAAGAAGAAGATCAAAGTCCAATCATTAAATGTTGTCTTTTAGTTTCCACCTTCACTTGGGGAAAAATTCTAATACAATGTATTGTTGTATAGCCCTAAATCACAACAGTAGCCGTCTCTGTGGACTTCACAAAGTTGCAAAACAGATAGGAGCCAATGGTCCATAGGGAGTGGGATGACCAATGTCCAAAAAAGCTAATAAATTTGCATAAATGTGTTGTTGATCATCACTGTAAGTAAGTATTTGTAAGTAATCTTTATTTATATAGTGCCTTTCACAGACCAAAGTCACAAAGCGCTTTACCGTTGTTGTGGGCATTTATCTCTCACTCCACAGAAATGGGAGAGAGGTTGCCAAACAGGAGGCGCCTACCAGACCTATTGTACCTGTTTTTAGTGGTAGGGGAACCGGAGTACCCGGATGAAACCTACACAGACACGGGGAGAATATGCAAACTCCACTCAGAAAGTCCCTGTTCCTACCGGGATTTGAACCCAGGACCTGGGTGCTATCCACTCAGCCACCGTGTCGCTGTCCTTCCACACTCCTGCATCGGCAAGGAACGACTCAAAAACATCAAGAGGGAAAAAAAGTGACAGCCCCATATTGAGAGAAGGATCCTCTCTCACAGATGGATAGGCCATTTGATCCAGAACGAGAGCTGGATCTAAGAGCTAGGACTGAGGCAGTACAGTGCAGGACAGCCTGATCTGTTTAAAAAGATGTAAACTGAGGAGAGTGACTATGTTCACTTCTTTGAAAGAATACTCCTTTACTGTATTGTCTGTCATAGGAGAAATTTGTCTTGGGACAGGGATTCACATGCTTTCTTTGGTGATTTTACATCCATAAATACATCCAAGTGAACCAGACCACCAAGTGTGAAAGCACCCTAACACACTACAGCACTCACCTGAACAGCAGCTTCTACTTGAGCATGATCACTTGAATTCCTTGCCGACTCCTTCAGAAACCTGACATGTCTTCTTTGAGAAGATACCCAATCAGAAAGGTCGCAAAACCTGAGCAAAAAGTGCCTCTGAGTGAGTCTTTAATACAGATCAATGGGCTTTTAAAAACTTCTACCTTTCATTCCAGTCTTTCCACTTATCGGGGTCCTGCTCTAATTTGAGGTAGGTGCTTTTGATTCTTTCTGAAACCTCCTCCACGGCGCCCCTGGTGGAGTCAAGGACCCGATAAGCAACATCATTGTCAGGCAGATTCTGACAGAGATCCTCCATGCTTCTAATCCGCTTCTCGCATAAAGTCAGAGGTTTGCGTTCCCTGAAGAAAGTCTGCAGATAGGAAAGAAGAAAAAAGATAAGTTTGGAAAGCCACCAGTTCTCAATGTCACACTCATTGATCTAATCATAGTTTTTACTCCAGGTTTAATCTTTTCTCATATTAAAAAGTCCCAGAGCTTACCCTGTGCTCTTTGATCAACCGTTCGCTGGTGCATGTCCCAGACAGAGCTTGCATTTCTCTGTCCAGCTCAGCTCTGCAGTCCTGGAGGATGGAAGCCACGCGGTTTTGCTCAACTTCCACTTTCAGACGCAAAAGTTGAGTCGGCATCTCACTTTGGACATTCTGCACATTAAAGAAGAGTGGCATTTAACCTGTTCACCCAATCGTGTCTGGAAATGTTGTTTCTTATTTACAAAAAAAGTTGGATAGCCAAGCTTTTGGGCTACCAAACTTAGAAGTTCCAATCAACAATGTTTCGGGCATTTCCCTTTATTTCTTTCAAATAGTCAATACTACAGACATATAGAAATACTATATGTATATAATAATATTCTTTAAAACACATATTTTGTTTTGTACAAATCCAAACAATAGGGATAGTATATTTCTGAAGTTTGTGTGTTTCTTAGAGCCATATGTATACATATCAAACTGACTGTATTTACCTTTGCTGGGTTATTTTAATGAGATTTAATGAGACAAAGAGAGAGCGTCATCTGTCACCTTCAGTCTCTCTCCCTAGAACCTTCAAACAAGGTCAGAAATCTAGGGGTAATACTGGACTCAGACTTAAATTTTAATAGCCACATCAAATCAGTAACATCAGCAGCTTTTTACCACCTAAAAGACATTGCCAGGATCAAAAACATAGTGTCTAAAGCAGACTTGGAGATTCTTATCCATGCATTTGTCTCCAGTAGGTTAGACTACTGCAATGGCCTGCTCACAGGTCTGTCCAAACAGGCTGTAAAACAGCTGCAATACATTCAAAATGCAGCAGCTCGAGTCCTGACTAGAACCAGGAAGTACGACCACATTAGTCCAGTTCTCAGGTCTCTGCACTGGCTTCCTGTGGCTCAGAGAATAGACTTTAAAACAGCTCTGCTTGTGTACAAGCCTCGCACCAAAATATATTAGTGACATGTTAGTCCCATATGAACCAGCCCGGACTTTGAGGAGCACAGGGACTGGACTCCTGTTAGTGCCCAGAGTCAGAACTAAACATGGGGAGGCTGCTTTTCAGATTCATGCTGCTAAAATCTGGAACAATCTTCCTGAAGATGTGAGACAGGCCTCCTCTCTGACAATGTTTAAAACCAGGTTAAAAACAGTTCTGTTCAGCTGTGCATACAACTGAGGGATTTTATTTTTTTATCTTTGTTTTTAATGTACTGTGATTATTTATGATTTTAGTGCTTTCTTGTTTTGTTCAGCACTTTGAGTTGCCTTGTGTATGAATTGTGCTATACAAATAAACTTCCCTTGCCTTGAGATTTCACCCCCACTTTAGAAGAAAAACAAGACCCAGGAAGACCACTGACCTCCCACTGTTTGACCACTGACCTTCCAGTGTTTGTGCAATGTCCTGACAGTCTCTTGTAGATTCTGTTGCTCGTCCTCCGGCAGGATGTCTGTTAGCTCGTCACACGCTTTCAGAAATACATTTAACAGTCGCTGGTCACACTGACTGAACACTTCCTGAAAGACAAAACAAATAAGGCTTAAAATCTTACTATGGACATGGGTCACAACTTCATCCTGTGTATTAAATATATTTCACTCAGAGATCTTTGAACTGAGGTGGTCAAAAAGGTAGGACCAAAGTTAAAATCATTTGTGTCATTTATTACAGATTACTACAGTTATCATAACATGAAACTTACCCACATCCCTGTCTGAGACATTAAACCTAGTGTTTGCTTTTATTCTCCATGCATGTATTTTGTGTGCCATGTAATCTTAAAACTTCATAGTATTTTAAACATATCTGGTGTGTAGTTCTTTCCAGTCAACGATCCTTTAGAATGTTAGGCATGCATAGATGCCTAGTTAAAATGCATTTCACACTCTGTTTTCATGAATTCATTCATGCACATGGCCTTATGCAGCTGTAAACAGCGGTGTCTTTGAACGATGGGAGAGTGTGATGAAATCTTGTTGGTGGTGCTGCGCGAGGAGTGGATTGACAGCCCTTTTGAAGTGTGCACCAATATCAAAGCATAACCGTACTGTGTGTTTTTTCAGCAGGTCCTCCGCATCTCCAGTCTCCCTCAAACAACTCTGGGATTTTTTCAATATTCTCTCCAGCTCCTGACGGGAATCTTCAAACCTCCTTCTTAGGCTGTTGTTGGCCTCCTCTTGCCTTCTCCAGTCCCCGATCTCCTTGAGTAAGGTCTAACAAAACAGTGGAGAGAGATGGATAAAGTGGTAATTGGTCTCAACAGTGTAATAATGTAATTGAATTGTTTGTATTACATCACTTGTGTGAATAATGACACCCATGAGTGCATGCAATCTGCACCGCTGCCTTAGGGTCGTCTGAAGGATTGTAATCTCAGGACTACATTCTGCACATTGGCAAATGCACAGTCTCTATGGTATTGTATCTATGCATAAACGTTGCTGACCTGAGCTGAAGCCTGGATCTCAGACACTCTCTTCTGCAGCATGGACATGTTGAAGTTTTTCAGCACTTTGCTTGAGGAGATTGTCTTCTGCAGGCTATGGTTGTTTTTCTCGATCACAGAAAGACAGCGCTTGCAACTTTGCTGCTGGTTAAGCAATTCCTGAAAATCAATATGACATAAGTATCTGTACAGCATATACATTTGGAACTTTGACTTTGGAGAACAAAAAAAAAAAATTTAAAACGGATTCAAATAAAACATTATTCAAAGAGGAAACACTGAAGACGTACAAAAATGAATAAATGAACTTTACAGTCATCAACAAATAGCCGTTTTTATTGGATAACAATTTGAAAATCTCTAAAAACACAACGTTCATTTTGTCTGATTTTTAAACTTTTTTAGTGGTAAAAATTGTTTGGGCCTGTTTCTTTTGTGTGTTATGTGTTGTGTCAATCAAGTGAGAGGAATTGAAGCCTCTATTTCTCAATGTTATTAATGTATTCGGCACCTGAATATGCATAAAAGGTCAAAACGGTCGAACCTGCCACTTGTGCTTGTGCTGGGCCTGGCTGTGTGAGTCCCTCTCTGCTGACGTGATGCAGCTCGCTCGCTCCAGGGCCTGGTAAAATGCACTGATGTGTTTCTCCATTTCTTCCAGCAACGGCAGAAGGACATGGCACTCTCTCACCAGGGAGGGACAACGCTCTCTCACCTGCACACAAATTAAACAGGCCGGTGAATCCAGTCAAAGATAGTTATTGTGCGTGTAATTGCAGTAGGGTTACAGTATGTCTAGAGTTGGTAAGTGGAAAGTCCATGTGCAGGAAACTAACCTTACTAAGCTGACTTTTGGCTGTGGCCATCGTTGCCAGTACCCGAGCAGCTTCATCCTGTGGGGCATCCTTCGTGAGGAGCTGAGCGCTGCGGGCGGCTAGTTTGAATTGAGTTTCCATGGCTACAACCTTGTGCTTTGTTTCCTGAGATTAAAAATAGAGGGAGGTCATTCAGGTTGCCCAAGTGTGGAGAGCTATTAACTAAAACCTGAAAGAAGGGAAACATCTGAACTCGTCTGTCTTTGCCTTCATTTGACTTTTTTAACGTCAGAGCCCACCTGGAACAACAGTCTTATCTGGTCTTGTAATCAAAACAGCCGACATCAACTCCAGTGAACTCTTACTCGTTTTGTCATGCCACAACCAAACAAAAAAACGTTTTCATTTTTATATAATTTCTTCTGTGAAAGACCAGCATGAAGTGGTAGACAAAGTGAAGTGACAGCAAAATTATACATGACTCTCTAACGAAAAAAAACGGCCAGTATTAAGCCTTTGTGAATATGGTTTTACTCAAAGCATGATATAGTTTAAAATGCTCACGATATGTCAAATGTTGTACTGTTTGTGTAATTTAGACTCAAATTAGTATCTAGTTTCCAGTGTTGTGTGTGAACGAGTTCAAAAGAACGCGTTCATTGAACACGCTCATTTTTTCATGAACGTTGAACTGAACGCAACACATTTTTAAAAAAAGAACTTGAACGTGAATTAGTTCATTTTATGTGTCATGAACGGCAGACATCACTATGAACGTTGGAATCTGTTTTCTCTTTTGAAACGCAACGAGAGAAAGTTCTTCCCTCCTGTATTCTCGCACTTTTTCCGCCGAAATGTAAAAATTCCTACGGTTTCCACCGTCTGTGAACGCACCCCGACTCCGTGTTGCGGTGCGGCGCTGTGAGCTGGTGCTTTTCACATGTGCCCGAGTCGTGATGAAAACACAGGGTGAGTTAGCGACAAAGTTTACACCATTTACATTTGACATAAAGTATAGACACACGCACTGCAGCGCATTACTGTCTGTAGTTTGTGAGCAGAGATGGAGCAACTCCGTTTTGCTCCCATTGAAAACCATGTAAATCTGGTCTGTTTTGTGGTCAAAAGGCTCTCCTCCTGTGGGTGTACAGGAGATATATACATATATATATATATATATATATATATATATAATATATATATATATATATATATATATATATATATATATATATATATATATATATATATATATATATATATATATATATATATATATATATATATAGCTCAGACATAGTGTGAAAAAATATTTATTTAAGTATCTCACAAAAAAAGTAAAATGAACTGAACTTTGAACTAGTTCAGAATTAAAAATGTGAACTTTGAATGTGAACTGTTCATTTTGAGCATGTATGAACTGAACTTGAACTAGTTCAGAAAAGCTGTGAACTGGCACAACACTGCTAGTTTCAAAACTAGCCTTTGTGCTCAATGCTTGAGTTAGGGTTAGGGTTAGCAGCAAGTCAAGCTCCTTTAGTTGACAGTGTCTTTTGCTATAACCCAGACCTGTTCCACCACACAATACTAAAAGAACATGTATTGCTGTATTGTGTTTACTTTAAAAAAAAAAAACAGTGGTTACATGTTGACTTCTTCCCTGTCCATTAAAGGGCTGCTCCAAGAGAAAGAGTAAAGACATCCCTAAAATGTATGTATGAGTGTATGCCCATGTGCGTATGTGTGTGAGTGAAAATGGGAGTTTTACCTCCACATCCTGCAGAAACGCTCTCACGTTCAAGAAAGACACATTAACAGGAGTATTAAGTTTGGATTCTCCTGTGTCCAGAAGTTCTTTAAGAGCTGAAATTGTCTTAAGATGATCCTTTCTGTATTTTTCCAGTTCATCGGCGTGAGCATACTGAGAAGGAGAAAAGCATTACAATGTTAAAATGTAGAGCTATATGTTCTCTGGAAAAAGAAACTGTTATTTTTTTCCATTACTTGTTTGACTTTGAGAAAAAGGTCCCTCCAGCGCCCATTCATCAGTAAAAGCTGCTGCTTCAGATCAAGAGATACTGTCTCATCACACGTTTCAATCAGAAAATTCCCTGCATCGTTCATAGCAGAATGCTGATCCATCCACTGGCTTAGATTCCTGAAAAACTCCTACAACAGAAAATGACAAAGAGAAACGAACAATCATCAAAAAGACAAATGCAATGAACTGAATGGAACAAAATGAGCTAATCAAAACTGAGACAAAAGACCTGGACAAGGAAAGTGTATAACAAAATGGGGGTAATTAGCTGCTTAATCCTTGGTGGGGCGGGAAACGGAGGTAACCATGGCAATAGTGGAGTATCCTTGGTGGCTGGTTGTTAGACAAGAGATGATTTGATACTCGAACGAAGACTGCTAATAGGATCACGCATAGATGACTAAACAGTAGAAATTGGGCTGTTTAAGTAGAAGTTAGAGCAGCAGGTCAAACTCATGAAGATGTCCATGTATCAAAAATAGGGCTGTCTGTCTTCACTCATTAGTTTGATTAATTGGTCGAGTTTTAGTCCAGTGGTTCCCAAACTTTTTAGCATAGACAGGGGGTAAGTACCCCCTCTACAGCTGTCTTCATTGTCTTCATTGACATTAACACGCCCTGTTAGCCCATGTTAAACTTATACAATCAATATTTGCTAATTGTACCCCCTGTAATACCCCCACATACCCTTATAGGTCTTCATACCACCGGTTGGGAAAACTGTCTTAGTCGACCAAAACATATTCAAATTTACTAAATATTTCATTTTGAAAATCCAAATAATTCTATGGTAAAACTTCTGGGGAGAAATGGCTGATGATGTGATATTTGATTTGTTCTTAAAGGTAGATATTAAATATTTCTTATTTATGGAGTCTAGAATCTATACAGTAATAGTTAAGACCTTTAGTCGAATTAATTGTTGAATACAAATTTCAATTAAGAGTCTCAAATGGAGGTCTGGTTAAGCTTCAATTAAATCTATTCAATAAGGGTTAAAAAAAATGCTAAAACATATAATCAAATGGTTTATTTTCACCATATCAATTTTGTCTTACTTTTTTAGTGTTTTCTGGCTGGCTCAGAGCGGCCTCAGCATCGTCGAGCCAGGCTTGTAGCACGACCACAGTGGCGTTGTATCTCTCCCAATTGGCCAGCACCTCCTCCAACATACTCCTCACACTGCGCACCTCCATGGACAGACTCCTCCACTGGGTCACCACCTCCCGGATAAACCGGCGTACCCCAAGTTCTCCATCTTCCACTATGGAGCAAGAAAAGATATGCTCGTCATATTGTATTATGTTTAAGGCTTAGAAGTTTCTTTTAATAACACAAAAAACAGGTTTAAGCAGTACTAGCCTCTTTACTTTTTTGTCTCATTAAAAGAACCTTTTAAGCCTTCTCTTCTTGTAGTTCAAATGTCTCCATGACCTCAGCCCTCGTTCAATCCTTGAGGCTGTATGCCCCTGCCCCTGGTCGGCTTATCAGTCCTTACTGACGTCCCAAAAACAAGGAGAAAGGCGAGAGGGGGTTGCGCTTTTAGTGTTGTTGGCCACATCTTCAAATCCCTTTTTCTCATTTAATTTTTTTTTTTTAAATGTACAATTTTAAACTGATATGTGTGTGTTAAGTCCTTCAAAAGAGTTGTTTTTAAAGTACTCTACAATTAAAGTTGTGAATGCTGTGACTAAGCAAACCAATCTTCTCGAATGTTTATGGAAATCTTGTGGAATCGTTGATGTGTTACCAAATCCAGTTTTACAGCACAGAATACTGCACAGATGGTGTACTTACTTGGGGTAGCACACAAAGGCTGACAGAGCCACGTGTCTCTGTAGACAAATATGTGACCTGAAAAACTTGAGAAAGATGTATAGTGTTGTTGCATGCACCACTTTAGCACAAACTGCTGCACTATACCCCAAACGTATACTGTTGTTTCGGTATGACAAGGAAGATTGAGGACTCCTTCTATTGTCCTAGTTATAGTTAGCATTTAAAGGATATCGTTGGGCCAATTGTAGGTAATTATCAGTAAAGGGGGAGGTCTCTTGTTGTCCACTGAAGTCCCATCAGATGTCCTGCTTTCTTTCCCCTGCTACACCTCAGTCTTCTGCATACCCTGAAGCGATGTAACCTCAAAATCTTAATGAAACCAACAAGCTCTGCCTGTTTGCTCCCAGAGACCTGCAGAAGTGGAGCAGCCCCTAACTAGCAAATGGGGTCGTATTCCCCACTGAGAGGATAGGAGAACCTCATTTAGCTGTAGCCTGCAGACGCTACCCTCCATCAGGCTGTGAAAGCCGACAGCAGCTGGGAGGAGGAGCCAAACAGTGATTGAGCCATTGACAGAGACAGTGTCAGAAAAAAAACAACTCTTTGTCTTCGTATTATCAACACAAAAGAGGTAATTAGTACACAATCAGGCACAGTAATCATTTAGCTGTGTTCTCCAAAAACTTGTGTACACTCACTTTTACTGTACAGTTAGAAAAAACTGAGACGCAATCAACTGCAAATGTTAAATGCCACCAACTACTAGTGTAATAATCACTGAAAGAGACGTGGATGCTGTAAAAGATATCTAATTAGTCTTTCCCAGCTGTTGAAATCATTTTTTTGATGTTTATATGTCTATGTGTCTGTGGCAAGGCATAGACACATACAGTGGACTTACTTGTATAGCACAGTTCATACACAGATAGAAACAATACAAGGCATAAATATTCACCCTACATTATAAAGAGTGCAGATAAAATCCCTCAGTTGTATGCACAGCTAATCAGAACTGTTTTAACCTGTTTTAACCTGGATTTGAATATTGTCAGAGAATAAGCCTCACATTTTCTGAAAGACTGTTCCAGATTCTAGCTGCATAGATCTGAAATGCTGCCTCCCCATGTTTAGTCCTGACTCTGGGCACCAGTAGACGCCCAGAGTGTCTGGATTCTATAAAATATGAAGATCCATTTTTTTTTGGTTGGGAAAATTGGTTCTTATAGCTTGAGTCAGCCCCAGATTAACTTATACACAACCTTCTCTCATGCGGGCACAGGAGGAAATGAAAAAAATATTGAATAGACAAATAATGCAATAAAATTCCTCACCTGAACTATCAGCTGCGACATACGTCTCACCAGCACGTTTCAGGGACTGGAACAATGCTTCATAGTTGTCAAAAAATCTCTGCTTTTCTACAAATAACTAGCAAACACAAATACATTTGGTTTAGATTGTATAATTCCAGACATCCAGTCAGCATGATGGTTTGTTGACTTACTAAATAATTGTGAAGCATCAGCTCTACAGCCTCTTGTTGGCCATATTTTATTATCCATGACTTTAGTCTTGATTCAGCCATACTAAGGAAGGCTTGCATGTGCTGCTGGTTTTCCAAAAACTCCATCTTGGCGAGGTGGACACTTGAGGTTGTGCAGACAAAATTCATCCTGTCAAAAGAAATAATAAAGAACGTCCATAATTCAATCAAAAACAGAAATACAGTCAGAGTTAATCAATTGTAATAATAATGATTTAAGATTAAGATTAAGAGATGCTTTATCTTATTTTATTTGTCCCACAGTGGGGATATTTCAGTGTTGCATCACCAGTTACAGGACAGTAGGAATGAGGAGCACACAGCAAAAGAAAAATGAACAATAACGCTATACTAAAATAAAATAAAATCACTAACTTTATCGTAATAAAGAAGCAAGTATAGAATCTATAATTTTAGCATAAAAAAGAAGCAAGTATAAAATCTCTAACTTTAGCATCATACAAAAATAACATCATCCTAATGATACAATCAATGCTATCACCTGCTTTTCTCCAATGACATCTACGTGGTACAACTTTAAGTGATAGAAAGGCAATATGTTGTGAAGCTATTCTTTAAGGTTGCTTTTTACCTTTCCGCCATGTCCTGTAGCTGATCTGGGGGCACAGGGATCCCACCCACATTCCTGTCTTTATGGATTTTGTGGAGGTCCTGTTTGTGGCTTTCCAGGCTCCTCAGCACATCCTTGAGTACACACACACACACACACACACACACACACACACACACACACACACACAGACACACAGGCGGCACAGTCACATACATGAATGCAAAGAGCACACCGGGGCAGATCAAACACTGTATGTTTAACCGTGCGCTGACCTTGTGCTGCTCCAGCGCTCGGTGGATGGTGTCCGCTGTCTGCTCGTGAGCCTGCTGCATAATGACCTCGTGTCTCAGAGCTCCTTCAGCCTGGTGAAGCCAAGAACCGACCTGGTCCAGAGGAGCTGGCAGGCACTGGTCCAGCTTCAAGTGCCAATCCAGCAACTACAACACAGTCAGAAGTTGTTTAGAAGATTTGCAACGTCTATTATTTGAAACATTATCATTACAATTGAATGCAGTGCCAAAGACCCAAACTGGATGTTGGCATTCATTACATAGCATTACGTTGATATGTAGTAAAATACGATGCCTTAATCTATAATATGGCTAATTATGTGGATTTACCCTGTTGGAGACTTTCTCCCAGGCTTGTTTGACCAAAGCTTGATCGACAGTGAGCATTCCATCTTTTTGAGTTGACTGTAGCGCACTTTCCACCTGCTTTCTCTTCATCTCCAGCTGGACACGCAAACTCTTGAATAACTGGAAAAATTAATACATTTGTGCAAAAGTACAGTATATTTTGGTTTCGGTTTCCTTCAAGAATGTTGTTTTAAAGCTAGGGTATCCCCCTTTCGAACCACAAAAACTTGAACTATTTAATAAAATCTGTGTCACATCTTTCATATCTTTATTTCAGCTTTTTCAGACAGATAAGTGAAAAAGAGAGGACCATCTTCACTCAGGCCAATCAGCTCTCAGCCCAAATGAATCAAATAGTAACTCACATGGCTCTTTCTTACATTATGAAGAATGTTACAATCTTAATAATAGATAAAGAAAGCACTGTGTGGTCTGACTTGTTCTCAAAATGTTCCTTCTACAAGACAAGCAAAGTCTGTCCTTTTTGGGGGGAAAATTAAGTACCCTAGCATTAATGTATTTCTTAAAATGTTTTAATCAATTACACAATTTATTCTATTCATACCTCTTCAAGCCACTCAAAACCCTTACACATTGAGGAACCAATCCCCCATACACAGACACAGACACATTCGTACATCAGTATACACAGACCATAACAGAGACTGGGTTTAATGTCTTGCCCAAGGACCCACAGCCGCAAATAATGGTGGTACCACAATCTTACCGCAACTCCCTTGTTCTACCAAACTGAGCTACTGCCGCCCATCATTATAAGATTGCTCCGATTAGCCCTTATTACCACTGCTGCTAATTACAACAGACAACTATTCCCCCATCTCCATTCATTATCTTATGTGAAAAAAAACACAGAAAAACTCAAATTTGGGGATAACCCACATGCTGCTGCTGTTGAATATGAATCCTATCCTGGGGCCTGGCTGGTGGATTGGGCCAGATTGAGTGAAAGTATGACTGCTGGTGTTTGATCCCCACAGTGTAATGCCCCTGATTAAGCTAATAATAGGAGCGTCTGTGGCTGGTTTGCCCCGTCTAAACCCTCCGCACACAGACGAGCAGCTGACACGTGCACTCTCTCACTTGGTATTGCAGGGCGAGATTGGCCTCCGTCTCTTGGGCCTGCGTAGCGTCTCGATCCAGCTGGTCGAGCCACGTTTTCAGCTCCCTCAGGCTCTTGCGTTGCTCTCTCTGCAGGGGTCCAGGATGCAAAGGGTTGTACATCAAAATTGGGGAATGCAAAAGGGTATGAAAGGAAAAGACATATGATAAAAGAAGCCAGCCAGGACAAAAAAAAGTAAAGGCGTAAAAGGAAGTTAAGTTGAAAAACATATATTGAACGCTCAACCTAAACTTAACCATCCTGTTTTTATGCAATTAACAGTGACATAAAGACATTTTGTCCAATTATTAACTTGTATTATCAAATAAAGTGATATTGGTTTTATTTGAAGAGGAAAGTCCCACTGAGATTTTAGAATCCTGGGTCCCCCAGAGCGAGGGGAGCTATTGAACATGTTTTAGTGGTGGGGAAAACCGGTGCACCCGGAGGAAAACCTATGCAGACACAGGAAAAACATGCAAACTCAACTTAGAAAGGCCCTATTTGATATGTAGGGCTGTCAACATTTGATTGTTTAATCTATTAATTGGTTGACAAACTACAGTATTTCAATTAAAGGTTCTTCTATGTGAAAACTGAAAAATATAAAGTTACTTCAGATTTTTCTTCAATTTAAGTTTTGCAAGTCTAGTTTGGTTCATAAAGTAGTATAGTATTTTGCCACGCCCCTTTTTATTTGCCTCATTTACCGAATGAGCCTTCAACTAAAAATGTCTACTAAAACCCTAAAAATATGTATATAAAGAACCTTTGTATATCAGACAAAACATGTTGAATTCATTTGCACACGGAACACGCCAGCCTGGGAAGAACAAAAGAGGGGAGACACAAACTTAAACTAGACAAAAATCCACCGCAGTTGTCAAATTGATTAATTGATAATACGGGCAGCGACTTTGAGGAGGAAGCAGAACGTGTACGAATAAACATGTTTTTCTAATCCACTGCATTTGCCGTCAAAAAAAGTCTACAACTGCCAGAAACACTCAGATTAAACAGGCGCTTTAGGTCCCCCACCACTATTTCAATGGGTTTTAAGTAACCATGACGATAAGACGATGTTGCTCAAAAGCTAGTGTGATTGTCAATTTAGCTTAAGAAATATTTAGCCTTTTCAAATTCTTCAATGGTTTAAATAAAGTCCCATAGGGAACCAGTGGTTGGAGATAATATACTAATATATTCAAGACAAATCAGTCCAACTTTTTGGCAAGTATTGTTACTTCAAAGCTTAATATTCTTTTGAGGTTTTTTTTTGTCGTGAACTCTACACCCAAACCTCTATATACTGTACAGGTTGGGGTGTCAACTGGTTCCAGAAAGGAGTGAAGTGGTTTTAATTACAACCAAAGCAACTTCAACAACGTCAAATCAGACTCAAATCTTCATGTTAACCCTTTAGGAAATGGGTGAAGTCTCATGTGCTCCTGTGCTCCCGGTTTGATACCATTCAAATAACCAAAAAAAAAGAGGTACTGTCACAAAATCAAATATAGCTGTTGCATCACATTCACAATAATCACATTATGCATGTTTTCCAATATCATGCATCATTTTGAAGCAAAATGGCGCACCAAAACAAGGAAAAGAAGCTTATATAACACAGAAAAGGTACCAGTGATAAATATGATGGAGCAACATAACACAGTCGTCTGTGCAGCAAGAGCTTTTTTCAGAGTAAACCTTTGAGCAGATCTATTCCAAAGCTTTCAAATTTGCCATGTCAATACTGTCGGCTTGTGGCAGCGGCTGTCATTGTCATGCTAATGGGCCAGAAGTCACAGCGCTAGGTGGGAGCATTAATAAATGGTAATATCAAATTTTATTAGACTGGACTTCCTGTTTTTATTTCAGCCTGCGGCGGCGATAGCACATGAGGTAAGATAAAGAGGCAGCATTAACATAAATGTCCAGGAAAAACAATGTTTAATCCAACCAAAACAGTATTGTGGGACATTGTTATTGTACTGTGATCCAATAAAAAAGGAATTAATCTGATTTGGATGGAAAGCATGGAGGTGTATGGATGCTAATGTCATTTTGGCCACAGTTAATGGAAAACCTCGCCCCTGGGGCCGAACAGTATGTATCTACATGGACCTACCTCCAACATTTCCTCAATATGACGAGGAGCAAGGCCATGCTGTGGGGCAGAGGCCAGCACAACAAGTAAAGGAAGTTACACAAGAGGAGGGGGACAAAGACATGGACACGTGAGGACTATGTGAAGGAAAACCATTTCACCTGGAATAGTTGCTACTTGAAAAACAACAGGGTGACAAAAGGTGGAAGAGTGAATTGATTGTGCACACAATAAAGTGTACTAATTAAAGGGGCACTATGCAACTATTTTTGTTTTAAAAAAAGTTTGTATTTGTGCTTATTTGACCCAGTGGCTGTATGACTGGTCAGCATTGCACCTTTACTTTCCAACACAGTGGTCTCTAGGATGCTATAGGATGAATTGTTTGGAAAGTTTTCTCTGCTGAAGGATCCCTGCGCCAGAAAACCTTAAATGTTAAGGAACCATCTATCCACGCTTCCACTACTGGGTCACCAAAATCTCAAAATTATGCAAAAATATAAACTTTTTGTCACATACAAAGTAGAACCTTTAATAGTAAGATAGCTGCCTGGAGTTACCCAGTAGTGGCAAACCCAGGATAATAATAATTTGTCATCACACTGTGAAAATAGTACTCTCAATAGCTGTCATGACAAATACAATGAAATTCAAAGTCTGTAAAAAATACCAAATAACCAATAATACTGTGGAGAAAGTCTGAAATGAGAGTATGATCGATGGCAAAAGAGAAATATGGGACAGCTGCGTACCTCGTCTTCCTGTGTGCCTCCTGAATCACTCTCTTTCGGATGATGTTTCAAGAACTGGGCAACATATGTCATGATAGATTTCTCATCTGGTTTGTCCACGTCAACATCTGAGAAGCAAGAACAAAATTGATTAGAATGTCATGGTTTTTGATCATTGTTTAAGTTTGAAGGTTCAACCAGGCTTTTTCTGACCTAATGGTCCTTAATTATGCTAATGTCAAGCTTGATTCGTCAGAGTTCGTTGTGAAGGGCAGCCGTGAAAAAGCCCCAGATGGTGTCACTGATGCATAATCTGCAGCCAAAATGTAGCATCGAATAATTTATCATATGCATGTGGGCACCTAATCAAATAAGGTGGTTTATTCACATTGTATTTTTAGGTAATTCTGCTATTGACATTCTTGTTTTCGTAACGTTACTATGTGCAGAAATGTATAACATTTCATTTAGACAGAATGTTTAAACAGTTATTGTACACAGAAAAGTGTTGAAAAGTGTTTTACATTTCAACTTTAAACAATGGGAAAATGCGTATTCATATCCCTTTTGCATTTTAATCTTTTAAAATAAGATTGTTTGAGTCACAATGTAATTTAAAAAAAATTACGTTTGAATAATGCAAACAATTTATCACCTATTTTGTGTCACTTTTGCAGTAAAGCCGGAAATTTCAACCTGTAACTTAGGAGCCATCACTCATTCAGGTATACTCAAAGGATCTAGGAATTTAACACTTAACTCTAAATCATTTCATATCTAATCTCATAACTGCTTACCTAATGTGCACACATGCAGGAATATACAGTTGAAATCATATATCATAAAGTGTTCTATGTGGTTTTATGTCATTTTTATATTAACTACAGGTACATTTTTATCATGACCACAAAAAAGACACTGCCATTAATTATTGTCTTGTTAAAGAAGGAATCGAAGATCTAAAACGGTTGGAGACCCCGGCAGCAGAGCATCATATACCTACAGTACTATTAGAATTCTATTATTCACAATTCATACTACGCCATACAAATACATGTGCGATGCAATTCTGTTAGTATAGTACCTTCTGAGTCAAGCAGCTGAGGAATTCCCAGCTCTTTCTCCGCCAACAGAAAGGCTTCCTGCAGGTTTTCTCTGTTGGGTCTCCCCCAGGCTTGCTCCATATCGACAAGATTCGGCCGAAGATAATGGATCACTGCAAAGAAGGCTAGACCTGTCCGCCAGCTCGGCCCAAAGTCTCTGACATCAATGCCCATTTTCCTGGAAAACATAAAGTTAAGCCTTATATTTACAGTTGTTGTGTTATACAGTATATCATACAATTGAAAACAATTAAACAATTCAATACTTAGTTGCTGTTTGTTGGACCCATTTTAGGAGCGCCTTCCTTGCTCCGCCCTGTGGAGGTGGAAAGGGTCTCTTTTTGACAGGTGGGCTGGTGGTCTCAGAGCTGCTGGCAGAACTGTCCAAGGAAGAAGTGCTGCTGGACTGGGCCGTGAGTGCTGGTAGGCTGCTGGTTAATTCCTCAATCTGCAAACAGAACGTAGGTACATTCATGAGGGGTTTCCAAGGCAACTTTATTTGTATAGTGATTAAAATACAACTATTCAGACTGGCTTATTTACTTTGACCCTAAATGTACTGTCCATTTTTAACTGTATGCTTTTAACTGTTTTTTTCTTTTAACCTTGCACCTTTTGTACAGTAAGGCACCATATAAATAAAATGTATCATTATTATTATTATTATTATAGCACAGTTCATACAGAAGGCAATTCAAAGTGCATAACAAAACAAGACAAGAAACATAAAAGGAATCATAAAAGGCATTATAAACACAGCACATTAAAAAGAGTGAAGATACAATCATTTGATTTTTTCTAGTCAAAAGAGTCAAGCTAGACACATCTGCATCATTCAGAAGAAAATATAGACTCAGGACATAATTATTTAAGTTCAATATCGCTGGGGAACTGTGGAGACATGGAATGAATGCAATCGCACAATGTACCAAGCAAAGACGGGAACAGATGGGAAACTGCACCAAATTAATCTTCTGCTTGTTCTCCACTGCATAACTGACGCAGCAGCCACAAAAACATCACAATAAAGAAGTACATTTTATATGTAAGCCCATTCACACCCTTTATTTAATCCTCTAATGTCGTGGTAACTAATCCTCAATGCATATTTAAAATGTGAGCGGATACCGTTTTAAGACTCTACATAAAAGTATGAAATTGAACACAAATTTATTTTATTTATTATTTTTTATTATTTAAAAAACTAGTATTGTTTCACTTTTGGGTTTTATTTCTGTTCGGCAGGGGTCAACTTTCTAGTTTGTTGCCATAGTTACAGTATGTTATAGTTGTGAAATGATTGGAATGTGTGAGTCAAACTGGTTTAAAACTTGTACATTCTCCTATTAAGGATGAATTTTTAATGAGAAGACTCACCTCTCAGGTAATACTTTTAACTGAATTTGCAAGATGCGTGCTTCCAAAGTAAACAGAAACTTTAATACTAATGTAGGGGTGCCCAACTTTGTCGCCACTGTAGTAAGCAAAAATTGTCCTGGCCAGCAACCCGGGTCGTATATTAAAAAAAAATATATTCGGGCTGTTCTGGGCTTTAAAATTAGGCATGACATAGCTCAAGGTGAATGACAAATGTTAACTTAATCACAAGTCACGTTAGCTCTATACACAGAATCAAGATCAAAAATAAATTCTGTATAGTGAAACAAAGGCCACAACTGGATTCAAAAGGTCTGGACACTGGGAAATTGTGTTTTTGATATCAATGGCAACATTGGGTTAGCAAGGCAGAGGGCCACATGAAATAAGACAGCAGAACAGGCTTGGTTTAATATCATACTATATATAAAATGCGAAAAGTGGACAGTTATGGACTGTTTTGTATGTCGTTGATTACTGTTATAAATCACAAAACATGCTAGGCTAAAACTAAAAAGAATCTTAACAGAATGATACACGTAAAGCAGGCACAAAACTTTATATTAAAAAACATCCTACCTGAAAATAGAGAATTATTGTCCACATCAATCCCAGAACAATGGCTGGTCTTCCATCTACTATGTCAGTGGAGTTGATGTTAACAAGTTTGATCTGGAGGCACAAAATAACAAACACAAACTGTAATTTTATTATGTATGCAGTGGTTTTACAAAAAAAAAAGGAAATCAGTTAAGCTTTTGTGTGACTAATGCAAAAGTTTTGAGTACTGACCGGGGATCCTCTGTAGGCAGACTGGAGGGAAGATAAGGTAAAAAATTAGAGCAAGGAACGAGAGAGATAGAAGCTAATATGAGGTGTGTATGACACTGGTTGAGATGGGATGCTTCATTTGGTGCAAGATGACAGATAGCACCGGTTCTTGAAGTGGGTGGAGGGAGGAAAGATCTATCGAGACCGCGCAGGCAACAAGGATTACACCAAGCTGAGATGGACTGACTGAGAGGAAGAAAAGGCAAGCGCTAGGCTCATATTTGTGCAATTTTAGACGCGAGCCTTACAGGTCAAAGTATGGAAATGTGCAGCACTTTGTACGAGGTGGAAAAGTGTGGAGGAAAAGATTGGGGCCAGACAGGGGCCACATGGGATAAGGACTGATAAGAAAATGTGTAATACAAGATTTTATTAGAAAACACAGCAGGTTGGTCAGGTCATTCAGAGCAGACGCGAGACGACGGAAAAGATGAATGGTTGGTTTTCACTTACAGTAAGAAATTCAATATTGAATATTGAATGTTTTGTCAAAACAGAAACACAGAAAAATACATAGTTTGGATGAATTGTGTAGACATTCATATCATTATCAGTATAAAAAATTAAATTTTTGTCTATTCTAGTCTTTCCAAATCAGGATTAGCTGCACCACAGGAAGTCCATAAGGATAGGATTAGGCATGTCACAATGACTAATTACTGGTATAATGGGCAATATTTTGATATAGAAAATATTAGTACTTGACAATAATATATACTGCTATAAAGTAAAATATATACTATATATATGCCACCAACGCAAGTACATAATATTAATTTCATTACCAAAAAGATAAACAGCAGGATTACGTTCATACTGAACTCTCTGCAATAAAAAAAGGAAATAGCCATAACTTTACAAATTAAATGCACATATCACTCCACTAATGCAAAGAAAATAAAGCAGACGACAAAGATTGAGGATCAAATTAAATGGCTTGTCCATCAGTTATTGAACAAAAGTCAAAATGATAAATACTGTGACAACAATAGCATGGGGTAGTATAAAAAAGTATTTGTAGCACATTTTACAGCCGAAATAATGGTATGGTATATATATATATATATAAAACAAAGTAATTGTATAAGTTATAAGTTATAATACAAATTAATAGAAGTAAAATGTTTATGGAAGCCGCAGTACACATGAGGTGGTACTCACGACAAAACCGATTGGGAACCACTGGTCTATTCAACGATGCATGCAGTCTTTTTTTCGGATATACTATATTTTATTATTTTGCATATTTTCAAATAACAGTAGCAGTCTGTATAACCAATTATCTATTGGGAATTGTAAGTAAAGGAGCAGACAAAGTCAATACAAGAGCCCAGACATGAATTCTCTTCGCAAAAAGCATATATTTACATTTTAATCCCAATACGCACACACATACATCCACCATACATTTAGGAAAGTGCCCAGTGATTTCTCATCTCCAGACGACTGCAGATTACTGGTGTAGGATTTGTGGTTTTAACCCTGTCACGCAGATGAATCAACCTCCCTCCAGACTCCAGACTTACGGCTTTATTTCTGCATATTCAAGGACAAACTGGTGTCTGACGCTCTTAGACTTATGACATATGAAAGTTATTGTAGGTCTTGGTTAATTCACTGAAATATCCTAAGATGTGAGTTTGAAAATAGACAAATAAAGTACAATGCAAAAGAAAAAGGGGGGGGGTCATGTGGGGTCAAGATGTAGTGCTTGGACCTAGAGGGCAGGAGCAGCTGAGCGGAGAGAGTATTGTGTTGGGAATAGACAACGGAAAAACACAGATAAAAAGGAGCTTTGTTGAACTCTACCTTCCTCCCCTCCAGAAATTTGAGCGCAGTGCCGATGTTGGCGACCCAGTGGATCCTTTTGAGTTTCTTGCCCCGTTCACATGGCTGCAAGGCAATGAGACAACAATGAAGACAAACAAACAACTAGGGAAAATGCTGTTGTGTACAGTCTATAGCATAAAATGGCATTACATTGTTATTTTACATCATTTACCAGATGCCTGAATGTAAAATTTCATGACCAGTGTTGGTAATAACGGTAATGTAGTATAATTGTCAAACAAAAGATATTATTTTGCTCAGTAACAGTAATCATTAGTTGCTTCGGCCTCTGCTGTAGCTTTGTTTTCGTTACTTTGAAATGTCATGTTTTGGAAAGAAAATTACAGCTCATTGGTTAAAACAAAATGATTGACATTACTACGGACCAATCAGAAGCAAAAGGCGCGTGTTTACTTCCTAGCGTGTGAAATTTGTATTTCACACGGCATCAAATAACATATCTGTATGTTATTTCAATAAATGTTGCAGATATGTTATAGATATGTTATTTGTAAATGTACACTTTAATGGTTGAAAGACAAAATAGGTAAATATAAACAAGAGCACAGTATTGTTTCTGTACATGGAGGTGAAGCAGGGAATTTATGTGAGAATTCAACTTTCAACTTTCAACTTTTTAAAATTCTTATTCCATACTTTAAATAATACGTAATTTAAAGTATTGCCATGAGCGATAGAAGATGGCCTGCCACAACGTAGAAGAGTCTAGCTAAAGGATAACATTTCCAAGAAAACAAGCAGGAGGAGTATAGGCCTTGTCTGTGGAGATGGAAGGCTCCAAGCTGTTTGAATGTTACCCAGCCTCTGCTTTATTGTAATATACACATACAGTTAATATCCAAATAGTTAATTAATTTCTGTAATTCAACCCACAATGTGAAACCAATGTATGATATAGACTCATTTTCAAATCAAAATATGTAAATATACACAAGGACACCATATTTTCTCTGCACATGGAAGTAAAGGGGAAATATTATGGGAAAATTCACGAGGCACAATCAAAATCTATGCAATCAATAGAGCATAGGCAGCTATAACCATAACCTGAGGCTATATTGACGAAGTAAGATCCTTAAGCTTTCTTTGTGTGCTCTGTGAACATGTAAACTTCCACCTGTCCTTGCTAATCAGGACTGTCCAGCGTCTAACCAATCTTCATCCAATCCACATAATTCTAACGGCCTCCTTTTGTCAGCAGCACCACTTTAAAGCACAAAGCACGCACGGTTACTGCATAAATAACCAGTCAGTGAAATTCTTCGATCAGCCGGTGCAACGTGATGGAGTTAAAATTTAATCCACTCAGATCAGAGCGTGTTTGAAGTGTGCAGCCAAATCACATGCTGCACAAGTGACCATGAGACTCACCAGTTTTTGTCCAGAAAGCACTTCCAGCAGCGCCAACAGCATCACCCCATCCTTTATGTCTTCAAACAGGTCCGTAATCACCAAGGGGGGCGCGCACTGTCAAAAGTGAAACAAAATGAATGCATGGTTACTAGGGATGTAACTGACAATTATTTTCATTGTCAATTAATCTAGTGACTTTTCTTTTCAGAATCAGAATCAGAATAATTTTTATTGCCACGTAAGTAACAGGAAGTCACAGACTTGGAAATTACTTTGGCTCAGTGCAACAGTCAGAAAGAGAGGTAAGGGTAGAGAAGGCATAATAAAAAATAAAAAATAAAAAGCACTTCTAAGGAATACATTTAAAATAGAGTTACAATTACTATATACAATATATAAGTGCACATGGTGCACAAAATGTAAGGTGACAGAAGTACAGTGAAGCAAAGTGACGTATGATGGGCAGTAAAGTGACATTATAAAGGGCAGTAGGGGACTTCTAGAGGGCGGGGGGACAGGTTATGAAGTGTTCAAGAGTCCAACAGCAGAGGGGAAGAAACTGCTCTCGTGGCGGGAGGATCTAGTCCTGATGGACCGCAGCCTCCTGTCTGAGGGGAGTGGTCGGAATAGTCCATGTGCAGGGTGAGAGGGGTCAGCGGTGATACGACCAGCCCGGCCTCGAGCTCGGGCGACGTACAGGTCCTGCAGCGATGGAAGGCTGCGGCCGATCACCTTCTCTGCAGAGCTCACGATGCGCTGTAGTCTCTGTTTGTCCCTGACTGTGGCTCCAGCGAACCACACGGTGATGGAGGAGGTGAGGATGGACTCGATGATGGTCGTGTAGAACTGCACCAACATCTGTGCAGGCAGCTTGGCTTTCCTGAGCTGCCGCAGGAAGTACATCCTCTGCTGAGCCTTCTTGATGAGGGAGCTTATGGTCGGCTCCCACTTGAGGTCCTGGGTGATGGTGGTGCCCAGGAAACGTAAGAACTCCACAGAGGTGATGGGGGAGTCCATCAGGGAGGGTGGGGGTGGGGGGACTGTGCTCTTCCTGAAGTGCACAATCATCTCCACTGTCTTCACTTCACTTTTGATTTGTTGATCGGTTGTTTAGAGCCATAGAGCGAGGAGTGGGGAGTGGACTACCCGAACCCCCTTAGTGTTTGCCAATAATAATTATATTTTTATTTAAATGACAAGAAACAAGGATGCATCTATGTGAAAACAGCAAAAAAATAAATATTTCAGTGGTTCTGTGGCAAAATAGGACCTTCTTGCTGAGAAGGGAGAGTGCTAACCAATCAGCCACTGTGCCAACCACAGCCCTGCATGTAAGTCGCCATTGTTGTAAAACCAATACTGCTTCATTTGATAAAAAACTACAATGGCCTATTTCCCTGAGAAGGCTTCTGTAATCACCTTAAAACATAGCTGTGTGTTTACTCACATTCAAAGGCATACCATGAGCTCGAACAATGGTCCCACAGTTTAAATGGAATCTTAAGATGTTAATCTTAAAAGTATGTGCATTGTTCTTGATGCAGTGATGAGGCAAGACCTGTTTACTGCAGGCGGTGGCTTTTCCTTTCACATTAATAACTTTTAGAGTGAATTTAATACAGTGTAACTTTTTAGAGGTGGTGCGATACGGCACAATATGTCTTCATTTGAACAGGGACAGAGAACAATATTTCTACAAGTTAATTATCTTATATGTATCTTACAATAGTGATTTTTCTGTGACATGTCTTGTCAGCTGTTTTACAGTTTTTGGCGCCATCTTCCTACTACCAGAGCAATGGGGGCGGGTCCCGGCTCAAAAATGTCCAAAATGACGTTCACTGACGACATGCTACCCCAGGCCAATGGGGGTGGACCAGGAACCAGGCCAATGGGGGTGAACCCGGAACCAGGCCAATGGGGGTGGACCCGGAATAAGAATTAGCCATTGCTAATGTATAGCATCTTCTTGCCTCTCGAAAATGGCTTAACAGGATGGTCCAAAAGTCGGCTATTGGCCCAATGCTACGTTCCACAATTGTGTCAATTGTGAGGAGAGTGTATTTTTTTGGACCACTCTAGTTTAGTTGCTGTGGAATTTTGGAGCCATTTGCTAAATGAATGGGGCTCGCGCTGGTGGACGCATGCGCAAATGCGTTTTTTCACATTTTCCAACCCCTGCTGCCATTTTGAAACTGCCCATAGACTAATATTTTTAGTCTATGGACCAGCGGCAGGACGACAGCACTATCTGCAGTCCTACTTCTTCAGGACAGAATGTCTGTGCGAGAAAAAAAAAACCCTTGTCCCGGGTTTTAGTCTTGGGGGCATGTTCAATTGTTTGATCCAGAATTATCACAGGAACATCATGTGACCACTCTTGGGAAGACTGTGAACCAGCTGTCAAAAATATTATGCATGAAAAAAACACACACTGGACTTAAATCAACTCACCTATCAAAAAGGTAATCTTGTTGGACAAGAGTAGAATGTTACATTGACCATGAAAGGTAAGCTGCATTAAGTAACTGCTCATTTCCACCTGTAGTTCCTGGGCAGGTTGCATAGTGTTAATGCAGGATGGTACATAACTTGATTCTATATTAATTTTACTACCATACGAATGAATATTGTCATTAGTAATATTCCGGTACATGAAATGCCATAATGTAGAAGATTGTAGCTGTCCCCGTCCCGAAGAAGCCCAGGATCACAGGACTCAATGACTACAGACCTGTAGCACTTACGTCTGTCGTCATGAAGTTATTTGAAGTCATCCTCTCCCATCTCAAGTCCCTCACCTCCCCCCTCCTGGACCCCCTTCAGTTCGCCTACAGAGCCAACAGATCTGTAGACGACGCCATTAACCTGGCCCTCCACCACATCCTACAGAACCTGGACTCCCCGGGGACCTACGCCAGGGTCCTGTTCGTGGACTTCAGCTCTGCCTTCAACACAATCCTGCCATCCCTGCTCCAGGACAAGCTCTCCCAGCTCAACGTGCCCGATTCCACCTGCAGGTGGATCACTGACTTCCTGACGGACAGGAAGCAGCGAGTGCGTCTGGGGAAGAATGTCTCGGACTCTCGGATTATAAATACAGGAGCCCCACAGGGCTGTGTTCTTTCTCCCCTGCTCTTCTCCCTGTACACCAACCACTGCACCTCCAGCCACGACTCCGTGAAGCTGATCAAGTTCGCGGACGACACCACCCTCATTGGACTCATCTCCAACAACGATGAGTCCGCCTACAGGAGGGAGGTGGACCGGCTGGTGTCCTGGTGCAGTTGCAACAACCTGGAGCTGAACGCCCAGAAGACAGTGGAGATGATTGTGGACTTCAGGAAGAGCACAGTCCCCCTGCCCCCACCCTCCATGATGGACTCCCCCATCACCTCTGTGGAGTCCTATCGTTTCCTGGGCACCACCGTCACCCAGGACCTCAAGTGGGAGCCGACCATCATCTCCCTCATCAAGAAGGCCCAGCAGAGGATGTACTTCCTGCAGCAGCTCAGGAAAGCCAAGCTGCCTGCACAGATGCTGGTGCAGTTCTACACGGCCATCATCGAGTCCATCCTCACCTCCTCCGTCACCGTGTGGTTCGCTGGAGCCACAGTCAGGGACAAACAGAGACTACAGCGCATTGTGCGCTCTGCAGAGGAAGTGATCGGCCGCAGCCTTCCATCGCTGCAGGACCTGTACGTCGCCCGAGCTCGAGGCCGGGCTGGTCGTATCACAGCCGACCCCTCTCACCCTGCACATGGACTATTCCAACCACTCCCCTCAGGCAGGAGACTGCGGTCCATCAGGACTAGAACCTCCCGCCACAAGAACAGTTTCTTCCCCTCTGCTGTTGGACTCTTGATCACTTCTTAACCTGTCCCCCCGCCCTTTATAAAGTCACTTTACTGCCCATCATACGTCACTTTACTTCACTGTACTGCTGTCACCTTACATCGTGTGCACCATGTGGACTTGTATATTGTAAATAGTAACTGTAACTCTATTTTAAATTTAAATTTATTCTTTAGAAGTGTTTTTATTCTTCCTTTTATAATCTCTTTCTGACTGTTGCACTGAGCCAAAGCCATTTCCAAGTCTGTGACTTCCTGTTACCTACGTGGCAATAAAAAATATTCTGATTCTGATTAAGGCCAAATTTCCACTTTTGGAAGTTATATTCTAATTTTCCGATTTTCACCTGTATAACCAAGCATAACCCTGAATGTCCTATGCAACCAAAAGTGGCCATCTTGCAATTTTAAGTCTAGTTCATACAGAGAATAACACATATAGGCTAAATTATACATCGACATAATGCTTTGAACTTGTAAAATACAGATAAGAGAAACATAAAAAGTACTACTTGAAAAAACCCCAAAAGAGTTGGTCTGTGCCGTGTATTACAACAGGCTGAAGATTCATCCCAAAAGTAGAGGCTCAGCAGACACTGAATGGTCTTTTCCAAATCCTAAAATATGCTGATGACTTCAAACTGCTTTTTGCCTCTCTGACCTGCCACAATTTGAGGGGGATTCCACATCAAGGATTTCTCTTAGAACGCAGTCACATGGGGAGGAGGGTGTCCCATTCACCCGAAGATTATCACAGAATTGAGCGAGAGTAGGGGTACATGTGTGTGCACGTGCAGAGAAAGTGTTGAAAAAACACTCCCTTTAGAGCAAAAACGAGAGAGTATAATTGTGTGGTGAGAGTGGCAGAGGAAAGGATGATAGCAGGCAGACTCGAGAGGGTACACTCGCCGACGTCTTTCAAAATTAATTACCAAATGCAGAAGCTCTCCACCCTAATTCCACTTCTAATGGCATTTTACGGCCTCGGATACTGGGATATTAGAGTATTTAGACAGCAGCCGTATCACTAAATGACAGAAGAAACAAAATCCTTTGAAAGGGATAAATTACACCACAAGCTAATTGAAGTTGAATTTACTTTTTGTTCATAGTAATCCAAAAGCTAATGCGGACATTTGTAACTAATTACAAAAGTCAAATCAGTCTTTGCATGCTGTTACAAAGAATGAATAAAGGGCTTAATGAGGTAATTATGAGAGTCGTGGCAATAATTGATTGTGAGGAGTTTGATGATTTACA